AACGTAGATAGATTAAACGCACTTCCACTTTGCTTCCTATAGCCAACATTAGCCCTGTTCTTTCTCCTTCCAGTGTACAGAGGGACCACAGGGAGCAGACTGACCAGCGCTCACCCCGAGTACCGCTGACACTGCACAAAACAGGAAGTAGGTTAGGAAAAAGTCAGAAGAGAAGGAGGAGATAAAATACTCCCTACCATCTCCTACTATCTCCTATGAAGCTGGTGGTAAATACACACAATTCAATGGTTACAGCGTGTTTGTTGTATTCAGGTCCACGTTATGTTAGAAATGTTGCACTGTGTAACTTTTCTGGTGTGCTCGTCGCCATGGAGACGTCATTCCTTTGCTTCGAATGTTCCACAGTATGGCATTAAACTGCTCCTGCTCACATTTTTTCAATTGCAGGTGTCGTTACAGCTCAAAAATACCTCGAAAGCGTGTGTTCTTACTGTGAGCGGGTTCGCCTCTCCACGGAGCTGAGCTGTAACTTGGCCCGGCGGTGTCACCTGCTCGTTGTGTTCAAGAAAAGAGAGATATTTAATGATACACTGTGGAACATTTCAGGCTTAAAGTTACTTAAGTGTACCTAGGGCCACTTCCTGCTTGTTTCCATGGAAAATTTTGTTCTTTTGGCCTAAAACGTCACTATCTCTATGGAGAATGTTCCCAAGTATGACTTTAACTTTCTGTTTCCATGGTGTCATGCTGTTGACTTTCCGCTACCAGCAGTGGTGTAGTGGGGATTTTTTAAGTGGAGGTACGTGATTTGTGACTGAACCAGGACTACACCAGGACCAGATCAGGACTAAACAAGGTCTAAACCAGGACTAAACCAGAAATGAATCAGGACTGAACGAGAACTGAACCAGGACTAAACCAGGTCTAAACCAGGACTAAACCAGAAATGAATCAGGACTAAACCAGGTCTAAACCAGGAATAAACCAGGTCCAAACCAGGACTAAACCAGGTCTAAACCAGGTCTAAACCAGGACTAAACCAGGTCCAAACCAGGACTAAACCAGGTCTAAACCATGACTAAACCATGACTAAACCAGAACTGAATCAGGACTGAACCAGGACTTAACAAGGTCTAAAACAGAACTGAACCAGGACTAAAAAAGGATGAAACCAGGTCTAAACCAAGTCTAAACCAGGTCTAAACCAGGTCTAAACCAGGTTTAAACCAAGACTAATCCAGGACTAATCCAGGACTAATCTTGGACTCCCATGTACCATGCCCACTACACCCCTGACCACCAGAAAGTTACATATCAGGGCTTAAAAAAATCATCTCAACAACTAATTTCTTCAGGTAGTTTCACACTGACTAACTTATATTCATTCATATTCAACGAGTAACTGTCGAATCCGAGTTTAGACCTGGCATAGTTCTGTTTTAGACCTGGTTTAGATCTGGTAGTACTTGGAAACACCAAATTGAACACGTTGTGAGAGCTACCAAGTGAGTTTTACTATGATAATACTAGTATCGTAGTACTCAAGACCAGTCTTGGTCTCGCCTCGGACTTGAGAACTTTTGGACTCCATCTCGTCTCGGTCTTGATGGCGCTTGGACTTGAGGTGTGACACTCGACAAGTGCGATCATATTTCATATATAAGTGTGCAAAGGCTGCTAAATATCACTGCAAAAACCATAAATGTTATGAACTTTTAAAAAAAGCACTTGAAGTTGTTTTACCAATTATTTTGGTCGGCGGCAAGAAACACTAATTCAACATGACGGACGGAGCGAGAAAGCACGTAAAGGGTATTGATCCTGGTTATTTATCCACTCTAACGGCAGAGGACCCAAGACCATTTGACCAGAAATTGGTCATAAGCATCGATGGAGCCAAATCACCCTTTTCAACCCCGACAAAAGGTCGACAAAACCAAATTTCTGGTCGGAATCACCAACTACCTGGACAAATATTCACTTCGGCAATATCCACAATGACTTGGTGGAAACTCCTGGGTCCATTCACAGCAGAAAAGATGAAAACCTCCAAGAGTCTTGATGTGTTGTTGAACTTGTTGGAGTCCACGGTTTGTTAGGATCTTCTACGTTTGCTCTGCGGATGTTTGAAAGACGTTTAATTCACCGTTAGTGGTTCTTTTCACTCAGAATACGAAAAAGACATTTTCCTTCTTCCGTGCTTCTATTTGTGCATCCGATAATGCAGCAGGAATTTACCATTATCGGGGATAAATACGCGAGGTTACGCACTGTGTTTGACCGCTATCGTGTTTCATGCCTCCGACCAAAATATTTCCCAGCATGCAACGCGGGCTTTTAATAACAATGACGTCTATTTGGTCTCGATGGGATGTGGTCTTGGTCTTATCTTCTTGGCCTCGATCTTTAAAAGTCTTGGTCTTGTCTTGGTCTGGTCTTGTCCTGGTCTCGGGACCCTGTGGTCTCGGACAGGTCTTGGTCTTGACTACAACAGTACAAAGCATGTCAGATCTAAACATTCTCCATAAGTTCCTGATCTGCAGTATTGTCTTCATTGCAAATATTCAGTGTACATATTCGTCCAAACAGAAGCTTCTCCAATCATGACTCTGACCAATTCTCTGCTCGAGTTTATTTATTATTCATGGACTCCTCGCAGAGCCTCGCACTGAATCTACTACCACTACCACTACTACTACTACTCCATCGCTCCATGGCCTGCGCTGGGAAGTAATTAAAGACATTTTCAGAATACTAATTTGGAGGAGCTGTATTCTGTCATGGTTACAGTTTCATTTTGTGGTTTTCAGTTACTTTTCTAAACTTTGTGGTGTTTGATCATGTCATTGAAAAGGTCTGTATCCCATTTTTTCTCCATCTAGTCAAGCAAAGTCTGTCTTGCCCTTGTACAAGAAACAGAAAATACATATTCTCTTTCATTTAGTGGTACTTTTCAGGTTACTTTCCTAAATGAAAATGAATACATGACAGTACTTCTTCATGGTATTAGTGAAAAAAATAGAAAACACAGATCTTGCAGTGCATGTGTGTGTGATTTTCTGTCTCTTTTCTTTTTTTTTATTGTGATATTAGAGACAGACAGTAAAAAGTATTAGACATTTTGGCTTGATGGGATGGAGAGAGTGTGCAACAAGGTTTGAAGGAGTGGCGAGACAATAAGGAGGGAAAGTGTGAGAGTGTGAGTGTGTGTGTGTGTGTGTGTGAGGAAGTAAGTAATAAAACAGAAGAGATGTAAGAGTGTAAGAGCGAGAGGATAATAAAACAAACATAAAAAGTAAGAAAAAGACTTTTGGTGTGAGATTTTTCATTTATACAGAACCATATACAAGAAAATGATAGTGCCTGATGTTCTGACTGTGGTGCTTGGGTTTTCAGATCAAACATTGACACACTCCCAGGGAATTCAGCAAACCATTACAGTGTGTTTGGCATGATTATTGCACTATTCTGAGGGAATGGAAGACCACAGCACTTCCCTGGTTTCATAAATGATTAAATGATGTGATGTCTTGAGATTCGGTACAATCTGTCGGATCAGTGAGAGAAATTAATGAAAATTTGGGGACCTTTTATGAGCTGTGGGGCAATGAGCAGACCCACGCCAGCTCGCCGCCGCTCCCCGCTGCTCCCCATGGCCAACGGCAGAGAAATGGAGAGTCCAGCCCTTCTCAAGGAGTTTTATTCCAGAGCCCAGAATGTGCGCCCAAGCTCAGGGTCCTTCCCCCCCAGCGAGGTGACATTCCAAGTCCCCAGAGCTAGTTTCCATGTCCGGAGACATCGCCTCTGATCGCCGATGCCCCCCCCCTTTGACTGCCGCCCAGATCTCTCTGCACTGGCCCCATATGGATCCTTCCGGGGGAGGTGGGTCCTTGGGAGGACGGCCCCAGGTTGCTCCTTTGGGCTGAACCCAGTCGGGCCCCATGGTGGAAGGCCTGGCCACCAGGCGCTCACTGGTAAGCACCCCCCCCCGGGCCTGGCTCCAGGGTGGGGCCCTGGTAACGCCAATCCGAGTGATGTCACTGGCCTCTGAGTATCATTCATCATAAGGAGCTTCTGAACCGCTCTTGGTCTAACCCGTCCCCCAGGACCCGTTTGCCTTGGGTGACCCTACCAGGAGCATGAAGCCCCCGACAACACAGCTCCCAGGGATCATTTGGGGACTCAAACCCCTCCACCACGTTAAGGTGTCGGTTCAGGGAGGGGTAATTATTCTTGTAATTAATGATAATTCTCTCTTTTTCCTCCTTTTCTTCTCTTTCTTTCCCTGTTCCTTCTCCATCCTTTCTTCTCCTTTCATTACCCCTTTGTTCCTTTGTTAATTATTTATCATTTACTTATGTATTTGATTTTCCTTTTCTAATTGGACATAAATGAATGCCTAAAAAAAAAAAAAAGTGGTTTATAATTGTCCACAGATCTTCAGTGTTCCAGGGTTCCCACTCTTTTTCACTGACAAAATTTAAAAACTGTGTGAAAAGTGAATTTTCCATGACTTTATGTGTAAAACTGATCAGACTTTTGCAGTATAACTAAGTATTCTTCCCATCACTGAGTACAGATATGTTTTATAAGCAGAAACTCTTATAAACTCATCATGGTGAGTAATTAGGACCACTGCTTAAAATGGACTAGTTCTGTTTTTCATGTTTTTAAGACAGTAAAAATCAGATAGAGCACCTTTAACCTGGCCAAATTGAATAAATTTAACTCAGGATAACAGTGTAGAGATAATTATAAAACCCATTATGATTTCAAAAGTGCATTTTCTGTTCCAACACCTCAACAGCAGACCACAGTCCCTACAGGCAAACAATACAATCTTATTAACACACACATAGGCGACTGCAGTCTATTCAATATTAATTAGCTCGAACAGTGTGTAATAGTCACTCTACTTACCCAGAATGCCTTGCTCTCCTCTGGGAAACGGGATAAATACACAATCAACAATAGCGTACTTGTAATCCGAAACCGATAATTCAGTAATTCAACCCAACAAAATCGACCGAAAACGTGTATTCATTCACCTCAAATCTATTTATTTCCTGGTACAAAGCTTCTAGGTCCAAATAAAACACAGCAAAACTCTCAAACGCACTCAAATGTACACAACTTAAGCTATTTTTACAAGTCATTGCTTACAAGGCCGTGTTAAAGGCGCATTGTGTCACTTTTTCCGGTGGCGGATCCGTCGTCCGTCGTCCGTCGTCGCTTTTCTCCATGGATATTATGTTATTGCTTTGTCTGGAATGTTTCGCAGTGTGGCTTTAAACCCTTCTATCTTCACGGAAACCAAACCAGACCACGTTCCGAGTCAGATCTGCGGAGAGGCGACGCCCGCTCCCAGTCAGAATGTAGTTTTTCTCTGTATTTTTGAGCTTTAAAACCACCCGTAATTGAATAAACGCGAAGTAGAGCCGTTTAATGTCACACTGCGGAACATTCCAGGCAGAGCGATGCACGACGTATCCATAGAAACAAGCAGACGACGCGACTTCCACCAGAAAAGTGACACACTGCTCTTTAAAGTGCCCCTTCAATGTTTAAAAATGAGCTAAGAGTAAGAAGTAATGTAAAAGTTATAATCACATTTCGCCGGAACAGCTTGCAGATAGAAGAAATAATTATGTGTAAATACAAAAAAATGTGAAGTTTTCCATGACTAATAATACAATATTTTGATTTTTTTGTTACGTGTGGGTGGTTGCGAGAAGCGAGTTTCATTCCGACGATTTTGGCAAACACTTACATAAATGTAGAATGAAATATTTCTGATCCGTTATTATGATTTTAATGTTGTTTTCTCGTCAAAAACAAACCCGGAGTTGCTTTACTCAAACTGAAAACGCTCTGTTCCATCTTGGATTTACACAATTTGTTTTAGTCTCATCGAAACTGCTTCACTCCTCGACGCACCAGCAGATATTAGAGACTTTCTATAAACTGTACAAAAGTTGAAACTAAATATTCTAAAATAAAAGCAGCAAATGAAACAAAACAACTCCTGGTATGTTTTTGAGGATTATAACGTGACTAAACGCTCACGAGAGTCAGGTTTGAGTAATATAAGACCTTTAAATCAACAAGTTTACTGATCCAAAAAATCGTGGAAAGAAATGTGAAATGTTTAAACCTACAAATATCAGTAATACCTTGGAAAGTAGAAAGAAAAACCTTAACTTGTATATTTCAGTTTCAGCATTAAACTTTACTTTATTACACTGCCATAAAGGAGCATCTGCAACTTGAATTTTTAAGTATTAATCTTGATTTGAGTCAGTTTAGATTAATTTAGAAATGCAATTTTTACTTTAAATTCCCAGTAAAAAGGGTGGACAAGATGAGACGAGACACGAGATTGAGTCCACGAGAACGAGACAAGACGAGATTTTGACATCATTTCTAAACTGTAAATAGTCTGATTTAGTTCCCAATGTTGTCTTCAGAATTTGTGTTTACCGTATTTTTCGGAATATAAGTTGCACTTTTTTTCATGGTTTGAGTGTTTCCTGCGACTTATACTCCAGTGCAACTTACATATAAAAATTTTCACACTGACAGCGGCACAAGAGGGCGCTCTAGTCTTGTGTGTCAGTATCTGCTGCTCCTGTTCCTCCTGTACCACTGTCACTTCACTCTACTGCACATGTCTCCTGCAGAAAGAGCCTCCATCCTGCTGCAAGTAGTGACATAAGCAGTCGAATACGGTAATCGAGCAGCAGAAAGTAAGTTTGGAGTGAGCAAGAAACTTGTGACACCGGGAGAGTGCGCCATGAAACTTTCCTGGAAGTCACTGGATGGATCGACAAAGCCTGGACTTCAGAAAGGCCGGAATAATTCTAACTGGAACTGATGCAGAGTCTGACGAAAGCTACACAGAAGAGGAAGCGGTGCTCTGTTTACCTCCGGAGGTCGTGGAGTTGCTCAGAAGTGACACCGAGGATGAAGAATTGAATGGATTTAGTGATTTGGAGTGAGATGGAGAGTTTGTTAAACTTGTTCTGTTCTGTTGTTTATGTTATATTTATCTGAAGAACTGTTCATATGTGACGTTAACAGTTTGTTGTTCTCTGTTTTATTGTTATTACTAGAACTTGTCTTTCAAGATGAAATTACTATGGGAAATATTAATCACGGGAACTAAAAGGTTTAAAAGGTGCACCATCCGCCCCCGCTTGACTCCATCTAGATGTCATTTTTTTCCTGGAATGCTCCACAGTACGGCATTTAATTTAACTATCTCCATGGAGACAAACGGCCACATCACCGGGCCAAGTTACAGGTCAGATCTGCAAAGAACTGAGCCCCACTTACTTTGTAATAATGCACGTTTTTGTGGTCGTGTTGCGAAATAAAAACTCTCTAGTTTAATAAATGCATAATATATTTGTTTAAAGCCATACTGTGGAACCTCCCAGGCAATGCAAAAAAAAAAAAAAATCAACATGGAGACCAGCAGAAAAGTTACACAGTGCACTTTTAACTGATGTAAAACTATGCTAAATATCTATCAAGGGAAATAGTTTAAAAAGTGCACCATGTAATTTTTTTGTATGAGTCCTGCACCTGGTTGTATCCATGGAGATTTCAAGATGAAATGTCAGTTCCTCATCGCTGATTTTATAAAATAAATTTCCTCAAAAAAAGTGCGACTTACATGTTTTTTTCTTCTTCATTACGCATTTTTTGGCTGGTGCGACCTATCCTCCGGAGCGGCTTATAATCCGAAAAATACGGTATTTCATTTAATATTTTTGTTGTCATTTTAGCCCGTGCTTTTTGGAACTACGGCTTCTCAAAAGATGCAACCCGCCCACACGTAACCTTTTTTTTGTCCAAACCAAATGGGGAAAAAAATCTCATGAGATCTTGTGGCGTTTTTGTTTTTGTGTTTTGGAGATCTTGTCCCATCCCTACTAATAACTTAACTACTCAAATCAATATTGTGAATTCAAGCTGTTACGAAGCTATAACTTATATCATACAAAGTTCCTCTACATCTGTTTCAGTACAAGTTTAAGTGTAATTTTTTGGTGGGTGAAAATGTTACGAATTTCGCCTAGAACGTTTCACACTTTGACTTTATCTAACCCCAGTGGAGACTACAACCTACGCGAGAAGATAGAGAACATTAATGCCCACTGGGAACATTCCAGGCAAAGCAATCACGTCTCCATAGAAACAGACACCCTCTCGAAATGTTACATAGTGCATTTTAAATTATGTTTTTGTTTTTTGCTGCAAATTAAAGTGCGTATGACAGGTGAGATTACTTCACTAAAACATACCGTAGTTAACATGTTTGGATTTCAAATTTGACTTATTTTTTTGAATGAAGTGTATAATTTTACTTCCTGGCAGTGGAGTTGATTTCATAAGTGTTACCTAGCAACCGTAATGTAAACAAGAGGCAAAACTTGGGCTAAATGACACCGAAGTTATGATTAGACTCATAAAAATAAATTACAGTGTTTTTATTTTGTTAAATGAAGCTTTAAACTGTAAAAACGTCTTCCTGGTGCATAAATGATCTTGTATTTTGGATTAAATTTTCTGCGTTTCAGAACTCAGTGTTACTTCTTGCATTTTTGTCCAATTTTATTTTCAACTTTTTCCCACTAATTGCTTTTTAAAGGTGCACTGTGTAACTTTTGTGGTGGAAGATCCGCCCCCTGCTTGACTCCATGTAGATGTTATGTTAGGTTATTTTCTCCTGGAATGCTCCACAGTATGGCATTTAGTTTAACTATCTCCATGGAGACAAGCGGCCACATCACCGGGCCAAGTTACAAGTCAGATCCGTGGAGAACTGAGCCCCACTTACAGTAATAACTTATGTTTTTGTGGTCATTTTGTAAAATAAAAACGCCTATATTTTAATAAATGCATAATATATTTGTTTAAAGCCATACTGTGGAGCATTTAATTTAATCTCCATGACGACAACTGGCCGCATCACTGTGCCGTTACAGGTCAGATCTGTGGAGAAGTGGGCCCTCTTAATATTAACACAAATTAATAATGCACGTTTTTGTGGTCATTTTGTGAAATAAAAACGCCTATATTTTAATAAACGCATATATTTACAAATATATTAGTTTAATGCCATACTGTGGAACATCCCTGGCAATGCAAAAAAATAAATAAATAAAAAAATCACCATGGAGACAAGCAGAAAAGTTACACAGTGCACCTTTAACTGATGTAAAACTACGGTAAATATTTATCAAGGGAACTAGTTTAAAAGGTGCACCATGTAACTTTTCTGATAGAGGGTCTGCCCCCGCTTGACTCCATCTAGATGTTATTTTTTTCCCTGGAATGCTCCACAGTATGGCATTTAACTTAACTATCTCCATGGAGACAAGCGGCCACATCACTTTACCAAGTTACAGGTCAGATCTGTGGAGAAGCGGGCCCACTTACTGTAATAACGCAAGTTTTAAAACTATAGTTTAATAAACGCCTAATATATTTGTTTAAAGCCATACTGTGGAACATCCCAGGCAACGTAAAAAAAAAAAAAAAATCACCATGGAGACAAGCAGAAAAGTTACACAGTGCACTTTTAAATGATGTAAAAACTAGGGTAAATATTTATCAAAGGACCTAGTTTAAAAGGCGCACCATGTAACTTTTCTGATAGAGGCTCTGCCCCCGCTTGACTCCATCTAGATGTCATTTTTTTTCCTGGAATGCTCCACAGTATAGCATTTAACTTAACTATCTCCATGGAGACAAGCGGCCACATCACCTGGCCAAGTTACAGGTCAGATCCACGGAGAAAGTGGGCCCACTTATTGTAATAACTCACGTTTTTGGTCGTTGGTCTGGTCGTTTTGCGAAATAAAAAAGCGCCTCAAGTTTAATAAATGCATAATATATTTGTTTAATGCCATACTGTGGAACCTCCCAGGCAACGCAAAACAAAAAAATCACCATGGAGACCAGCAGGAAAGTTACACAGTGCACTTTTAACTGATGTAAAACCATGCTAAATATCTATCAGCGGAACTAGTTTAAAGATGCATCGTGTAACTTTTCTGGTAGAGGATCCACCCCCGCTTGACTCCAACAAGATGTCATTTTTTTTTCCTGGAATGCTCCACAGTACGGCATTTAATTTATCTCCATGGAGACAAGTGGCCACATCACTTTACCGAGTTACAGGTCAGATCCGTGGAGAAGTGAGCCCCACTTGCTGTAATAACGCAAATTTTTGTCAACATTTTGCAAAATAAAAAAGCTCCGGTATTTTATTAAATGCATAATATTTTTGTTTAATGCCATACTGTGGAACATCCCAGGCAACGAAAAAATAAAAAATCACCATGGAGACAAGCTGAAAAGTCAAAAAGCTACACAGTGCAACTTTAATTGATGTAAAACTATGCTAAATATCTATGACGAGAATTAGTTTAAAAGGTGCACCATGTAATTTTTTTGGTATGAGTCCAGCACCTGGTTGTATCCATGGAGATTTCGCAGAATGTCCCACAGTATTGCTTTAAACTTTCTTATTATAGGTTATTTTTTATTTTTTTACAACAAAACAACACCTTAAAAAAACATGTATTCTACTGTAAGTGGGTCCACCTCTTCACAAACCCGACCTGTAAACTCGGTGCTTTCTTTAATATCACGCTACAACAACATCTCCATGGTGACGGACCCTCCACCCGGAAAATTCCACAGCGCACCTTTAACTTTGAGGTTCTACGTGTTAATTAGAAGAATATTAAACCCGTCATACGCACTTTGAATCATGGAAAACTACAAAAGATGCTATTTCACTGTACGTAAACTCGCTTATTTCTCCTTCCTCTTCACATCAGCGTTTGCATAAGTTGTAGTACTATTTAGTCTAATGAAATACTATTTACTCGAGTATTTTGTGGTACGGGAACAAAGGCAGGTCCTTAGTGAAAGTGGGAATGTCCATTATGGGATTGGCACCGGGGATTCTTTCCGAGGGGGGCAGGTAGAACAGCCTGGACACCTCTCCGTACGTGGATCCGCTCTCCTCGTCGTCGCCGCTTTCATCCCCCTTTCGTCTCTCGGCTCCCCCCTCCGCGTCCTGCTCCTCCACGCCGAAACCGACCACCTGGGGGCGACAAAGCTCCGTTACAGATTTCACTTACAAGGGAGTGGAATGTGTGGAGCTGAGCAATGTGAGCAGTGGGAATGTTTTTTTTTCTCTTTTTTTTGGAAATATCTTTGAAAGTATTTGAGTATTTTTATTTCGAACAGATGGAAAAAAGACAAAGTGAAATAGGAGAGGTCCACAGTCAGTCTTATGTCAGTAAAAACATGTGATTTTATATTAATTTAAGGTGCTATATTACACAAAATTGACTCTTGTGATCTTTAAGACGTGTTAGAATGTTGTTACCTCATCAAAATCTGAGTTGTTTTTTGTTTCATTCACACATGTTTGACTACGTTATTACATCTCCAAAGCTGAAAATGTTCTATTCTAGCTTTTCGATGTCACGAAGTGGTACTTTTCAAGTTAACAGCTACTAGAGATTGGCGATTCCAGGGCTGAAATGATCAGTTTGAGAGAAGAACTCAGCCTAAATATGCAGGGTTTGTGTATTAAACATGTGTGAGTGAAACAAAACACAACTCCAGGTCTGTTTGTGATGAGGAAACAACATTATAACAGATCAGAAAATAGCATAATATGAGCCCTTTAATGCATTGTTTCCCAGAGAGTGGGTTGTGACTCTCATGTGGGTCGCAAAAGATTTTTTTTTGGGTCGTCTTGTCACGATCTGCATGTAGGTCTGCAATATACAGGTCCGTTTGCGGGTAAAAACGACAAAATATTTTATCTGAAGTGCCTTTTGTTTTGGGGCTTAAAAATGCAAAAATCTGAAACCACCCTTCAGAGTGGAAAAGTTGAATACACTCCGCCGTAGTGTTTCTGTCTACACTGCCCAAGACGCAAAACTCTAGTCAGACCTGCTCAGGTTGCGTACACGTTTACGTCACAAACATCACCACCTAGTGTCACCACGTAGCCGCCTGGCATGTATACACAATCAAATTCCACACACTTTTGCATCACTGTATACATATTCCTCCCGAAAACGCTTGAACACAGAAAATTTAAAAGTTCTCTTCTGTTCAGACTGTCATTGTACAAACGTAGCCACAGTTCTGACACATGAAAGAGCGAGTGACTCTTTTGTTCCAATATTGCTGGTTCAGTTGAATGTTGAAAAGAAAAAGAAATGGGCATATTTAATGTCCAAATAGGCGACTTATTAATCCTTTTATTGCTGGTTCAAGGACTGTTTTTCATTGTTTAAAACTTGAGTAATATTAATTGTTCATTGAGACACGATCACTCAGTCAACAATAGAATATCCTCAATAATCTTCAATAGTGGTTAAATCTACTTTTATTTTGTGATTATGAATAATGTTGACTTGAGTTGCGAAGGTCTGAGACAGAGGTGGGGACTTGCAAGTGGTGATTTGGACTCGAGTCAGACATGAGTCACTATTTTTAGGACTTGAGACTTGGCTTGATAAAATGGACTAAGACTTGGGACTCGACTTAGACTTGAAGGTCAGTGACTTGGGATTTGACTCGGACTTGAGGCCTGTGACTTGAGAAGCACTTTTAAATCCGAATTCTTTCTATTCTGATTCACTCTAAGATCTTGTCAATACATTTAAAACGGAAAGATTTAAATTTCTACAACTCAATAGAAATATACTATAATAGTTTAAGTACAATTTAGTTTAAAATTCATATAAATTGCAAAAATCTAAGCTCTATTTGGTAAGACTTATAGACTTGAAATGACTTGAAGCTCAAAGCAGACGACTTGGACTTGACTTGGACTTATGGGCCAGTGACTCGAGACTCGACTTGGACTTGCTTGTATTTGATTTGGGGACTTGACTCGGACTTGAGGTCAAAGACTTGAGACTTACTTGAGACTTGCAAAACAACGACTCGGTCCCACCTCTGGTTTGAGACTTTTAATGGGTTTTAATGGGTCCCCAGAAAGATAGTTTGGGGAACACTGCTTTAATGTCTATGGTATTTCTAATAAAGCAACTCAACTGCATAATGTCACATGCACTGAGGAGAGAAGGCTAAAAACAATAGAGAATTAAGATGCTATTGTAATCCGAGTGTTGGAATGTTCAGTGTAAGTCTGGACCAAGTGTTCGGACTGAATGATGCACTTCATGGACTGGCCCCAGTGTACATTTCAGACCTCATTGTTCCTTACACTCTTTCGCTCGCTCTGACATCTGACGGCCTGATACAACTTTCAGAAACGGGACACAAAAGCCGGGCCTTTTCTGTGGTTGGCCCCAAAATCTGGAACGCTCTTCTCCGTCACATTAAGCGCGCCCCTTCAGTCGATTCTTTTACGTCTCGTTTAAAAACACACTTTTACTCACTGTCTTTTAACACGACGTGAGAATTGCATGGTCCTCTGACTGTCTTTTATTGATTTTATTTGCTTTTTTTAATGTGTTGGTAACACTTTATAATAACTACACCTTATTTAGCCTTAATAAAGCATGAACAAAGACTTAATTAATAATGATTCATGCTTAATAACTACTTAATTACTACCTTAATTAGCGTTTAACTTGCATTTAATTCGCCTGTGCTGTAAATAGTTACTCATAAGTATTTCTTAATTATTACTCATGAACTAACAATTTGCATGTTTACAAATGCATATTTAAGTACACATTTGAGCATTTATTAATCATTAGTAAACTATGACAGAATGATTTACTAATAATACAATGCAATGATCATTCAGGCAGCTGTTATCTGTTAGTTAAGTCTTTTTGAGAGCTTTTCTAAAGTGAAGGCTAATAATGCTTTATTAAGCATTTGTTAAGGTTGGTCAAATTCCACAGAAACAATAATGCATTACTAGTAAATCATTCTCTCATGGCTTACTAATCATTAATAAATGCTCAAATTTGTACTTAAATATACATTTACAAATGGTTAGTTCGTGAGTAATTAAGTAAGAAATATTTACGAGTAACTATTTACAGCACAGGCAAATTAAGTGCAAGTTAAGTGCTAATTCAGGTAATAATTAAGTAGTTACTAAGTGTGAATCATTATTAATTAAGTCTTTGTTCATTATTAATTAAGTCTTTGTTCATGCTTTATTAAGGCTAAATAAGGTGTAGTTATTATAAAAGTGTTACCAATGTTTTTTTTGTTTTTATTGACTTGCTTATTTATGTATGTTATACTTTATTTTATTCAGTGTGTTAATTTATATTGTGTCTACTCTGTGCAGCGCTTTGGAGACTTTGTGTTGGTAAAATGTGATATACAAATAAAGTCGGACTGGATTGGAAACCACAGACGCACTTCCTTTTTCACCGCCTAATGACATCACAAGGTGGATCTGGATGTTATGATCGAGGAGTGAATGAAACAAAACACAACCGTAGATATTTTTTTAAGAATGCTGAGTAAATTTCGCACATTAGACGTATTTTTTTAGTGCTCTTACGTGTACGCTGAGTTTGCGGCTGGTGGACCCTCGATGCTCCTGGAACCACGACACCAGCTCCTCCTTGGTCATCTGCTTCAAGGCTGCGATCTGAAACGCAAACACGGACAATACAGCGCTCATCGTGGCAGAAAACAGATGCTGGTGGTGTCCTACGTGCATCTCTTCTGGCGGAATGTTCAGCAGTTTCCGTGGCGACACAATGAGCACATTAACAAACAAAAAGACAACGTTATATTTTACGTTATATATTTTGCGCACCAGGCTTTACACAAGTCTAGATTTTTTACACTAGATACCTTTCATAACATCGCACTTCATTTTTCCAGACTTGGGACTGGCAAAAACGTCCGTAGGGGTGTGTAAAAATATTGAAATATCGATGTATCGTATCGTTTAATTTGATGATACAGTATCGATATCGTGGGCAAGAGTATTTTTAGGTATATTTTACTCAATAATTTTGTGTAAGAGATACAATTGTGTTGACATTTTCACAGTTTTGATGAGTAAAATTGGTGTTTTTCATTAACTCTGCCCAATCTTAGTAAACTTTTTGTATCACAGCCATGATTTTTTAGCCTTTGTTTTTCACTGAACCGACCAAATCGATTTGAAATTTACCGTACTGAATCGAAAAACATATCATATCACGGTCTATGTATCGAGGTATGTATCGTATCGGCAACTTCTTAATGATACTCAGTTCTAGACGTCACCCAAAGTGTTCGGCTTCCAAAATGAAGCTCATGAGGCCAGCAGTTATGGGGGAATTTGGAGCCCCTATTAGGAATAAGACATTTATTTACGGACAAAATAGCGAAATAAAAACTTAAGAATCACATACAGCGTGATTTAAAATCTCTTACAGCAGTACTTGGGATAATAGACTCAAAAATCTGAGCATCAGGTGTTACAGTTTACCTGTCTGCTTGCACGAAGATTAATTTTATTGAAGTGGAAACGGGCAGAGCCTCCCTCACATGTGAACTGGTTCAGAGATGTTATGATGCATTTGGATCTAGAGAAAATTAGACACTCTTTGCAGGGTCAGGAAGATACATTTAACAGGATATGGTCACCTTTTATTAGCTTATTTAAAGAAGGCATTTAAACTACTATTTAAGTCCGAGCTATATGATGGGATTTGTACTATCCACCTTTTCAACTTATACATTTTGGTGAAATATTATTACTTTTTGTCTGTGTGAATGTTCAGTTGCTTTTATTTCAGTTTTTTTCTGTTTTACTCTCATCCAACATACAATATTAATCATCTATAAGGGTCCTAAGATGTTATTGACAAATATAATGACATGTATATTTTTGGTATACCTTGTTTGAAAGGCTGCTTAATTTTTTTTAACATGTCTGACATCTTATTTTATGGACTGACACTGTGTATTGGATGTCAAAAACACAATAACCAGAGTGTTAAAAAAAAAGAATCACATACAGCGGAGTAATAGTAACATTTTAAGACCAAAATGACGAGGCTCACGGCAGCAGTTACAGAGAGAGGGATGATTTTTCAGTGTAAAGTCAATTGTCGATGGAGCGGGAAGCACGGCCTTGCTCGCTTCCTATTTGGAACACGGCGACTAGCAGGTTAGCTCCACTACCAGTCAAAAGTTTTAGAACATCACACTTTTTCCAGTTTTTTTTACCGTTTCCTGTTGACCAAAACGTATTCTAAACTTTTGATTCATGAAAGTGTCCACCTTTGGCAGATATAACAGCTGAACACACTCGTGGCTCGTTCTTTTTACAATAGAAATCAAATATTCTTCAGAAAGTTCTTCCCAAGTCTGTTGCAGAAGTTTCCATAAATGTGTGGCACTTGTAGGTTTCTTGACTTTCACTCTTTTGTCCAGTTCAGCCCAAACCAGCTCGATGGGGTTTAAGTCTGGACAGGACACTCCATGTTTCCAAGTTTAACATCTTGTTCTTTTGACAGAGCTTGGACTTGTGTTTTGTTATATTTTATGTTTTTTTTTAACCTCTGTCTGTTCAGTTCTTACCTTTGTACCATTTCAAGCTTTTCATTGGACTTGCACGACTTGAATTGCGATAAATAACTGGAAAAATGAGAGCGCTCTAAAGCTTCCGACCTGTAGTGCTTGTCCATTTATATATACAGTCTCTGCTTGTACTCTGTCACATCTGTACAGTCCGTCTTACCTCTTTTAGCAGGCGGTCAAAGACGTACTGCTGCGTGAGGACTTCTGACCAGTTGCGGTCCACCTCCTCCCCCAGGTGGGTGTCCTCGCACTCCTTCAGCTTCACCAGAGCCGTCACCTGGAGCCAAGCACACACACAGGACACCGCATCAGGACTGGCACGAAACCGGTACTGACAATTTGTACTACACTCTAAGTACAAGTGCCTCTGCTTAGTTTGTTCTTAAAGATGCATTGTGTAACTTTTCTGGTGGGGGAATCCATCAAAACGTTTTTCTCCGTGATGATGTTATTGCTTTGCTTATGGTCCACTGTATGACATTAAACGCATCTATCTATCTAGTATTTCTTCATTACGGGGGTTTCTATTGCTCAAAAATCCAATAATTCCTTCTGTGATTAGGGTCGCCTCTCCACAGATCTGACCTGTACTGTAATGTAGCCTATAGTCGTCTCCTTTTGGAATAGATGGGTTTAATCTCTACCGTGGAACATTCCTAGACAAAGCAATAATAATAATGATTCACAGTACGGTATTAAACCTTTCTATCTTCATGGAGACCAAACAAGACCAGGTTACAGGTCAGGTCTGCGGAGAGGTGACCCCACGCAGTCAGAATACCTGTTTTTCTAGATATTTTTGAGCAATAAAACAACTTGTGATTGAGTAAATGTAAAGTAAAGCTGTTTAATGTCACACTGTGGAACATTCCAGACAGAGGAATGATGTCTCCATAGAAACATAGCGCATCTTTAAGTAAAAGTTTGATTTAAGGGACAAGGGATCTAAGGCAGGGGTGTCAAACTCAAATTCACAGAGGACCAAAATTAAAAACTGGGGCTAAGTCGTGGGCCAAACTAAATATTTATTGAAAAATTTCAACAACATCTGGATGTTTTCTCTTCTTTCGAGATATGTAATGTTAAAACCTTTTCTGATTCAAATAAATGTTTAATAATAGTTTTGCTTAAACATTGAATCCAAAACAAGCATAATATAAAATAATAACAACATTTTAAATTAATATTGTCTCTATAGTCTATCTGTAACTGGTGGGCAGCTCTAATACATCTCACGGGTCAAATATAATTATATCACGGGCCAAATTTGGTCCCCGGGCCTGAGTTGGACATGTCTGATCTAAGGGGACACACAGAAACTCTAAACTTGCCGAAATGTTCTACTAGAGTACTGAAAATGAATTGAAAAATGAACTGAAAACTGAAAATTCGAGTAAAAGTACAGCTACTTTTTGTGTACTAAAATGTACTCAATTACAAGTACAGGTATTGCAGTTAAATTTGTACTTAAAGGTGCCCTGTGTACCTTTTCTGGTGGAATGAATGTACTATGGCTTTGAATTTATCTTGCATTTATTCAGTTTTAAGTGGCTTTATTGCTTAGATTTATTAGGACATACAATGTTTCGGGACTAGGGCTTCATCGCTTTTTATTTTTTATTTTTACCCGATGAAGGCCTAGTGCCGAAACACTGTATGTCCAAACCAATCTCACCATTACGTGTGACGGATTTTTCTCTATGTTCTCGGGCTGCTCCCTCTCCTCCAACGCACCCGCTTCAAGAAGCTCTCATTCATTTTAATTTATATAGGTGACTTTATTGCTAAAAATATATTAAAATACATGTATTCATCCTGGGAGTTGGCTTAGTGGCATTTATGCTTTACTGGGAAATTTTCCAGGGAAAGAAATAACTTTAAAAAAAAAGAAAAAAGACTAGCAGATGGTAGAACTGCCACCGGAAAAGTTACATACAGCAATTTTAAAGTAAAAATATAAAGTATGCATAAAAAATACTACTCTTTAGAAGCATTTTAGAAGGGGCAGAACGTAAAACAAAACAAAAAATATAATTAAACAGTGAAATTAAGTTAAAAAACACACTTCCTGTACATGTGTGTGAATGTTTTTGACGCAGAAACATTATAACATAAAAAAATAAATAAATATAAAGAATTTGCATGGCATAAACCCTTTGAACGTAGGATCCCCAACTCCACGCCTAGAATAACATCGAGGAGGATTTGTAGTTCGTTATTTTCCGCCCCTGCAGACTTCACCGACCTGCGTATTGAAAGCCTCCTCCGTCAGCGCGTTGAGCTTCTCCCCAAAAGACGCCAAGAACTCTTCAATCTTTAACTCCACCAACTCGGAGCTGAGGGGCAGACACATCGGATTCCTCCAGTCAAATACTTTCCACAGGTTTAGCGCCGACTGTTGCCATTGTGAACTCACTTGAACTTGGTGGCCTGCGTCTCCACGGTAACGGAAAAGCCCAGAACTCCCGATGTGTTTCTGCATGTGGGGTAGACGTGGTACCTGAACGGGAGAAAGCGCAGAGAGGCGTTTGTCATTCATATTTATGTTTGGAAGACTTTAATCAGCCGTTTGTTTTTCTTCTCTTTACATAACAGGTAGAGAGCTGAGGGCCCTAAAGGTGCAACGTGTAACTTTTCTGGTGGGGGGTCCGTCAAATGCTTTTCTTCACGGAGATGTTGTTGCTCTGGAATGATTCAGAATATGTCATAAAACCCAATCCGTGAATCATTCATTTTTCAAAATAAAACCAAAAATAAGAAAACAAAAACAAAACAAAAAAAAAATCTTCATTATTTGTCTCCAAAACCAAAATGGAAAAAAAACCAAAAAAACAGATAATGGGAAAAAAAAACTGATAACAACCGTTTCCCGTGTCTGTGACTTAAATTATGATGTCGGACTGAACCAAGACTAAACCAGGACTGAACCGTTTTCAGTCCTGGTCTGGTCCCGGTCTCAGTCCCGCTCTGGTCCTGGTCTGATCCTGGCCTCAGTCCTAGTCTCAGTCCTAGTCTCAGTCCCGGTCTGGTCTCAGTCTGGTCCCAGTCTGGTCCCGGTCTCAGTCCCGGTCTCAGTCCTGGTCTGGTCCCAGTCTAGTCCCAGTCTGGTCCCGGTCTCAGTCCTGGTCTGTTCCCGGTCTCAGTCCTGGTCTGCTCCCGGTCTCAGTCCTGGTCTGGTCCCAGTCTCAGTCCTGGTCTGGTCCCAGTCTCAGTCCTGGTCTGTTCCCAGTCTCAGTCCCAGTCTCAGTCCTGGTCTGCTCCCGGTCTCAGTCCCAGTCTCAGTCCTGGTCTGCTCCCGGTCTCAGTCCTGGTCTGGTCCCAGTCTCAGTCCTGGTCTGGTCCCGGTCTCAGTCCTGGTCTGTTCCTGGTCTCAGTCCCAGTCTCAGTCCCGATCACAGTCCTGATCTGCTCCCGGTCTCAGTCCTGGTCTGGTCCCAGACTCAGTCCTGTTTGTTCCCGGTCTTAGTCCAAGTCTCAGTCCTGGTTTGTTCCCGGTCTCAGTCCCAGTCTCAGTCCCAGTCTCAGTTCCAGTCTCAGTCCTGGTCTCAGTCCCAGTCTGGTTCCGGTATGGTCCCGGACCTGGTTTAGTCCTGGTATAATCCTGTTTTAGTCCTGGTTCAGTCCGTATGCGGTGCAAAAGTCGCAGTTTAAGTCACAGAAACGGGAAACAGGCGTTATCTGTTTTTTCCATTCTTCATTTAAACACAAAATCGAAAACTGAAAAAATGAATCATTATCTGCTTTTTTTCATTTTGGTTTTGGAGACAAATAATGAAGAAAACTGTTGTTTTTTCATTTTCTTCTTTTTGTTTTTATTTTGAAAAACGAATGAACGAATGACACACAGATTAAACTCCTTTCTGTTTTCATGGAGACTAAACCAGATCAAGTTCCAGGTCAGATCTGTGGAGAGGCGACCCCGCTCACAGTCAGAATGCCTGTTTGCCTAGATATTTTTGAGCTATAAAACCACCTGTAATTTATTAAATGTAAGGCAGAGCTGCTTAATGTCACACTGTGGAACATTTCAGGCTGAGCTGTGACATATCCATAGAAACAAGCAGGTGACGCACCGCCAACCAAAAAGTTACGTAGTACACCTTTATAGAAATCACATGATCATTTAATTCCCTTAAACCTCTGTAATAATTGTGGAGGATTCCTGAGATCTTTATTCCATCTGAATTCGTCATGTCTGTAATTTGTAAAGTAAAAAATCTGCCGCAAATGACCTACTACCGTATGTTTCACTAAACACAGACGTCCAGTGATAATACGAGTCCCGCGCGAAACTGCATCTCAGTGTTTTTTTGTTGTAATTGCGCCTTTTCTATCTCTTTCATTTCTTTTCGAGTTCTTTTCTCTTTCAATCTCAGTCAATGTCAGTAAAATAGAGTAAATTACGGACTTTGTTTATCCCGTGCGAATGTGCTGCAAGTAACACAGAGGTGGGGCGGTAATTGGCGAATTATCGTACTTGTACTTGTCCCATGTGAATAGGGCTAAAGTCACTATGGGATAAGCATTTCACGTTTTCTAAGTCAAAGGTGCCACCTGTTTGTCTCCATGGAGATGTTACTGCTTTGCCCAGAATGTTCCATGGTATGACATTAAACATTTCAATCTAGCATTTAGTCATTACAGGTGTTTCTATTGCTCAAAAATACAATAATTTACTACTACTACTACTACTGCTCCTACTCCTCCTCCTCCTACTACTACTACTACTACTACTCCTCCTCCTCCTACTACTACTCCTACTTATCCTGCTACTACTTCTACTCCTCCTCTTCCTCCTCCTACTCCTACTACTTCTACTCCTCCTACTTCTCCTACTCCTCCTACTACTACTCCTACTCATCCTGCTACTACTTCTACTCCTCCTCTTCCTCCTCCTACTCCTACTACTTCTACTCCTCCTACTTCTCCTACTCCTCCTACTACTACTCCTACTCATCCTGCTACTACTTCTACTCCTCCTCTTCCTCCTCCTACTCCTACTACTTCTACTCCTCCTCTTCCTCCTCCTACTCCTACTACTTCTACTCCTCCTACTCCTCCTCCTACTCCTACTACTACTCCTACTACTACTCCTACTCATCCTGCTACTACTTCTACTCCTCCTCTTCCTCCTCCTACTCCTACTACTACTCCTACTACTATTCCTACTCCTCCTCCTCCTCCTACTACTTCTACTCCTCCTACTCCTACTCCTCCTACTCCTCCTCCTACTACTTCTATTCCTCCTCCTCCTACTACTTCTACTCCTCCTACTCCTACTCCTCCTACTCCTCCTCCTCGTCCTACTACTACTACTCCTACTCCTCCTCCTCCTACTACTACTCCTACTCATCCTGCTACTACTTCTACTCCTCCTCTTCCTCCTCCTACTCCTACTACTTCTACTCCTCCTCCTCCTCCTCCTCCTACTCCTCCTCCTCCTCCTCCTCCTACTACTTCTATTCCTCCTCCTCCTACTACTTCTACTCCTCCTACTCCTCCTCCTCCTACTACTACTCCTCCTCCTCCTCCTACTACTACTCCTACTACTTCTCGTCCTACTACTACTCCTACTCATCCTGCTACTACTCCTACTCCACCTACTCCTCCTCCTCCTCCTACTACTACTACTCCTACTACTTCTCGTCCTACTACTACTCCTACTCGTCCTGCTACTACTTCTCCTCCTACTCCTCCTGCTACTACTTCTACTCCTCCTACTCCTCCTGCTACTACTTCTACTCCTCCTACTCCTACTACTACTACTACTACTCCTACTCCTACTCGTCCTCCTCTTCCTCCTACTACTACTACTCCTACTCGTCCTGCTACTACATCTACTCCTCCTCCTCCTACTATTCCTACTACTACTCCTACTCCTACTTCTCCTACTCCTACTACTACTCCTACTCGTCCTCCTCTTCCTCCTACTACTACTACTCCTACTCCTACTTCTCCTACTCCTACTACTCATCCTGCTACTACTTCTACTCCTCCTACTCCTCCTGCTACTACTTCTACTCCTCCTACTCCTACTACTACTACTACTACTACTCCTACTCCTACTCGTCCTCCTCTTCCTCCTACTACTACTACTCCTACTCCCACTACTACTCCTACTACTTCTCCTCCTACTCCTCCTCCTACTACTACTCCTACTCATCCTGCTACTACTTCTACTCCTCCTCCTCCTCCTACTGCTCCTAATAATAATACAAATAATAATGTCTTTATAACTATACTTTTTATATACTGTGAAGTGCCTGGATTTCATTGTGTCTATAGTTCTGATCCTTTTTCCAAGAGCGCCTCTACCTGCTCTCACTGATTGGAACACCTGCAGCAAACAGCCACGTTTTGTTTTTTCTGTACAGGAGGTTTAATCTATACTTTCCAGAACATTACAGACAAAGTAATAACATTTCCGTGAAGATAAACACGTGGCAGACCCTCCAATAGAAATACTACGCAGTGCACCTTTAAAGAAGTCCATTGTGCTTGTGACTGCTATACATTTATGATCTATGACACCTGTGGATCGTTATGTTATAATCTGCACATTTTCAATCGTAATATTCGGCTAAAACGACTTAATAAAAGAAATAAGTCTGCTGGATTCCACGTTAAAAAAACTGTGGTACCCAATGAGATTTGACGTCGCTGTAAACGCATCACTGCAAAGAGTCATGCGGCTGTTAGCACCTCTGATGGATAGTATGGCAGCGGATTTTTTTCCCCATTTGTGTTAAAACAGGCGACAGAACATTGACAAAAAACAAAACTGGAGAATGAAGTAAAGTACAATGTCTTGAATACAGGAAAATAAAGTTGACTAAAGATGCACAATTCACTCTAAAAACAACTTCAGATGGGAAATGAGGCGAGGAAACAACTATAAAAGCTCTGAACACTTGATTCTGAGTAATAGTCTGCTTTTTCCATTGGCCGTTAGAGCTCCCTCTGCTGTTCACTTGCTTCACTAACAGACCCAGGCTTTTGTCATTAACACAATTTAAGCAGAGAACGAGTCCAGTGATGGTTTATGGCCTTATTTGTGACACAGCCATCTGAGAACAATGCAAACGGAGCATTTCTGAGAGCCCCGAGAAGACAGCTTTGGATAAATGGATTAGTAAAACAAGCGTGAACTAATCAAAACACGACTCCAGGTATGTATTTGATGAGAGGACAACAGTATAACGTGGTTAAAAGCTCAGAAAGGTCAATTTTGCATAATACATGTCCTTTAAAGGGATATTGTGGGTTTTAGAGCGGTGCTGGACGGGCTAGTTAGCAGAAGACATTTGTGTGTGCTGCTCTGGGACGACTGGACAAGTGAGATATGCCAAACAGCGCCGCGGGCACAAGGTGATTTCAAAATGCCAAGCGCTTATTACAACCGCTAGTGGCAATTCTACTGTTTCTCTGCTTCTCTCATTGATGTTTGGGGGAGTTAAGGCGAGGGCTCAGAACAAGGACACAACTTTATATTTCAGGCGGATTAAAAGGTTCACTATAGAACTGTTTAGGTGGAGAGTATGGCACTTTTGTCTCCATGGAAATGTCATTGCTTGGCCTGGAATGTTCCACAGTATGACATTAAATCTGAGGGCATTAAAAGGTCAAGTTACAGGGCAGATCTGTGACCGAAGAGCAACAGAGGAATAAAAGCACACACGTTTAAGGCAAACCTATTCTCCAAACTCGACTTTTCAGAGCTTTTATCCATGTTATAGTTGTTTCCTCTTCTCATTTACCCTCTTGAAGTTGTACCGTATTTTCCGCACCACAGGGCACGCTCTTAAGCCTCCAACCCCATCAAAAAAACAACTGCACGCCCCACACCCTATACACGAATCCACTCAGGTGTCCCAGCACGACTTCAATAAACTGCAAAGCCGCACCACCCGCAGCGCACGCAAACACACACGGAGCAGACAGCGACTGTGCAGCGAAAAACACCCGAAGACACACTCATCACTCCACGCCGGCGAGGAACGGAACGGAGGAACGAACCGAAAAGGCGAGTGCGACGTGCCGCTTCTAGACACAACTGAACAACTGAGTCACTGCGAACACGCCGACGATCCAGCGGTCCCAGACAGCACCCTCCCTACACGCCACAACTGAACAAAGCCCAGAGTCACTGTGAACGCGACAAACAAAGTCCAACTGACCCATCCAACTGTTGTGTTTCGTTTAAACTCCGGCGCGGTTTAATTGTGAAAAAAGTTCGAAAATAGACCATTTAATGACAAGTGCGCTTTATAATCCCGAGCGCCCTTGAGTGTGGAAAATACGGTATTTGGATTGATTCGTGCATGTTTGAGTAATCTTTAATCACTTTATTTTCAATGTGCCATATTGCAGACCATCCCCTGTTTTCACCACCGCTGATATACTCTCACAGCTCTGTACTCGGCCATACCGACTTGTCAAAGCCTGATCCCGTCAGATCTCAGAATCTCTGCAGGGCCGGGCCTGGTTAGTACTTGCCTGGGAGACCAGTGGGAAAATCCGGTGCCACAGGGGGCGTCACTCACAAAAATTGCTGTTGTATCCTTAGGCAAGAAACATCACCCACATTGCCAAGTATGAAAGTGGAGTGTGCGTGAGAGATTGGCAGCCGCGCTTATGCCAGTCTGCCCCAGGACAGCTGTGGAGGCAATGTGGGGAAGTGTCTTGCCTCAGGACACAACAACAGTTTTTGTGACTGGCACCCCCCCTGTGGCACCTGGAATTCCCAGCGGTCTCCCATCCAAATACTAACCAGTCCCGGCCCTGCTGAGCTTCTAAGATCCTAACGGGACCAGGCTTTGACAAACCGGTATGACCACAAACTTATATCTGTGAAAAGCACTATATAAATAAAAACTTACTTACTTCGTTCTCCAGTTTCATTTTCTTTACTGGTGATACGCAGAGGATTTGGCTACGCTGCATAGTCATTTTCGTACAAATGGAAAAAAAAAACCTGCTATTCGCTAGTGTGATCAGTCAAAGTTGCCAACCCTTTGTGATGACGTTTACTGTGACGTCTGCTCCCACTGGGCACCACAGTTTTTTTTAAAGTGAGTGTGAGTGGGCTTGTTTCGTATATAGGTTTAGATTAATATTGTGATCAAATAAAATATGCAAATTATAACATATTGATCCACAGGTGTCATAGATTCTAACTATATCGCAGTTACAAGCACAATAGGTCTTCTTCAGTGCCATATTGTGGAAAATTCCCGGTAAAAGTTCGATAGTACATCTTTTAAACGCTCTTCTTGCTCAGACCTGAACAGCTGAAGTACTTCTAACTATTAATTATTAAAAGGTCATGTGAAATACAGAGTAAAGTGTTACCCGAGGGTTTCTTTGGTCCTGAGAAAGTCAAAGCAGGGCTCCTCCATGTGCATCTGAAAACACATGGTCACAGATTCAGCCAAACTCTCAAAACAGAGCAAAATAAAGAAGGACTTTAAATGACTCCAATAAAAAATAAAATGTTTTGAATTGTTGCTGTTTTAGTCAGCAAAAAATCTGGCATTGACATTTTTTCTTTCATTAATTAATGTCTGTACTCTTTTATAAACTTGTGTACATTAATACACTGATTTTCAGCCAGGAACACTAGTGTGCTTTGAGAGACTGCCAGGTACGCCTCGGAAAAATGCCCATTTTGACTATTTCACAAAGCAATTTCATGTAATAATTGGCCATTTTGGGGTGTCCCGGGCAAACTTCTGAACCAAAAAAGACACAAAAATGACTACTATTCCACGTTCCCTGGTGCCAGACACAGTGACATGGATATTCTTAAGAAAATAAAATAAAAAGAGAGTGAATTTTCATCTGTAGTCCGTGGACAAAAATGAACTGAACTGAATCTTGAACTTACCACCAAGAGCTCCATCAGTGTGTGCTCTCTCAGTGACTTGGGACCTGACTGAAAAATATAAACAAAACCTTATTATTAAAAGCAGATCTTCATAACATTTACATTAAAGGTCCTATATAAAACAAAATTGAGCCATGTTCGAATGTTGTTACCTGATTAGAAACCTGGAGTTGTGTTTTGCTTCATTCACACATGTTTGAGTAACTCTTTATTATTAGTCTTTCTACATCTCTAAAGCTCAGATGAAGCAGTCGTTTTCAAGTTAGCAGGTTTACCTTTGGTTCACAGAGTTCCCACTTTTTTTCACTGATAAAATTTCAAAATTTTCCATGACGTTTTCATGACCTAAAGTGAATTTTCCATGACTTTATGGCACCTACATGTGAAGAATTGATCAGATTTTTAGGGCTAAATATGAAATGTTAACCCTTTCCACTCACCTTAAGGTTTGGTATTATAGTTTTTAACATTCAAAATGCTGTCAATTAGGGTTGGGTGTTGTTAAGAAGTTGCCGATACAATACATACTTCAATACACAGCCCAATCCCAATCCGGGGGACGTAACTGGCCTCTGTATCGAACTCATCCTATGGGGCTTCTGAACTGCTACCAGGAGCATGAAGCTCCCAACAACATAGCTCCCGGGATCATTCGGGCAATCAAAGTCCTCGACCACGTTAAGGTGATGATTCAAGGTTGCCACTGGGAGGAGACCCCGGGGAAGACCAGAACACGCTAGAGGAACTATGTCTCTCGGCTGGCCTGGGAACGCCTTGGGGTCCCTCCGAAGAGCTGGAAAAAGCGTCTGGGGTGGAGGAAGTCTGGGAGTCCCTGCTTAGACTGCTGCCACTGTGACCCAGCCCCGGATCAGCAGAAGAAAATGGACGGATGGAGATCTTGTCCCGAAATCAACTTTTTTGCCACTAAGCTTTATATATATATATGTTATATGGTGTCTTGTCTACGGTCACTATAATATTTTTGCTAATTGTAGTTCAAACTAGGTACATTTGCAGCCTTTCTGTCCAGAAACGGCGATTCCAAGTACTACATGACATCACGCATGACTGCCCTGATTAGAGCTAGAGCGTTTGAAGTGTGGATGCAGGTTAGACCATTCTCGCTGTTCCTTACAACTCCAGACCCTGCCTATCCTCCAGTTTAGTTGTTTGGGTTTAGTACTATGATACATATCTCAATACCATGCACTTTCGATTTGATTTGATATAGTAAAAGTCTTTGTTAAACCGCTTCTTGTGCAAATTTTAATCATCAAAACAGCGAAAATGTCAAATGTGTTGCATAAACGAGTTTCCTTCCACTAAACAAGCAACAAAACTATAGCGCTGTAACAAAATAATTTAGTAAAATATACCAAAAAATACTTAGCAACATATCGATACAGCAGCTCACGATATCAATACTGTATCATCACATTAAACGATATTATATATCGATTTATCAGTATTTTTGCACACCCCTACTGTCAGTGCATTTATTGTCGTCTCTTTTAAACAAAAGGCACAGACGTTCAGAAATAATCATAATAGTCTAATGAGAACTTAACAGAACGCTGTAGTTGTGTGAAAGAGATACTAAAATTCCATGACTATTCCAGGCCTGGAGAATGACATTTTCAATTTCCATGACGTTTCCAGGATGTCCATGACTGTGGGACAGAACAGATTGGCAATTCCAGGCCTGAAATTATCCAGATGATTCTAGTGAAGGTGTATGGAGTTTAAAAACATAGTGGAGGACTTCCTGTATTACCACATGAAACAACATAATAACAGATCAGAAAATAACACAATACGGGCTCTTTAACTCTGCTTTTACACATGTACAGACTTGTATTTATACCTGATAATAAACTGTGACTTCTGAGTTGGCGTCTCCCTTGTTGAGCGACTTCACTTTGCATATGTGGTGCTTCTGCGGCAGCTCCACCACTCGGAACGTGACCGGCACCTCCGCTGGCAGCTTGGAGAACTGCAGCTTGCTGTTTGAATGACAGAGAGAGAGAGAAAGGGCTCAGCGGTGGGCGTGGAGGTCAGACAGAACAGCACGGAGAGATAATGGGTCAAACTGTCAGTGTAAATTATAGAGTAAGGAAGTAAACAGGGGTCAAAGTGGCGCTAAGGAAAAAAAAAAAAAAAAGAACAACATTGAATTTGATACTTACTCCATGACGTACTGCAAGAACTCTGCCGACTCCTGCGGGAAAAAAATACAATGAGGTTTGATGAAGAAGAGGAGGACAATAAAGTAAGAATAAATATTAGATTGTTATTATCTCGTCAAAAACATACCCGGAGTTGTGTTTTGCTTCATTTACACGTGTAATTCTGTTTTGCAAGTCTGTCTACTGCAGCTCAAAACGCTCTGTTCCACCTTGTAATGTCACAAAGCGATAGTTTTCAAGTTAGCGCGACCTTTTACCTTTTGTTCACTTGAGATTGGCAATTCCGAGCCTGAAATCATCCGAATGATTCTGCTGAAGGTGTGTGCACGTCTTGTTTTACTACATGACATCACGAGTTGGAACAGTTTGAATTGTCTGAGAGAAGAACTCGGCCTAAATGTGCAGGGTTTGTGAGTTAAACGTGTGAATGGAAACAAAACACAACTCCAGGTGCGTTTTTGATGACAACATTATAACACAGATCAGAAAATTGTGTAATATCAGGATTTAGAGGTGCTATTTACTTTATGTAGAGCTTTTTAGGGTAGTTCATTGGTGCATCGTGTAACCAGATGGTAGCCAGTTCAATCCACGGCCAAGCACTAGCTGTTGTAGTCGTTTGTCACTAAATCACAGGGGTGGGACGAGACGCAATTTTCACAGCACGAGATTGGGTGCACGAGAACGAGACAAGACGAGATTTGGATGAAATTTGTAATAAATAAAAATAGAGAAGCCAAAATTGTAAAATGGATTGCACTACTCATTTATGTTCTACTTTAGCGGCGTTTGCAGTACTGCTTTTTGGAACTGCGGCTTCTCAAATTGCATAACTCACCAGCTCTTAAAGGGATAGTTCGGGATTTTTGACATAAATCTGTATGGCATCCCCGTGAGCAGTGTCGTGCATCCACACTGACTTACCCCCGGAAGCGTCCGGTGAACCGAGATACTGGCCGTTTTCGGTGCTGACGAAAGTAGTCCGGCAAGTTGGCTGGGGACTGTATAATAAAGCGTTTTTCTTCTCAAAACAATATGTGTTCAGAAGAGTGATACATTTGCATCACAAAACCATCGTCGCCTACAAAGTCAGACCTCATTATCACTTGGCACTATTTTCTTTCCTCTTCTCTTTCCTTCCTCACTTCCCTTCCTCCTCTTTTCTTTCTCCCTTCCTCTTCCTCATCTCTTTCCTTCCTCACCTTCCTTCCTCCTCCTCTCTTCCTCCCTTCCTCCTCCTCTTCTCCTTCTTTCCTTGCCTTCCTTCCTCCTCTCTTCCTCCTTCTCTTTCCTTCCTCCTCTCTTCCTCCTTCTCTTTCCTTCCTCCTCTCTTCCTCCTTCTGTTCGTGCGGCCGCCAGGTGACAGTCGCGCACAAATCCATCACTTTGTTCAGTTGTTGGGCAGTGTTTACATGCGCAGACCGCCGCGACGCGAGACAGCTAACATGAGAGCTAGAGTGATAAGTATATGAGCTTGTATAAGATACATAAGAATATATACCTAAAAAACGGTGCGAACTCTTGATTATCCAGGCTGTAAAAACAAAAAACACAGAAAAACGCTGAAAAAGGCCAGTATCTCGGCTCACCGGACGCTGTCGGGGGATGCCATACAGATTTCAAAGTCAAAAGTCAAAAATCCCGAGCTATCCCTTTAACTCTTTTTTTTATATCCAAGCCAAAGGTAGATTCAAAGGGAAAAAACTCTCACGAGATTAATTTTTCCTCACGTGTGTGCAATCTTTTAGCAATTTTGTCTTATGAGATCTTGTCCCATGCCTGGAGATCCGTCGTCGTCGATCTCCCTGCACCAGATGTCCCCACAGCAGCCCCTTATGGATACTCCCGCGGGTGGTGGGAGGGAGGACGGCCCCACGTTGTTTCTTTGGGCTGTGAATGGCTGGGCCCCCTTTTACGAAGGCCACCAGACGCTTGCCATCGAGCACCCACCCCAGGCCTTCAGGGTGGGGCCCTTGTAACACCAATCCGGGGGACGTAACTGGCCTCTGTATCGAACTCATCCTATGGGGCTTCTGAACTGCTACCAGGAGCATGAAGCCCCCAACAACATAGCTCCCGGGATCATTCGGGCAATCAAAGTCCTCGACCAAGTTAAGGTGATGATTCAAGGGTTGCCACTGGGAGGAGACCCCGGGGAAGACCCAGAACACGCTAGAGGAACTATGTCTCTCGGCTGGCCTGGGAACGTCTTGGGGTCCCTCCGGAAGAGCTGGAAAAAGCGTCTGGGGTGAGGAAGTCTGGGAGTCCCTGCTTAGACTGCTGCCACTGTGACCCAGCCCCGGATCAGCAGAAGAAAATGGACGGATGGAGATCTTGTCCCGAAATCAACTTTTTTGCCACTAAGCTTTATATATATATATGTTATATGGTGTCTTGTCTACGGTCACTATAATATTTTTGCTAATTGTAGTTCAAACTAGGTACATTTGCAGCCTTTCTGTCCAGAAACGGCGATTCCAAGTACTACATGACATCACGCATGACTGCCCTGATTAGAGCTAGAGCGTTTGAAGTGTGGATGCAGGTTAGACCATTCTCGCTGTTCCTTACAACTCCAGACCCTGCCTATCCTCCAGTTTAGTTGTTTGGGTTTAGGTGTTTAAACCCACTTTAAAAAAGAACCAAAGATATTCAAGTTCAACATCTACAACATGTGGGCATTGATCTGGCTATCCTCTAGTTCACTGGTGAGTGCTTAACCCACTACACCACCGCCACTCCCAGTAATTAAAGAAAAACTCACAGCGCTGGTGAAGTTGCCCTGCACCAGCCCCTCGGCGAACATCTCCGACTTGAAACACCGACTGAACTCCATCAGGTCGTCCATCGTGAGCCCCGCCGACAGAGCCTGGTACTTCTCCACCATGGACCAGCGGGAGTGCTCCAGGATCAGCAGACGCACGTCCCTACGGAGGAGAGGGGGAGGAGGACGGGAGGAGAGAAAGAGGAGAGAAGGAGGAGAGAAGGAGGAGATGAGGAGGAGAGGAGTATCAGTGATAAAGGAGGAAGATGTGGCGGAGAGAAGGAAACATTTTGAAAGAAAGTGTGACAGAGGGAGAGAGGATGTGAGAGAGGAAGAGAGGAGTGTGATGGAGATGAGGAGGAAGGGAGGAAGAGAGGAGGAGGACAGAGAGGAGCAGGAAGGAAAGAGAAGAGAAGAAAAAAGAGAGGAGGAGGAGGAAGGTGAGGAAGGAAAGAGAAGAGGAGGAGGAAGGGAGGAAGAGAGGAGGAGGACAGAAAGAAGGAGAAAGGAAAGAGGAGAGAAGAAGAAAGAAAGAGAGGAGGAGGAAGGAAGGCGAGGAAGGAAAGAGAAGAGGAGGATGGGAGGAGGAGAGGAGGAGGAAGGAAAGAGAAGAGGAGGAGGAAGGGAGGAAGAGAGGAGGAGGAAGAGAGGCGAGGATGGAAAAAGAAGAGGAGGATGGGAGGAAGAGAGAAGGAGGAAGGAAAGAGAAGGAGGAAGAGAGGAGGAGGAAGGGAGGTGAGGAAGGAAAGAGAAGAGGAGGAGGAAGGGAGGAAGAGAGGAGGAAGGAAAGAGAAGGAGGAAGAGAGGAGGAGGAAGGAAGGCAAGGAAAGAAGGAGAAGAGGAGGAGGAAGGGAGGAGGAGGAAGGAAGGTGAGGAAGGAAAGAGATGAGGAAGAGGAAGGGAGAAAGAAAAGAGGAGGAAGGGAAGTGAGGAAGGAAAGGGAAGAGGAGGAGGAGGACAGGTGGAAGGGAGGTGAGGAGGAAGGAAAGAGGAGAGGAGGAGGAAGGGAGGTGAGGGGAGAAAGTGGGAGGAGGGGAGGAGGAGGTGTTTTATTGCAACTTTGCAATAAAACTTTGCCAAATGCCAAATGCTAAACAGCAAGCCAAAAAGCAAATGATAAAAACTGTCAAAATAATTTTCTATTTACAAAAACAAAATTGCCAGAATGATTAAAGCATTTATAACTCACATGTAATTCTACCCAGAAACAGCTTTCAAAACAACTAAAAATAAAAGCATCAAATTACTTTATTTTCCAGTTTTCCAAGTTTTGACAATTAAAAAAGTTATTATTATCTACATTTAGATTGAGACTTTGAAGTGACATCAACTTTAAAAACAAGAAAAAAACACAAAATCCCTACAGCTTTACAACAACTCACCCTTATAGAATATAATACTCCCTACGACTGTACAACAATTCACCCTTATGTAACAGATAATACTCCCTACAACTCATCTTTATCTAATAGATAATAATCCCTACGACTGTACAACAACTCACCCTTATGTAACAGATAATACTCCCTACAACTCATCTTTATCTAATAGATAATAATCCCTACAACTCAGCTTTATCTAATAGATAATAATCCCTACAATTCACCTTTATGTCATAGGTAATATTCCCTACAACTGTACAACAACTCACCCTTATGTAACAGATATAATCCCTACAACTCACCTTTATGTAATAGATAATACTCCCTACAACTGTAAAAAAAAAACCTCACACTTATGTAACAGAAAATACTCCCTACAATTGTATAACCCTTATGTAATAGATAATACTCCCTACAGCAGTACAAATACTTGCTCTTATGTCATAGATAATACTCCCTACAACTCACCTTTTTGTAACAGATAATATTCCCTACAACTGTACAACAACTCACCCTTGTGTCATAGATAATACTCCCTACAACTCCCCTTTACGTAACAGATAATACTCCCTACAACTCACCTTTGCATAACAGATAATAATCCCTACAACTCACCTTTACATAACAGATAATACTCCCCACAACTCACCTTTATGTAACAGATAATACTCCCCACAACTCACCTTTACATAACAGATAATACTCCCTACAACTGCACAACAACTCACCCTTGTCATAAATAATACTCGCTACAACTGTACAACTCACCCATATGTTACAGATAATACTCCCTACTACTGGACAACAACTCACCCTTGTGTCATATATAATACTCCCTACAACAGTCATAGATAATACTCAGATATAGTTCTATTACTGTACATTTACATTTACATAATTGCACTTTATTTGACACTTGTCTCTTTCTATTTTTGCCACTTATTTTAAATTTATTATCACTATTTATATATTTTTTTCTCTTTTAAACTTTGCTCCGTAACTCTCTCCAACACGTGCCTCCACGCAGCCGCCACTAGAAGGCGCCGCTCCCACCACCGAGCCTCCTCCCTCCCTCCCTCCCTGCCCCCCAGAGCCCGGGCCCAGCGCGGAGCCGGCATCACTCACTTGCCAAGTTTCTCAGGTTTAATGAGGATGTTGAAGTAGGTTTTCTTGAGCTGCTCCGAGAACATGGTGAAGACGCCGGGGGAGGCGCTGAAACTCGCCAGGTGGTCCACTATGAGACGGAACAGCAGCTAGAGCCGGAGGAAAAAGCACAGAACAAGGCAGCGCTTTGTTACGGACGGTTGTTAGAAAGAGCGCGGCCAATGAGCATGAGTCACTTCTGCGCCGCTGTTGTTGTTACAAAAGTTCTGAGGCCGGCGTGGGACCCAATTGGACTCAGAACATTTCATGCAATAAAGCGAGGAGTTCGTAAGACGCTACACATGCCTGGAGTTGTGTTTAGGCTTGGTGCACTCTGTTCCACCTTCTGATGTCATTGAGTGGTGATACTGAAAGAGCTCCAAACATCTTCACTAGAATAATTCGGATAATTTGCAGTCCTAATGACCAAACTTTAAAGCTACAGGTTTTGTTTTCACCTTGTTGAAACATCTTTTTCTTCTTGGTGCACATAAAAGCCTTTCTGTGGCAACTTCAACTGAACAAAAAGTAAAATGAGAACATGTTTTAAAGGTAACAGCACATGCTTATTGTAGTGTATTGTAAAGCAGAGTCCTGCACCGGGTCGGGTACCTGCAGATACGGGCAAATAGTTGCTGAAACGGGCGGGTTTTAACGTTGTGGAATTTTACGGGCGGATAGTATTTACACACGAGCGGGTCAGGACTAAATCAGGACTAAACCAGGACTAAACCAGGACTAAACCAGGACTAATCTTGGACTTAAGAGAAAACAAAACAAAACACAATTCCAGGTATATTTTTGAGGAGGTAACCACTCGGGCTGAGTATCATTAAGAAGTTGCCGATACGGTGCATGCCTCGATACAGTGCACTTTTGATTCAGTACGGTTTGATAAGATATATTTCAATTCAATTTGATACAGTTCAATAAAAAAAATAAAGGCTAAATCAAGGCTGTGATGCTAAAAAATGTTTCAATATTAAACAAAAAATAAGAAAATGAAAAAAAAAAAAAACAACTTTTTTCTTCATTATTTGTCTCCAAAACCAAAATGAAAAAAACAGATAACGATTCTTTTTCAGTTTTCGATTTTGTGTTTAAATGAAAAATGGAAAAAATGGATAACGGCCGTTTCTGTGACTTCAACTGCAATGTCGGACTTTTGCACCACATACAGACTGAACTAGGACTAAACCAGAACTGAACCAGTAGTGTCGGGACGGGCCTAGAGGTGCGCCCGCATAGACTGTTGGGTGATCAGGACTGTGATCAGGACTGAGACCAGGTCTGGTCCTGATCTCAGTGCCGGTCTCAGTCCTGGTCTCAGTCCCGGTCTCAGTCCCGGTCTCAGTCCCGGTCTCAGTCCCGGTCTCAGTCCCGGTCTCAGTCCGGCATTGCAGTTTTAGTCCGAAAACGGTCTTCATTTAAACACAAAACTAAAAACTGAAAAAAATGAATCCTTATCCATTTTTTCATTTTGGTTTTGGAGAAAAATAATGAAGAAAAAATATAAGTTTTTTTGTGTTCTTATTTTTTGTGTTATATTGAACAACGAATGAACAAATGACACATGGATTCTAAAAGTCTTTGTGAAACCACTTTTTGTGCGAAGTGAATATGAAATACATCCATTTTAATCATTAAAACAGTGAAAATGTCAAATGTGTCGCATAAACGAGTTTCCTTCCTCTAAACAAGCAACAAAAATGTCGCGCTGTATCAAAATAATTCTGTAAAATAAACCAAAAAATACTCTTGGTGATATATCGATACAGCAGCCCATGATATCGATACTGTATCATCACATTAAACGATACGATATATTGATATTTGTATATTTTTTTAATTGTTATTAACAATTCAAAACAAAATGTATTCAAATTATATCAATGTTACTATGAACAGCAAATCAAAAACCATAAATAGTGCTTAAATTAAACGTCCTGTACCCAAGTTTCCCAGAGTATTTGAGCAAAATGTGTTTGCCCCAGTACAGATTTTGTATAAGCAGCTCTTAACCTCAAACTAAATCAGCGATCTACTGCCTGCATCTAATTGTAAAGTGTTTTATTGTCTTCAGCATGCTAGTTGTAGTTACTGTGAAAGCAAAAGTCCATTTCGGTCTCAGAATTAGGAACCTCACACTAACATGCTGAGAACAAGCAAACAAAACAAAGAACAACAGTTATGAACGTAACTCTAGTTCTATGAATCCCGAAAAAAAGCCAGAGTAGCAAGGATAAACTAAAACTTGACATTTTGCTGCGAGACGAGCGACATTTCATAATTATCACCGTCAGAGTGAATTTAAAGACTATTCAGATACAAATTTTTGCTCATCTAATCAAATTTTTAAAGTAATGCTGTGCAAAAAGTGTCGTACAAAACATAATGTAGTAAGTGTAAATACAGACCGACATGTTTAAAATTCTTGTAAAGTTCTTGAAGCGTGCGCAGTGACGGTGTGAGAAGAATGCATTCCAACATGGCCAAGGTTGACTGATGCATTGTGGGTGTGTAATATCCCTGCATACTTAACACTGTCCAGAGTGACCCTGCTTACAAAATACCACCGATAATAGGCACCTCTCTCACTACTCACAGAGCCTTCCAAATGATAGTATCAAAAATAATGATCTGACATTTCGGACGCCGCTGAACTGAATTAATATTGAGAAAACTAAGTAGAGATGAAGTGTTGGAGATAAAGTGGCTGCTGCTTCCTGTATGGTGCTTATGTAATACGCAAAATTAACTCTTGTGAACTTTAAGCCGTGATATAAGGTTGTTATCTCCTTAAAAACACACCCGGAGTTGTGTTTTATTTCATTCACACATATTTGAATAATCTTTTACTATCAGTTAACAGATTCCAGGTAGGGCCGCTCGATAATGGAAAAAAAAAACTTTGTCACGATTATTTTGGTTAATATTGAAATTACGATTATTTAAAACAATTACTTTTTAGTTACACGATGCATTTATTCAGCAATTCTCTCTCTCAAAAAAGCCAATTTGTTTCTGATAATTTACGTAAAACTTTCAAATTGAAAATAAATAGAGGCTACAAATATGTATAAAACATAAAATGAATAAAATATACTTTGAACATGAAGTAAGACATAGAAAAACATAAATGTATCCAAAATAAACCATATATCCAGCTGTTCTACAATCTCTATATTTCAAAAATAAAATAAATACTGTATTTTTCAGACTATAAGGCGCACTTAAAATCGCTTTAATCTTCTCAAAAATCCGGTGCGCCTTATGTATTACAATTAATTCTGGTTGTGCTTAATGACCTCGAACCAATTTTATGTGGTACACGATGCCCAAAAATCTGTCAAAATGTTTAATGCAACTTTAGTAAGATAAGCAGTAGAGGCCTGCACAAACAGAATTTGCAGTCCCGCTCCCGCCCGCATTTGTGATATTTTGTTCCGCTCTCGCTTGCAAATCACACATGATGTAGATGTTCGCTTTCTTAAGATCTATCAAACACAGAGAAGCGGAAAGGAATTGTCTAAAATGTGCGTGAGATTAGACCACATCTGCAAGTTCAGGCTGCTTAAAATGTTTTTATTCATGCCAAATAAAATATCCAGCATAAACGACGTATGCATTCATCTTTTGTAAATTTTACTTTACACTAATATTTAGTTTGCGGGACTGCAGTTTATCATCCCATCCGCCCACACCCGCATTGTGCAGTCCTGCTCCTGGCTGCGACTGCAATGAGCTTTCAAAATGTGTCCCTGCTCTGTTTTGCACAAAAGCCACACCGGTTGATGGATTTTCAGAGCATTATGGCTACTGTAGTCTGGAGCTTCACGGAGTCTGACAGAAGCAGAACCGCATCAGCACACAAGAAGCAAGCAGTTTTTTTTTAAAGTGCTTACAGTTTATGCAAATTAGCCATGTGGTTTTAAGTTTTGTTTCTGTAAAACATAAACAAATGTGCCAAAGCTGCATTAAACACATTATTACTCAATGTATATTTGAGTCCTACTCATAGGAAATTAAAACAAACTTAAATTATCCACAATCAGGGAGGCAACGCCACGATCTGCCAATGGATTGTGAACGCCTGGGCTAAAGGATCAGTCTCAAGTGTCGTCTGCTTGTTTCACTTAATCCGATGCACCTTATGTATGAAAATAGACAAGAGAATCCAACGTTAGTAATATTGCGCCTTATAGTCCGGAAAATACAGTATACATGCACAGCCTTGATTCCAGGTCTGAAATAATTCGAATGATTCTAGTGAAGGTGTATAGAGTTTAAAAACACAGTGGAGCACTTCTTGTATTACCACATGACATAACAAAGTGGAATAGTGAGTATTTTGAATGCTGGATAGAAAAACTCAGCCTAAATATACAGGCTTGTGTGTTAAACGCGTAAATGAAACAAAACACAGCTCCAAGTTCGTGACGAGGAAACGGCATTATAACATAGGCACTTTAAATACGCAGTACTTTTCATGTGAACAGTGAAGCCTCCTTGAGCAACACCGCATCGTCCGTGGCATCAAGGACTGCGAAAAATACAAGTAAAAGAATACAGCGTTCCTTTTGCGCTCCTACAATACAGCAGACAGCATTGTTCGTGTGTGAATGCATTCCTTCTGCAAAACAACTGTACAAGCTGGACTGGAACTAGCAAAGAATATGCGAACGGTACTTTTTGTAAAATACTTGGGATCCAGGCCAAACATTTTAAGCCGGTCTAAACTGAGACTGGACAAGGTAAGTTACATAATGAGGATCCCAATGAAAGGCAAAAAAGATGAATGGGTTTGTCTGGAACTAGTGCTCAAACTGCAGCTGGACACGAACGCAAAAATCTGGTTAGGAGCTGAATTTTTTTGAATTTTTAAAAGATTATTAAAATGACACATCGGGACTCAGAGCTTTAAAAAACGGAAAACTGAAACTGCCTCACTTTACTCTCCAGGCTAAGTCACTCCCCCTTCAGTGCGCCATCACAGCACATCAGATTTGCCAAGTTGTTGTGCACAGTTTTGTATCATGTTTTTTTAATATTTATTGAGAATTGTTGTGTGGGAGCGTGGGTGACATCAAGACGGTTTGAATAAGGCTCGGGAGAGATCGCTAAATTACTCAAACATGCATGGATGACGTCTAAAACCTAAATCTAAATGGGAGAATTAAAATAACACATCAGGTTTTGGGGTGTGCGTGTCATTCAAGTAATCTTAGTTACCGGTGTGCAAAAATATTGAAATATCGATATATCGTATCGTTTAATGTGATGATACAGTATCGATATCGTGGGCTGCTGTATCGATATATCACCAAGAGTATTTTTTGGTATATTTTACTAAGTTATTTTGTTAAAGTGCTACAGTTTTGTTGCTTGTTTAGTCAAAGAAAACTCCTTTATGCAACCCATTTGACATTTTCACTGATTTGATCATTAAAATGTTTGTGTTTCATATTAAATTTGCACAAAAAGTGGATTAACAAAGACTTTTAGTTTCACAGCCACGATTTAGACGTTATTTTTTTATTGAACTGTATCGAATCGTTTTGAAATATATTGTATCGAATCGAAAGTTCACTGTATCAAGATATGCATCGTATCGCGGCCTATGTATCGAGGTATGTATCGTATCGGCAACTTCTTAATGATACCCAGCCTTACTCTTAATTGCCCAGATAAACCAGATAACCGTCAGTCTGATTTTGGTGTGCATGTCAGTTTAGCCAGTGTTAATTGTGTTAATTTTGCCAAACAAAATATTATCTGCATAGTTTTCATCATATTTTTGTGGACTAAACTTCAAATGATGAGAACTTGACATAAATGAATCAAAAAAATGTGTGTGGAATTTTCAAACCCAGAGCCTCAAACCAGATCCTAAGCAAATTCTGTGACCAAGAAACGCATCTGTAGTGTCCCATCAAGCAATGACATGACAAAAAAAACAAAAATATAACTTATTTGCTTGGTTACTAAAACTATTAAATTTTCACATACTAGTTTGACAAACACTAGAAACTTGGGGCTGATATGAATTTTTTGATATATCCTGAGATATCCTATATTTGTCCTGCTGCTATGGCCAATGAACTGAATTTATCTTCAGTTAAAGTTAAAAATTTCATTTTCACATTTGTAAAAATAATAGCAAAATGTATTTATCTGGGAAATAAAATAATTAGTTACATGTTTCTGTAAAATTACAGCCATAAAAAATCTTCCTATATCAATTTTTACACATTAGTTTGTTCATAAAGGGCACAAAGAAAATGGGATAATGAAGAAAAAAAAATCAGTATTGAGTACTGATATCGCCAAATATGGATATAAAAAAAAAATCGATATCAGTCTCAGTAGATACCAATACTGGAACTGATGTATCACCTATCCCTACAACAACTAGCATGCTAATGTGCACTTCCTGACTGTCGGAGAATAAAAACACTTCATAATTCGATGCAGACAGTGGGCAGTGGACTGGTTTGACCTCAAGAGCTGCTTATACAAAAGTATGTGTGCAGTGAGGCACATTTTGCTCAGATAGACGGGAAACAGAATGTGCCCCGGTCCCTTTAAGACACTCACGGGCAGTTTGTGGTTGAAGCCTTTGACTTTGACGACGAGGCCGTGCTCTCCGGCCAACAGCTTATAGTCCAGCTGAGCCACCTCCGCCTCGTACGCCGGCTCTGCCAGGTTATGTCCCAGGATGTTCACCAGCAGCTCAAACAGCACCACACTGAAGAGACGGAGGAGAGGGATGAGAGGGAGAGAGAGGGAGAGAGGGAGGGGGAGAGAGGGAGATGAGAGGAGAGAGAGAGGGAGAGAGGGGAGAGGGAGAGAGGGAGGATGAGAGGGAGAGAGGAGGAGGGAGGAGGGAGAGGGATGAGAGGGAGAGAGAGAGAGGGAGAGAGGGAGATGAGAGAGAGGAGAGAGGAGAGGAGGAGGAGGAGAGGAATGAGAGGGAGAGAGGAGGAGGAGGAGAGGGAGAGAGGAGGAGAGGGAGAGAGGAGGAGAGGGATGAGAGGGAGAGAGGAGGAGAGGGATGAGAGGGAGAGAGGAGGAGAGGGAGAGAGGGAGAGAGGAGGAGAGGGATGAGAGGGAGAGAGGAGAGAGAGGAGGAGAGGGAGAGAGGAGGAGAGGAGTGAGAGAGGAGAGGGAGAGAGGAGGAGAGGGATGAGAGGGAGAGAGAGAGAGGAGAGAGGAGAGAGGAGGAGAGGGATGAGAGGGAGAGAGGAGGAGAGAGGAGAGAGAGAGAGAGAGAGAGAGGAGATGAGAGGAGAGAGAGGAGGAGAGAGAGGGAGAGAGGGAGAGAGGAGAGAGGGGAGAGAGGAGAGAGGGAGGAGAGGGAGAGAGGGAGAGAGGAGAGAGAGGAGAGAGGGAGAGGAGATGAGAGGGAGAGAGGAGGAGAGGGATGAGAGGAGAGAGAGGAGAGGAGAGAGAGGATGAGAGGAGAGAGGAGAGGAGAGGAGAGAAGGATGAGAGGGAGAAGGAGGGATGCGAGGGAGAGAAGAAGAGAGGAGGAGAGGGATGAGAGGGATATGAGGGATGAGATGTGAGAGGGAGAGAGGAGAGACGAAGAGGGATGAGAGGGAGAGACATGAGAGGGAGAGAGAGGGAGAGAGAGAAAGATAGAGAGAGTTGAGGAAAGGGAGAGCGAGGGAGAAGGAGAGGAGGGAGAGAGAGGGAGAGGAGAAGCGAGGGAGAAAGAGAAGAGAAGAGGAGAGGGGGGTGAGAGGGAGAAAGCGGAAGAGAGAAAGGACGGAGAGAGGAAAAGATGCAGACAAAGCGAGGAAGGGAAGTAGAGAGACAGAGGGGAGAGATCAGAGTCGGAGGGAGAGAGGGAGACAAAGGGAGACAGAGAGACAGAGAGAAAAAGAGAAGGAGAGGAAATGAAACGGCGGCACAGATGAGAGCAGATCGGTCAGGCTGCTCGGCGCTTACTTGGTCGCAGACTTCTGGATGACGGGAGAAATGAGGTGGAATCTGATGTAGGCTGTGGAGGAGAAGAGGAGAAGACAAGACACTGTCACTTTTCTAACTCTCAGTCCAACTCTCTGACACACCTGCTCCATAGAAATGTTATTGCTTTGTCTAGAATGTTCCACAGTATAGATTAAACCTGTCTATCACAAAAGGAGACGAGCAGGTTACAGCACTACGCTACATTACAGGTCAGATCTGTGGAATTATTGCATTTTTGAGCAACAGAAAGACATGTAATGAATAAATACTGCATGGATATGTTTAAAGTCATACTGCCCCAAAGCCTGATTTTGCAGAATAATAAAACATTAATGGCCCAAAGTAAAAGTCTCACCCTTGGGGATTTTGAACTTGTTGTCCTTCTTGTACCAGAGGCAGCCCTTGTCACTGTCGGCGATGCGCACAGGGAGCTCCGTGTCAGGGCAGTCCGACGGCTTCAGGTTAAAGTCCGTGGCTGTTCAAAACCAGGACACAAGTCAAACACAAATCAAGAGTTTTGCTACTTTACGTTATTACCAAAGTTGTCACGTTTTTGTTTTTTTTTTCATTTGGAGCTCAATAGTCCCTCTCACCTCAAAACCCATAAATGTCCAGATATGGGTAGTTATATCAGTAGCTTGTACTTTTCAGAGTACTTTTCTAGCAGTATACTTTTACTCGGACTTGAGTACTATTTTTTTATTGAAATAGCAGTACTCTTTTAGGTACTTTTCCCACTGTGAGTAAGTAGAAGTTACAAAAACTGTAACTTCTTGGGTTCTTTTTAAAGACATTGCAGTAAAGTGTGTTTACCTTGTTGACATGTTTCGGCTGCTGCATCTTCAGAACTGTCCCCGTTGTTGGTGGTGACGTGTCGTATATCAGCTGTTGTTACTTCCTGTAGGCGTGGTCAGCCTGATGGACTAGACCAGATGCTCAGACTGACCACGCCTCCCGTCGCCCGGTGTTCTCAGGCTGACCACGCCTACAGGAAGTAACAACAGCTGATATACGACACGTCACCACCAACACCGACAGTGACAGTTCTGAAGATGCTGCAGCAGCAGCCGAAACATGTCAACAAGGTAAACACACTTTACTGCATTGTCTTTAAAAAGAACCCAAGAAGTTAAAGTATATAAGAGGACAAAATGAACATCTTTGGCTTAGAAGTTACAAAGTCTTTATGTTGACAATATGAACTTGTTTGAACATTTGAGTTTCTTGCACCACTCCTTCAGATTTGATTTAGTTCAGGGGTCTCCAACCAGTATCTCTCCACCTCCTTCCAAGTAGCTCGACGAAGGATTTCTGAATTATGTGTAATGTGCTTAATAACTAAAATCTGATTAATTACTACTGTAAATGTTGTAAATGCCTAACTTGTGCACTGATAAATGGATAATGGTTCATGTTTAATAGAGATCTAATTGTATCCCCGTCCAAAGCATGCTAAGAGCTCTTCTTGTTTCTTAATTTCTTGCGACAACTAAAATGCGTAGCTCTCTGGCATTTTCGTTTCGTGAAGGCAGCTCACCAGGGGTAAAATGTTGGAGACCCCTGATTTAATTTGTCTCATTTTTGTATCTAAGCTTTGAAAATACCTGATCTTGTGTTTTATTTAATGTTTATTCCTTCAAATTGCAATCTTCCAATTCTTCCAGTTATTAATTATTAAGTTACTCTTAGTAGTTTTCTCAGTTACTTTTTTTACTCTTAGTGAATAATTTCTTGTACCACTAGTTTTTACTCTAGCCCACCTCTGTATTTCCCATTGATTTTTCCCCATAGACTTTCCCATAAAATAAAATATGATGAGTTTATAGGCACAAAGAAGGCTAACGAGATATGTGGTAACTAATGTCCAAAACCCAATTATTTTTAGTCGAAAAAACAAAATTTAAACTTTAAAAATCTGCTGCAAAATATTTTAATAATAAGTTTCAGAAACAGAATTTGAATAAAATTATAGGTCTTGTAGTCGTTAGTTGCCACATCGCTGATTAGATGACCGCAAGCTTTAAAACTTTGAATATTTTTTTTATGATTCATTTATTCCAAAAAAAAAAAAAAAAAAATCAATGGAAGAAATGAAGGGGAACTTCACTTTCTGAACCTTGCAGTGCGCGCAAGGTCACTGTTGAGCTCCGAAGAGAATGGCATGGTAAAAATGTACAATCCTTTGACAATTAAACCTGTACTGAACAGCTACATAATGTAATCTATACATTTTAGAGTTGTCCAGTGCGATGTCACTTCTGGGTCCATGAGCTGAATGAAAATAATTCACGTGTTTACAATTTTCTCTTTTTGTACAATTTGTGTTTAAAGTCCTACAAGCTCCTAGCCTGATTCATCAGCTGGTTTCACTTTGTGGAAACCGTCTGACCTCGCAACATTAGGATTCGTTCACTCAACGGTACTTGGGTACATTTTTTATTAAACCAATCACTACTATTTGGTCATGATGTATGTAATGCGCCGCTAAATGGGCTAATTGGTATATTAAGCTTTTCCCAAATCCCGTAGGAAGAAGGGCAATAACGTCTTTCCTCTTGATAAAATTCACCAAACATTCTCTTTGTTCCAATGTTTAAATCCTCGATCTCGGGAATCATTGTCAACACAGAATGTCTGTCTTAGTCTACATCCATCTGGACCTCTTTGTTTACTGTTGTGCTGTACCACAAAAGAGACCCAGACAGGCGCTCGAGTTTGACGTCATGACTTCACATCTCTTCACTGATTGGCCGGAGCACAGTCTACAGCTTCTGGGGTTCTTGCAAATCGTCTAGTGTATTCTGATTCCTAATCTAGTTGCTAGAGAAAAATGAAATTGAGCAGAGACACTAGGTGGAGCCAGCCTGGCCAATAAGGTCCTATATTAAGCAAAATTGACTCTTGTGAACATTAAGTCATGTCATAATGTTGTTACCTCATCAAAAACATGCCTGGAGTTATGTGTTTTTAGTTTGTCTACGTCTCCCAAGCTCAAAATGCTCTGTTCCACCTTGGTTTTAACATCTATCTTTTACTTTTAGTTCAGTAGAGATTCTCCAGAGCTGAAATTATCCAAATGATTCTATTAAAGGTGGTTAAAAAAGGAGTTTAAAAACATAGAGGAGCACTTCCTGTATTACCACATGACATCACAAGGTGGCAGTGGAGTTAAACATATGTGAATGAAACAAAACACAACTCCAGGTCTGTTTGTGATGATTTGCACAATATGGGCCCTTTAAACTTGCACTTTTTAAAGGGAATTGTCTCCTGTTTCATGAATAAGAAACAAAAACAAAGCCATAAATCAACTGTGACGTTTCTGGTTGGACCCAAAAGTAACATCATCACTTAACAACTCTATAGTCTGTATATATGGACATAGTCAACTTGCCAGCCTCTGCGTTCCAAATAAGAAGTGTTCATGAGCGTGCTTCTGGCTCCATCGATTCTGGCTCCAAGTGACTTTACATTGAAAAGTTGAAGCCCCTCTCTCTGTAACTGCTGCAGTGAGCCTCGTCACTTTGGTCTTAAAATGTTCGTACTAACCTGCTCTACACGATCCTGGTGTTTTTATTTCTCCGTTTTGTCAGTTCATCAGTCCCTGTTACTAATATGGAATAGGGCTGGGTATCGTTAAGAAGCTGTCGATATGATACATCTCGATACATAGGCCACGATACAGTGCACTTTTGGTTCGATATGATATATTTCAGAACAATTTGATATGGTTCAATAAAGCAACAGTGGCTAAATCATGGCTATGATAATAAAAGTCTTTGTTAAACCACTTCTTGTGCAAAGTTCATATGAAAAATGCCTATTTTAATCATTAAAATAGTGAAAATGTCAAATGTGTTGCATGAACGGGTTTCCTTTCTCTGAACAAGCAACAAAAGTGTATCACTATAACAAAATAATTTTGTAAAATATACCAAAAAATACTCTTGACGATATATCGATACAGCAGCCCACGATATCGATAGTGTATCATCACATATATATAGATATTTCAGTATTTTTGCACACACCTATATGGAACTGGGCTCTAAATTGGCCCCTATAACTGCTAGTTTCTGTGAGCTTCATTTGACTGGAGCCAAACGCTGTGGGTGACGTCACACTCCCTTTGTCCACATCTTTACACATTCAATGGCAGACATGTCAAACTCAGGCCCGGGGTCCAAATTTGGCCCGCAATATAATTATATTTGGCCTGCGAGATCATATCAAATATGTTTTAGAGCTGGTCCACTGGCTACAGATAGACTATAGAGACATTATTTATTTAAAATGTTATTATTTTTATATTCTGCTTGTTCTGCATTTAATGTTTCAGCAAAACTATTATTAAACATTTATTTTAATAAGAAAAGGTTTAACATTACAAATCTCGAAAGAAGAAAAAACACGCAGATGTTGTTTTTTCTAAATTTTCAATTAATATTTAGTTTGGCCAACGACTTAGTCCCAGTTTTTAATTTTGGCCTCTGTGAATTTGAGTTAGACACCCCTGGTCTATGGTAAACCACACATAAATAAAACACCAATATTTCCACAAACCTATAAACTCATTTTCAGCGGGCAGATGCAGGCTGCTGTCCAGCTCCAGCTCCCCTGTCCACTTTTCCATCCACTCTGGTGCAATATCTGTGAGACATAAACATTCAGTAAAACATATCTCCTCTTTTGTAAACAAGAAATCGTCCTTTTCTAAACCCAAACACTGTGGTGACTGTGGCTGTCTGCTTCCATTTTATCATGTGGAACATCAGTACACAGGGGAGAGGAGACAATACATCTGCTCAGAATGGGACTGCATTGTGATGGGAGGAAGAGGAAGAGGAGGAGGAGGAGGAGGAAGACGAGTACAGACCCTCCACGCTGTACTGGGTGCCGAACCACTTCTCTCTGAGGGGACATCGGCCCTCGTGTTCTGGGGACAGCAGCATCATGTTGGCCCGGTCTGGAGTGAGGAGGGAGAGGGCCCCGTTGATCACCTGTGACGGGGATAAACACACAAATATATAACTCTAAATATCTTACTTCATATATTTAATGTCTTCTGTTTGTATCTAAAATGTAGAAAGAAAAGCACCAGTCAAAAGTTTGGAAACACTTCTCATCCAATGGTTTATAGTTGTTTTGTTTCCTTTGACAATTAGGTGTAGATATTGTGCTTGTGTCTGCTGTATAGTACACGACTTAATAAAGCAGGTAAATGATGTTACTTAAATAAATGTCGTGGTGGCAGATTTTCTAATTGCATCCATACAAATTGTGATTTCAAATTGATAGTGATATATTATGACACAATAGAGCAGGGGTGGACAATTATTTTTTCCATGAGGCTACATGAGATACAGAAAATACTGTGGAGGGCTGGGCCAATGTGCTTAACTCAATTCTGCATAATATTAATTGTATTTCTTTATAAAAAGCAGTAAATATCATTTGACAAGCTGGTCAGACTGGTAAGAGCTTATGTAATGACTCAGCAATGAAAAAGTGAGATTGAATAAATGACATTTTTTGTAAGGCAATCAAGTTTAGAAGTACATTTTTTGTTGAAAACCATGCATTCAGTTAACCAGGCTGGTGCCACCTAGTGCCTCTGCTCAATTTCATTTCTCTCCAGCGACTAGGTCAGGAATCAGAATACACTAGACGATTCGCCCAAACCCCGGAAGTGCGAGTCCAGGCACCGACCAATCAGAGAAGAGCTGTGAAGCCGTAACGTCAAACTCAAGCGTCTGTCTGGGTCCCTTTTGTGTTACAGCACAACAGTAAACAAAGCGGTCGAGATGGATGTAGCGAAGACAGACATTCTGTGTTGGCAACGATTCCCGAGATCGAGGATTTAAAGCCGGAACAAAGAGAATGTTTGGTGAATTTTATCAAGGAGAAAGACTTTATTGCCCTTCTTCCTACGGGATTTTAGCACATTACATACATCACGAACAAACAGCAGCGACTGGTTAAATGAAAAAAGTACCCGCCTACCGTCGAGCGAACGGATCCTAATGCTGCGAGGTCAGACGGTTTCCACAAAGTGAAGCGGCATCTACCTTTCTTTTTGTGGCATGAGTGGACATTTTTGAGAGCTAAAGTTGTTTTGCGACCTGCGTGTGACAATAATTCAGTCACGTAGAAGTCTTGATTTACGTATTATGTCATTTTATATGTGAATTAAAAAACACCTCTAAAATAAATGCAATGCAGATTTAGTTAATGCATGAGTTAAAATGATAAAATATGTTTATTTTGCGATTCCAGATTATTTTAAAGGGGCCAGTCAGAGTCAACCAAAGGGCTGCATGTGGCCTGGAAGCTGTACAGTCCCCAGGTCTGCAATTGTGCTCCTTTGACATGGAGCATTACAGTTATATTGAAGTTATATTGAAGATTCAGGGAGACGACCAATTTTGCCAGAACTGTCAAATTCTGTCTGGAAAAATAAACTTGTTAGAAAGTCTTGATAACGGTGCGGACGAAAACAATAAAGGCAGAAGAAAACAAAATAGGCAACTGGCTGCTGGTGAAGTTAAAGGAACTGTGTGTATGATTTTGATTTTAAAGGGCTTATATTGCACTATTTTCTGATCTATGTTAAAATGTTGTTTACTGTTGTGATTATTTGATTCACACATGTTTAACACACAAATCCATATTTAGATTCTGTTCTTCTCTCAAACTGAAAACACACTGTTCCACCTTGTGATGTCAAACAGGAAGTACTCCACTGTGTTTTTAAACTGCTTACACCTTCACTAGAGTCATTTGGATAATTTCAACCCTGGAATTTCCCATTTTTACTAAAAGATGTAGACAGACTAATAATAAAGGATGACTCAAACATGTGTGAATGAAACAAAAACACAACTCCAGGTCTGATTTTGTGGAGGTAGCAGCATTATAACATGGTTTAAAGCTCACAAGAAACAATATTGTGTGATCTAAAACCTTAAAATGATTAGTTCCAGCCCTGTTCTTGAGTCTTACCTCTGGATCGTAGTGGAACAGGAGCTGGTCTCCTGTGAGGAAGTCCTCCTTCGGGAACAGCTGCATGTTCTCACACACATCTTCTACATATTCTATAGGGTCAATCTGTACACAAAACACAATTCAATATGGTGTCTGTTTATGTTATTTCTTTGCCTGGAATGTTTCACAGTACGGCATTAAACTGGTCTATCTTGATGGAAACAAGCAGCTGATGTGTTCAAGCCAAGTCACAGGTCAGATCTGTGGAGAGGCAAGCCCGCTCACAGTAAGAATACACATGCAAGGTATTTTTGAGCAATGACAAGACATGCAAGATGGATATACGTTTAATGCCATACTGTGTAACATTCCAAGCAGGGATAACACTTCAGTTTAGTTTAAAGACTGTATATTTATCTAAACTAAGTCATAATTGGTTATTCAGACATTTAATAATTGTGATAACTTCCGTTGTCTTAATGTTAATGAACAATAATTTAGATTAATACGAGTGAAAATATCTTTTATACACATTCTATACCTGTAAAGTAAAGGGAATAAAACTGCCCATGGTGATTTTTTTGTTTTGTTTTTACATCTTATTTTAAAATACAGTGAAGAGTTAAAAGTAAAATTTTGATGTATGTTTAGTTATTCTTGCCACGTTCTGTTAATTGTTAATTAATCATATGCAGCCCCAAGTTGGATGATGTTACAATATGAAACATGGTTAAAAGTAAAAAAAAAAAAAAAGTCTATTCAGCATATTCTAGGTCCTTTACATTGTACATAATCAATATTTATCCAAAGATGTCTGTATTCTTACCTGCTCCTGATAGTGAAACTCATTGGCTTCTATCTTTTGAATCTCTTCGTATATCCTACACGACAAACACACAAATCAAATTTCAAGATTTAACTTTTGATAAACATTGTATAAAGTGTATGTAAATGTCTATGGTTTCGATTGGGCTTGAAACTTCATCACAGTGTTCAAATTGCTGCTTAAAGAGAGTGAGGGGTACACTTCTACTTCTAATGGGTATTAACTGCTGACACATAATTTAGATCACCATGTTACATCTTATTGTTTTGAAAATGCTATATTCCCCCGAAAACAATGTATGAACGCGTTTTATAAGTTTCACTTTTAACGTTTATGACACTCTGAACTCTCTTTACTCCCCCTTCAAAGCACTATCACATTAAAATCTGAAACTACTAAATTACTGACATCTAAACCACTTCGAGCATGTTTTTGACGAGGGAACAATGTTATAATAATCTTTAACAAGTTGTGTGTCCTTCCAGCATCATGGCATTACTAGAAAAGGACTTGATACACACACTGCAGAATACTTGACAAATACAAATTTCGAAATTGGGACAGCACAATCAAATATTCAGATTTAATTTAGGTCATTTTGGCAAAGTTTTTACTAATCTTGCTCCACCTCCTCTAAAGAAGTTTGTGAAAAGAAATTCAAATCACACAACAAGAAAAAGTGCGTTTGGACAGCTCTCTTTTGCTTTTCGAGCTGGTCAAACATGGAACACAGAGCTGCTCATATACGAAAACTTTCAACACTGGCAGCATTTTCTAAAGATTTAAAGCAGTGGATGTTCAGTGGTCAAATATTTCACCATGTTTAACTAAATAACATGTTTTTATAGTGAGAGGTTGTTGGTTTAACTCTTTAACTCTTTGACTTTTGAAGTTTAAATGAACTGTCTGAAATAAAATAAATTGTATGTATAGTGAGAGTGCTGGTTTTATTAAATTTTGTGTGATTGTTCTTGCATTTTTCCCTGTCCTGTAAATATTTTCACATCAACCTGCCGAGGGTCTGAAGAAGGAAATTAACCATATTCTCTATAATCTTTAATATGTGCTGTCCCTTTACTTACTTTAAATAAATAAATTAAACTTCGTGTATGCTCTAGTCCGTGTATAGTGTGCAGTGATTGCGTGACAGTGCCTTTGCTGTGGTCCGAGCGTCTGCAGCATCTTCAGGTACTGGAACACGAGCTGAGTCACCTGGAACGATCAAACAAACGCGGTCAGAACTGTTAGGCCTTGACGAAGTATTTATCACCGCCGATATAAAACCACACTAAGTGACTAACCAGCATTGTTCACACCTCTGCGGGATTTTTTCGCAGCACAAAAACACAGAGACCTTGACTACGTATACGCGCGCAACCGATTTCACAGAAGGCTGGATAAAGAAATACTTTGAATAGCATTGTGTACGTAACGAGAAGGCTGTTGTTGAATTGTAATCACTGAGCCGAGATCATGTCTGGCAGAAGATTCAGAAGAACATACTTTACACAGAAATCACTTTTATTTCTTGGGTTTTTGGCAGAGAAGGAAAGAGCGCAATGCAGATATTATTTATTGACCTGATTTGGCCATGGTGTGTATAGTAGGGGTTAAATTACTTTTTAGTACTGTGTGTACAAACTTGAGTATGAACAAACTAGAGAATGTACAAACTAGAGTATGTACAAAGTAGACTATGTACAAACTAGAGTATGTAGAAACTAGAATATGTACAAAGTAGAGTATGAACAAGTTAGAATATGAACAAGCTAGAGTATGTACAAACTAGAGAACATACAAACTAGAGTATGTACAAACTAGAGTGTGTACAAACTAGAGAATGTACAAAGTAAACTATGTACACACTAGAGTATGTACAAACTAGAGAACATACAAACTAGAGTATGTACAAACTAGAGTATGTACAAACTAGAGAACATACAAACTAGAGTATGTACAAACTAGAGTGTGTACAAACTAGAGAATGTTCAAAGTAAACTATGTACACACTAGAGTATGTACAAACTAGAGAATGCACACACTAGAGTATGAACAAGCTAGAATATGAACAAGCTAGAGTATGTACAAACTAGAGTATGTACAAACTAGAGTATGCACAAACTAGAGTATGGACAAACTAGAGTATGCACTAAACTCGAATATGTACAAACTAGAGTATGCACCAACTAAAATATGTACAAACTAGAGAATGTACAAACTAGAGAATGTACAAACTAGAGTATGTACAAACTAAAATATGTACAAACTAGAGTATGTACAAACTAGATAATGTACAAACTAGAGTATGTACAAACTAGAGTATGTACAAACTAGAGTGTGTACAAACTAAAATATGTACAAACTAGACTATGTACAAACTAGATAATGTACAAACTAGAGTATGTACAAACTAGAGTATGTACAAACTAGAGTGTGTACAAACTAAAATATGTACAAACTAGAGTATGTACAAATTAGAATATGTACAAACTAGATTGTGTACAAACTAGAGAATGTACAAACTAGAGTATGTACAAACTAGAGAATGTACAAACTAGAGAATGTACAAACTAGAGAATGTACAAAGTAGACTATGTACAAACTAGAGGATGTGCAAACTAGAGGATGTACAAACTAGAGTATGTACAAACTAGAGCATGTACAATTTAGAGTAAGTGCAAACTTGAGTGTGCACAACCTAGAGTATGTAGAAACTAGAGTATGTAAAACTAGCATATATGTACAAAAACAGACTAGAGTATGCACAGACTAGAGTATATATAAACCATTTTAGTCACAACTGGCAGAAAAAGTGAGAAAGAAATAGAGTTTCAATGTGAACGATAAGGAGACAGCCATTACAAGAGCACCAAGAACACTTCACCCCATCAAAGGTCTCAGGGTCAGTTTTATTCTTAGATTTGTAAGTATCAAGAGTTTAAGTTGTTTTTTGTTTTTTTTTTTTTGTTTTTTTTTTTTTTTACACATTTTGTCTGGAAAAATGACCTTTTTAAAAAGTCCTGGTAAAGACAGAGATGAAAAAGGAACTGTGTGTAAGATTTTTGCTAAACAAATCCAATATATCTGCTGATTTATTCTTAATGTACAAACTAGAGCCGGGGTCACCAAACTTTTTCCTCTGGGGGCAACATTATCTCTCCTTACTGTTATTGGGGCCAGGGTCGGGTCGGCCAACGAAGGAATACATGCTGTTGAGCAGCCAGTCTGCCTTTCACCCGTTGAATCCTGTCTTCTCTCGTTTGCCCTCGCAAGCTATACTTTTTGTGGCGGGTTTTGTAGTGACGACGCAGATTATATTCTTTAAAAATGGCCACACTTTCTTTACATACCAGACAAATTGCGCAGTCCTTACACTGAACAAAAAAGTTATCGGTCGTCCACTGTTCTTTGAAAACTCTGCACTTTCTGTCAAGTTTTCACATTTTAACACTCAACATTTTGTTTTCTTTAACTGCACTAAAGAACTCTGCACATGCGTTGACTGTTACTGTTTGATCTCGAGTTTGTCATGTGATGAAGATTCGGCGGGAAATGTAAATAATTCATGTGATAATTTAAATATAAATCTAAATGCTTCTTATAAATATCATTTTTAATTGGAAAAAAATCAACAAAACATAAGATGCAGACGTGTTATTATTTGCCAAAAAGTAATTAAAAAAATAGGCCATTAAAACTTTTAAGGATTACCTCATAGGGCCAGTTCAAGTGGTGGGGGCAGAGGGGCCGGGCAGAGGGGCGTGGAGGGCCAGAGTCAGCCCGCGGACCTTAGTTTGTGACCCCTGAACTAGATTATGTACAACCTAGAGTGTGAACAAACTAGAGTGTGTACATCCTAAAGTGTGTAGTGTGTACAAACTAGTGTATGTAGAAACTAGAGTGTGTAGAAACTAGAGTGTGTACATCCTAGAGTGTGTACAACCTAGAGTGTGTACATCCTAGAGTGTGTACAACCTAGAGTGTGTAGAAACTAGAGTGTGTACATCATAGAGTGTGTACAACCTAGAGTGTGTACAACCTAGAGTGTGTACAACCTAGAGTGTGTGCAACCTAGAGTGTGTACATCCTAGAGTGTGTGCAACTAGAGTGTGTACAAAAACTAGAGTAGGTAGAAACTAGATTATGTAGAAACTAGAGTCTGTACAATCTAGAGTATGTAGAAACTAGAATATGTACAATCTAGAGTATGTACAAAGTAGAGTGTGTACAATCTAGAGTATGTACAAACTAGAGTGTGTACAACCTAGAGTGTGTGCAACCTAGAGTGTGTACATCCTAGAGTGTGTACAACCTAGAGTGTGTACAAACTAGAGTAGGTAGAAACTAGATTATGTAGAAACTAGAGTCTGTACAATCTAGAGTATGTAGAAACTAGAATATGTACAATCTAGAGTATGTACAAACTAGAGTGTGTACAATCTAGAGTATGTACAAACTACAGTGTGTACAATCTAGAGTATGTAGAAACTAGAGTATGTAAAAACTAGAGTATGCAGAAACTAGAGTGTGTAGAAACTAGAATGTGTGCAAACTAGAATATGTACAAACTAGAGTATGTACAAACTAGAATATGTACAAAGTAGAGTATGTACAAACTAGAGTATGTAGAAACTAGAGTGTGTAGAAACTAGAGTGTGTAGAAACTAGAGTGTGTAGAAACGAGATTACGTAGAAACTAGAGTGTATACATCCTAGAGTGTGTACAACCTAGAGTGTGTACAAATTAGAGTATGTACAAACTAGAGTCTGTACAATCTAGAGTATGTACAAACTAGAGTGTGTACAATCTAGAGTGTGTAGAAACTAGAGTGTGTAGAAACTAGAATGTGTGCAAACTAGAATATGTACAAAGTTCAGTATGTGCTTTGAGAAAGGATCTACCCACATACAGCAGTAGTTCATGACTTATCCAGTCTGTACAAACTAGAGTATGTTGAAACTTCAGTGTATTCTTTGAGTCAAACCTGCGACCTTCTTTTGTGCACTGAAGACAACACCAGCACCTCCGTCACCTCTGGGATCAGGTTTCATTATTCACGAATAATAATAGTAAAGCCTAGAGCACAATGGCTCCTGGACCGCGTGTGGAGAATGTAGTTTGTCCTCAGAGCGACGGTAGCCCAGCAAAGATCTGTACAAGCCCGTGGGGATACAAATATTTTTCCTGCTCTTGACAGATGACATGCTCAGAGAATGTTTCAGACAGTGGAGCACAGAGGAAGAGGAGCTGGAGGGAACATCATGGGAGGACAAGGCTCTACACGGGATGTACCAGCGCAACAGAACTCAAGAGGCTGTGAAAGTGTTTTGAGTGTCTTTAAGGTGGAAAATGTTGTATAAAAGTCTGACCATTTACCATATCAACAAATCCTACCAGTGGCTATTTCAGAAACTTTACCTGCTTATCTGTGGACACGTGGTAGACATGCTCACATCAAATACAGCTTTTACAGATAATTATAAAAACAGTGTACATGATGTTCCATTTATTTATCGAATAAGAAAGTTGAGCCTCACGAGTCTAGTTTCAAAGCTGAAATCCACTTGGTTTAAACTTAAAATGCCTGTCTCTGATCTGGTTACTACCTAAAGCCCGGCATGAGTCAGTGCTAGTGCAGCCTCTGCAGCTCAGGGAGGGAATTCTGGAGGTTCTGAGATTCTACATGAGGCCTGTAATCCGTGTATCATTCGTTCATTCGTTTTTCAAAATAAAACCAAAAATAAGAAAATGAAGAAACAACTATTTTCTTTGTTATTTGGCTCCAAAACCAAAATGAAAAAACAGATAATGATTTTTTTTTTTTTTTTTTTTCAGTTTTCAATTTTCTGTTTAAATGAATAATGGAAAAAATGGATAACGGCCGTTTCCGTGACTTAAACTGCGAGGCCGGACTGAACCAGGACTGAACCAGGACTAAAACAAGACTGAACCAGGACTGAACCAGGACTAAAACAAGACTGAACCAGGACTGAACCAGGACTGAACCAGGACTAAAACAAGACTGAACCAGGACTGAACCAGGACTAAAACAAGACTGAACTAGGACTGAACCAGGACTAAAACAAGACTGAACCAGGACTGAACCAGGACTAAAACAAGACTGAACCAGGACTGAACCAGGACTAAAACAAGACTGAACCAGGACTGAACCAGGTCTGAACCAGTGTCAGTCCTGGTTTCAGTCCCAATCTGGTTTCAGTCTCAGTCCCAGTCTGGTCCCTATTTTGGTCCCGGTCTCAGTCCTGGTCTCAGTCCCGGTCTCAGTCCCATTCTTAGTCCCGGTCTCGGTCCTGGTCTCGGTCTGGTCTCGGTCTCAGTCTTGATCACCAGACAGTCTACACGGGCACACCTCTGGGCCCGTCCCGACACTCAGTCCTGGTTTAGTCCTGGTTCAGTCCTGGTTTAGTCCTGGTTCAGCCCATATGCGGCGTAAAATTCCAACCTCGCAGTTTAAGTCATGGAAACGGCCGTAATCCTTTTTTTTTTTTCATTATTCATTTAAAACAAAATCGAAAACTGAATAAAACAAATCATTATCTGTTCGGTTTTATTTTGAAGAACGAATGAACGAACGATACAAGGATTGTGTCCTTTATCTTCAGGTAAAGGCTCTGGCAACACAAGTCGAGTGTTGATTGTAAAACTATTAATAATAATTTTTAATCACTCCCAGTAAGGAAAGTACAGACTATATACAGTTCCTTCAAACATAATGCTGTTCACTTTGTTTTAGTGAAAACAGTATTCTAACCTATTATATGCACTGAGATTATTTATTACCACAGTACATTTGCTAATGCTGGAAAAGACTAAATCATCATACAGTATCTTGTAAAACTTGGATAACCTTACAGCTGAGGAATAATTGTGGACAAGTTCATCAGTGGAAAAACACAATGTGAAAGCTGATCTAATCTCTCTTGTGCTTTGAATTGCTCTTCAGTCTCTCCACACGCTGCTCAAGTGTGGGTTATCTGAGTGTTAGCATCAGCAGACACCGACGCTGCTGCAAATCATCGGAAATATCTCAGCTGAACCCCACGGTCGTCATGGCAACTGACAACAGACCTGTACTGAAATAACCCGGTGGGTTTGTGACAGCGGAGGCAGCCAGCTGTGCCCGGGCCTGTCGCGTACACATGAACACATAATGGAGTTTGTCAGGTAGGCCCGCTCCCAAACACCAACACTTATTATTTAGACTGCAACCGACACTGGAAATACAATGGATCTGAAGCTGAGATGGAGCTATTATCTTTGATCAGAAACATCCTTGAAAACACAATGGATTTTTTCAGGCGATGCCAATATCCGATATGTGTTTTGCTGTTGTGGTCCATAACTAAAATCAGTCAAAGTTGATATATATATTTTAAACACATTGTAGTAAATCCTTTAGTTTAGTTTTACGCACACATTTTGAAAACTCATTGCGGGCGCAGGCGGGAGCGGGACTACACAACGCAGGAGCAGGCGGGTGGGATGACAAACTGCAGTCCCGCAAACTAACGCATACGCCGCACAGACCGTCCCCCGTCCTGTATGTTGCGGAGATCGCCTCCTCCCTCCCGTACGTCGCGAGGGCTGTGCCACTAAACCAGAACTAAACCATAGTCTAAAACAGGACTAAAACAGAATTTAGCCAGGATTTAACCATGCTGCCGGACCGCCCACCGCCCCTCCCTCCGGTACTCCAGCAAATTATTGTCTGATATAAACTGGTCCATGGTGCAAAAAAGGTTGGGAATCTGTGTATCATTCGTTCATTCATTTTTCAATATAAAACCAAAAATAAGAAAACGAAAAAACAACTATTTTCTTCATTATTTGACTCCAAAACCAAACTGAAAAAACAGATAATGATTTGTTTTTTCAGTTTTCGATTTTGTGTTTAAATGAATAATGGAAAAAAACGGATAACGGCCCGTTTACGTGACTTCAGTGACTGCGATGCCGGACTGAACCAGGACTGATCCAGGTCCGAGACCAGACCGAGACCAGACCGGGACCAGACCGGGACTGAGACCAAGCCCAGACCAGGACCAGGCTGGGACCAGACCGGGACTGAGACTGAGATCAAACCGAGACCAGACCAGGACCAGGCCGAGACCAGAGTGGGACTGAGACTGAGACCAGACCGGGACCAGGCCCGGGACCAGGCCGGGACCAGGCCGGGACCAGACCGGGACTGAGACCGGACTGAGACCGGGACTGAGACCGGGACTGAGACCGGGACTGAGACTGGGACTGAGACCAAGACGAGACTGGAGCCAAACTGGGACCAGACCAGAGCCTCAGAGCCCATGGCAGGGCCCGAGCTTGAAGCTGAGGCTCGGAGTCAAAGCTAAGAGTCCGCTCTGATCCCGCTCTGGTCCCGGACCTGGATCAGTCCTGGTTCAGTCCAGCATCACAGTCACGGAAACGGGAAACGGACGTTATCCGTTTTTTTCCATTTTTCATTTAAACACAAAATCAGAAACTGAAAAAACGAATCATTATCTGTTTTTTCATTTTGGTTTTGGAGACAAATAATGAAGAAAACAGTTGTTTTTTTCATTTTCTTACGTTTGGTTTTATATTTAAAAATGAATGAACGAATGATACACGGATTGTTGGGGACCACTATTTTAGACAATTCCTTTCCACTTCTCTGTGTTTGATAGAGCTTAAGACAGTGACTTGCTGGTGGGAGCGGGACGATATATTGTAAATGCGGGCAGGAGCAGGACTGCACAGTGCGGGTGCAGGCAGGAGCAGGACTGAAAATTGTGTCCCGCGCAGACCTCTAGTACAGTATGTAACTTTCTGGAGGTGACACATTATGCTCCTCCACTGCTCACCCACAGCACCGGACTATAGACGTACAAACAGTGAAAGATACAGGACAACATTCATATCATACTCCATAAAACTGTACAACAACTCACCTTTATGTAACAGATAACACTCCAGTCTTTATAGTTAAGGAGGTCGCCTTGACAACAAGCCCTGACTACGTCTCTCTGAACCACGTGAAACATACAGTGGTCTCCGTGCACCCCTCGCTCCTCACTTTTTCCACCAGCACCACCTTGCCTAACCAACTTTCTGCGGAGAACACTGCACTCCCTACAACTCACCCTTATGTAACGGATAACCCTGTGTCCTGTCAATCATCATATCATTGTTGCACTGTCTTCCTTTTATATATAGATGCGATTTTATTACTTATCTATTTTATTTTGACTTGTACATTTTACATTTATATAATTATGCCTTATTTTACACCTGTCTCTTGCTGTCTCTTAGAATTTATTATTCATTTCTATTTTTACTCTTTGTTATTATAATATATTGTGATGTGTGAGCTGCTGTGTCCAGATCTTTTCCCTTGTGGATCAATAAAGTTTGTCTAAGTCTAAGTGTATTACCTGCACGATACTATGGAAACAGAAAATAAAACTCAAACTTCAGAACTTTCTCCATGGAGGTAGATGAGTTTTACTGCTCTACAATATTATTTCCATGGAAACAAGCAAGAGGAGGCCAAATAAGAATCAGGTTTGTGGAGATGCAAGCTTGCTCACAGTAAGTTTCTCTGTGAAATAAACACAGTGCAGGTTTGAAATAAATAAATAACCAACTAACTAACTAAATTATAATGAACATGCTTTTATTTTTGGTGTATTTTTAGGTAAAAAGTTAGATACTGTGCTTTAGTTTGTGTTTTATTTGAAATATGATCTAATTTGTGGTGTTTTAGGAGGATTTCAAGTCTGTTCTCCATGGAGATGCTGCATATTTCTTGCTTTGCCTGGAATTATCTTCGGTACAGTGCGGCGTTAAACTCAAGCAGATACCACCAGACTAAGTTACATGCCAGATCTGTGGAGAGGCGAGCTAACTCACAGTAAGCACGCGTATTTTTCAAGATATTTTTGAGCAATAGTAATACTTTCAATTGAATAAATGCAAGACACTGTGAGTGTAATGCCATTCTAGACAAAGCAAGAACATCTACATGAAGACAAGAGGATGACAAACTCCATATAAAAAAATAATGGTGCTACATATAAAAAAATCCTTTATATATCGTTAATCACTACTCTAAAGTACTTCCTGTAGGTACCTGGTAGAAGTTCTGGAAGCCTTCGTCGGTGAGGATGATGGAGATGGAGAAGATGGAGTAGGTGGTGTTCTGGTCAAAGCCCGTTTCGCTGTTTCCTCCGAAGAGAGCCAGAGCCCAGCACCTGACAAAACGAGAACGTACAGGATGTTATCAGGGACCAGAGGGTTGTCAAACGTATCGAAAATCAGATGTTAAATCGATTTTTTCATTTGAGTAGGAATCAATACTAAAAAAAGTCACATTCACAGGACACGAGTTACCTTTCCTGCATAGCTTTAGAATCATCTTGAGCTGTATCAGAACAAATATATGAGCACATAAACTAGTATAAACCCATGGACTACTGAGGGATTACACAGATATAAGCCAAAATGGAAATACAGAAGTAAAAATTTGATGATTTAATGATGAAACTATCAGAAGACAGAGAAGTTGGTTGTGTTGTTGTCTCTAAAATTGGCTCAATTTTGTCATAATGTAATATTTTATGGATGAACCACAGACAATGTTGCGAGAAAAATAAAATACTGATTGGGATTTTTGAACAGTACGTTGAGTAGCTGTCTCAGTTGGCAACAGCAGCTCTATGTATCTGACCCAAACTGCACTCAAGACAAGTCAAGACTACACCTCCACCGGAATTCATGCCAAAATAACTATTTATGCAGAAAGAAGTACAAGGAAACAATGTGTTTATATAAAGTGAGATTAAACTTGTGAATCATGAGTTTAGTCTGCCTTTGTACATATAAATAAATACCAAAAATGGAAAAACTTCAGCTAACTCATTTCCTGACCTCTAAATAAAATGATTAATGAACGAAGACTCCATCAACTGATTAATTGACTAAATGACCAAAAGTCTGCAGAACTACACGTGGGCGACTGTAGCTCAGTTGGTAAGGATGTTTGTTCACTGATCCAAAGGTTGGCAGGTCAAATCCGACTCTTGATAAAAACAGAATTAGTAGAGTGGTAGATTGGTCAAACTTATGAACCCACAGGTTGGTGATTATGGAGTAAAAAAGCTTTCAGAAATATTCGTGTGCATAGGATAGAAATCGGTGAATATTTGGCTGTAGCTGAGCATAAAATAAATATTTGTAAACTCCGGAATGTGTCCAGTCGTGCATAAAATGTATTCTATGTATTTTACCCATCAGAATGAGAATTGAAAAGTTATGACATCAAGAATTACAATCACAAAATCAAAATTTACGATTACGCTTCCTTCAGTACGACTACGAATTCCCGTACTGACACTCAGTCCTGGTTCAGTTCTGCTTTAGTCCTGTTTTAGTCTTGTTTTAGTCCTGGTTCAGTCCAAAAGTCCGGCATCTCGACTGATGTTTCTTCTGCTCAATACATAATGTCTGTGAAGTGATGACGTATTTTTTACAGTAAAGTTGCATCTGTGAATTCGTATTCGTACTGATGAAAGTTTAATCGTACATTTTAATTTCCTGATTGCAATTCTTGACGTCGTAACTTTTCAATTCATATTCTGATGGATAAAATACACATTTTATGTACAACTGGACTCATTTTGAGAGTTTATGGATATTTATTTTATGCTCAACTACAGCCAAATATGCACGGATTTCCCAAATATGCACTGATCTCTTAGCCTGATTCATCAGCCGGTTTCACATTGTGGAAACCGTCTGACCTCGCAGTGTTAGAATTCATTCGCTTGACGGTAGGTGGGTACTTTTTATCATTTAACCAATCGCTGCTATTTGGTCATGACATATGTAATGTATGTAAACTGGTATATGAAGCTTTTCCCAAATCCCGTAGGAAAAAAGGCAAGAACGTCTTTCCCCTTGATAAAATTCACCAAACATTCACTTTGGTCCGGCTTTAAATCTTCAATCTCGGGAATTGTTGCCAACACAGAATGTATTGCTCTTCGCTGATTGGCTGGTGCCCGAACTCGCACTTCCGGAGTTTTTGTGAACCGTCTATTGTATTTTGATTCATGACCTAGTTGCTTGAGAAATCAAACTGAGCAGAGGCACTAGGTGGCGCCAGCCTGGCTACCGATTTCTATCCTATGCACACAAATATTTCTGAAATCTTTCTTAGTCTACAGGTGATGCTGGTATGAATGTGTGTGTGAATGGGGGAGTGGTTCCTTGACGTAGTGTGATATACAGTAAAGGTGTGACCATTTGCCAGTATAACATATAACTAAAGTATTTTAATAATACAAATTACTGGCATGCTGTTAAACATTTCAATTGTCTTCATTATTGTTTAAGAAGTTCATGAGAAAAGTAAAACCTACATTGTAAGCAGTGCACTTGTTATAGGACAGACACTCGCTAGTTTCTCTGGACTTGTCCAAAAACACTGTGCTGACTAATTAACAGTAACAGTGGCCGTGAGAGGAGATGTGACCTTGTGATATTCTTGAATAAAAGTGCCTCCCCTGACTCTGCACTTTATTCTGGCCAAGAGTTTGGGTTGGATTATACACACACGTTTGACAGCGATGCAGTTTGATGGCCATTCTCTGTGCCTCTCAGCCAAAGCAGGGGAGCCATATGTGAGACGAGTGCATGATTCACAGTCAAGTGGGAGGGCTTTAAAGTGCTCAGGGCCGACTCAAGGATTTCAAAAGCAGTGTAATGCAGCTCATCAAGTCTGATGGAGTTTAATTGAGGCGTTAAAAGAACTGTATGTAACCTGCACTCTTACAGTCTGAAAAAAGGTGCTACAATAACAACTTTGTAAGTGTCTTAACCTGCAGAGAGAGGACATGCACAAGTTTGTCTCATTCTCAGTTTATGGACAAGAGTCATGTAAAACTCAGAACCTCCAGATCAGAGAGAGACACTTTAGGTTTAAAACAACTGGATTTCAGCGCTGAAACTGGCAACCCAAACTCACTCTGCTTTCTGATTGGATAATTGTCTTGAGAACAAAAACACCAAATTATAACATCAACAAAATGGCCATTATGTTTTTGAAATTAAGAATAAATCAGTATTAGAATTGTTATCAGTAAAGGCGAGATTTTATTTTAACATCTTTACCTCATATGTGGGGACATAATTAGGTCAAGTTTATGAATTTTCTCTTGAAAAGCTGAAAAAGGAAGGAAGGAGGTGCGAGGGGGAGGAATAATCTTACTTCTTTCGGAGCACAGAGAGGATGCTGCCGGTGCCTTCATGTCCAATCAGCCACGAGATGTAATGGAGGGGCTTCACTCTGAAAAAGGAATACATAAAAACAGAAGGCATGATACAACAGTGACAGTCACTAAAAGACAATTAAAGGTGCACTATGTAACACAGGTGGGACCAAGTCATTGTTTTGCAAGTCTCAATTAAGTCTCTGACCTCTGTGAGTCTTTGACCTAAAGTCCAAGTCAAGTCCCAAGTCAAAGACAGTATATTTAAGAGTTGTAGAAATTAATTTAGTTAATTTCAACAAGATCTTATAGTGAATCATTACACTCAGAACAGAAAGAATTCAGATTTAAAAGAGCCTCTCAAGTCTTCTCAAGTCACAGGCCTCAAGTCCGAGTCAAGCCCCAAGTCACTGACCTTTAAGTCCAAATCGAGTCCCAAGTCTTAGTCCATTTCATCAAGTCAAGTCTCAAGTCCTAAAAATAGTGACTCAAGTCTGACTCGAGTCCAAGTCACAACTTGCAAGTCCCACCTCTGCCATGTAACATTTCTGGTGGAGGGTCTGCCACCTGCTTGTTGAAGAATGAACAAATTACCTTTACTAAAAAAAAACAATTCTCACGGCCTCTCCACAGATGTGACCTATAACTTGGTCTGGTGTCAACTTATCTGGTGTTAAGTTAATGCTATACTGTGGAACCTTCTAGGCATGGCAATAACATCTCTACAAAGACTAACCAGCTGTAGATCCTCCATCAAGGAACAAAATAACAAAGAAAATTAAAATATGTGAATTTGGTGAATGCAGATATTCTTGTATGGATTGGCCTTTGCTGTGAGCATAGTCACCTCATCACTAGGGCTGTAATGAAATCTAAATCTCCCGGTACGATATTATCACGATATGCATCTCACGGTATTGCGATATTTTGGAGAGGCTGATATATTTGAAGATAGGATGCTTTTTCACTTTTAAAATACCTAAAAGACAAGATTTTGGTGTGAATGACTACTCTCAAAATAAAGTAAATAAAGTAAAAAACATTTAATTTCATGGCCTTGGCCTGGTGGTGTCTCCTGCTTGTCTCCATAGATAATCACACCCAATGATTTTTTTTCTTTTTCTTTTCGAATTTTGCTTATTGACTTTTACAGAAATTGTACAAAACTTACTTTACATCACAAATAGTAAAACAAATGTAAAAAGAATTCTGCACAATCTCCTTTTATATCAAAATGACACACAGAAAGAAAAACAAAAACCCAGACCAACACCCATCTAAATGACTAATAAAATGAAAAAAAAAAAAAATTTTACCCATCCTGACAATCCTTATTAGGGTTGTATCGATATCCAAGTCTCATGATGCAATATCGTCACGGTATGAACCTCACGGTACGATATTTCTTGCGATATCGTGGGAAAGCTCACGATATGATGGGGATGTAAAAATATCCAAATCTCTCGGTATGATATTTTCACAATATACATCTCACGGTACGATATTTATTGCAATATTTTGTGGAGGCAAAACAGCTAAAACTGTTAATATACTACTTCTTCCTCTTAAAATGCCTTGACAAGACTTAATCCAAAGAACTAAGAGTTAAAAGTGCTTAGAACTGTTATTTCTTCATGTAGTCTAAGCTGAAATGAAGCAAAGGATCATGGTCTATGTAGTTCCCTCTGTCTTTTTTTTTAGCTATTGCTGCACCATAACTCTTAATTTAAGCAAAGAGACTTGTAATTCGATATATTGTGATGGTCCACGATATTATTGTGAGACTTTGACGATACGATATCACGGTATGTCGGATATTGTTACATCCTTAATCCTTATACATGATGCGCCCAAATAAGAGAAAAGGTAATACTGAAGTGAAAGCCCGTGAGACAAAACAGAGTAGAGGTGAACGCTCCAGCACAAAAGTACATAGTGCACATTCAAAGAAGCACGAGAATCATGTATGAAAAACAGAATTTCCCTCTGGCTGCGGCTGGCTGGTCTATAACTCTATCCAACACAGAAAATTCGTCCGTGGACAATACACAAATACTCATAGCCATTTGAACCTGGCTACATTTCGTTATGTGGAGAACCCGATCAAAAAGGACAAACTGAAAAATCATAAATTGAAAAGTAATAGAAAAGTTTTCAAAGCTAGTCAAATTGAAAAGTAAAATAAATCTTGTAAAAAGCAGTGACATTGCAGGATTACACTGGCCTAAAACTAAAATTCATTTCTGTAGCGAGAAATAGTCAAAACAAAATTCAGAAGCTCCAATATTCTGATGCTGTGAAAAAAATTGCACCTATTGATTTGGGGCAGTACACCTTAAAGAGTATACCTGTATCCTAGGGTTGTTGAAAGTATCGAAAATCTGATACTAATCGATAACTTTTCACTTTTGTAAATAAAAATAATAACAAAATGTATTCATCTTGATTATAAAATTATTTGTTAGATATTTGTGTAAACATACAGCTATATAACACTCTTCTGTTTCCATTTTTACTCATTAATCTGTTCAAAAAGGGCACACAGAGAAAAAAAAAACCAAAAAAAACACCTGGATATTGGATATATTGTCCATCTTTATTCCCACTGTACCACTGACACTCACTATTTTTTTGACAAGCCACACTGGAAGAGCAAAGTCAAACCCACTTACACCCAGTACGCCAACCTACCAAGTCACCTTTGTAAATGTGCTTTTCTACATATAAATGGGACATCAAAAAAGAAACACAGCCAATACATTTTCAATTAAAACCATATTTACCTTAATACTGGGATGAACAGAAGCTACATGCATGTCCTTCACTTTCTCCATAGATACTAGGTTTATATAGTTAATTTTCTTAATCTATCATCGGGAGAATTAACAATCGATTTTTGTTTTTATATTAAAATTATCGTCATTATTATTACTATTACTAATCTGCATAAATAAACTAAACTTTACAACATATAAACCATCCACCACTCTAGAGCCACATCAGCCCGTTTGACATTATAATAACACATTTGTTTACGTTTTACAGAAACTAAACTTATAACCACATGACTCATTTGCATAAACTGTAAGAACTGAAAAAAAAAAAGCTCTTTCCTTGTGTCGGACTAAAGGGCATGACTCAGTGGAATATGAGTGTTCTTTCTGTGACGGGGGGATGTCAGTGATGATGGTGAGTCTGTTCTGTGTGTGTGTGTTGGTGATGGCTCATGTTTTCAGAAATCATACATGTGCAGGTTTAGCCATGGATCTATTAAAATAACTGGATACAGTATTGCTGCTTGTATCTGCCTCCAGTTGACGTAGTGGTCACTCACTGGTACTACAGTGGAAAAAGAATTTTTCTCATAGAGCGCAATGTAATCACGAACTGCTTGTGTTCAGCTGACAGGGCACCTACAACTTTCAAAAATGTTGTATTTTGTGGTGATTTTTACCTATTTTTAGATCATACACTTTTTCCCAGCTCAAAATTCTTAAAAAATGTCTTAAAAAATGCTTTATAATCGTTTGCTTTGGCTACACTCTGCTCTGCTCTAGCTCCTCTCGCTCTGATTGGTCAAAGCGATCACATGATACACGATCCTGTGCTACGTGCATGCGTTTGTGTGCATTTGCGTGTGACCGTGGGAGAAAAGAGCACTACTGCGCATGCTCGGTCGGCCCACGGCCACCGGAAGTTCCTAGCCGGGCTAGGCTAATCTGGGATCATGCGCCATTGAGCTCGGCCTTGACGTGAAGGGTCGGCCATTTTGGAACCTGGGAGCTTGGGTTTAGTGCAGCACTTTATTTATCAGTTCTTTCACTCACTTTATTTATGTTGGTCACTTTATTTCGATGATGTTAATCAAGATCATGTTCTACTTTTTAAAATGCGGGTCAGACAGTGGATTAGGTACAGTATTTTCAAATCTTTTTTTGGTGGTCAGAGTTGTGGGTGAGTTAGTTGAAAATGTGGGTTGGGTTCAGGTCGTTTATACATAGACCCACGCACCACTGGTTGCTGGTGTCATGATGCCCTCTTTATTAAACAACATTAATTATGCCTTGATTTATACTCAGTGTAATGCAGATGTTTGTGTTGTAATGTTCACTTAATGTTTATCCAGCACATTTGAGAAAAATATATTGGCTGTGTTACATTTTTGGTATAAGCTTGGCGATCACGCAATAAGTATCCCTCCACTATACAGTCATTGTGGGTTTATTTGTGCGTCCTTGGGTAGTGGTGTAAAACTACTGTATACTGAATACATTTTACTGCATTATGTATTGTACTCACTACCTTTAACTTACCGGTAGTACTTTTCTTGTGGCGGCAGGGCCCAAGTGATGTTCAAAGCGTGAACTTTTCGAACGGGAACAACTGCAAGCACACAGGGCAGCAGACAATGAGAAAAATGAACCCTGCGTGTGGATTTTGAGAGCGTAGCGTTTTCTGTATCCCCCTTCAAGCGCTGCAGTAAAACGCTATTAAAGGTAACAATGGCTAAGCTAACAAGTTCAGCAAAAATCAGCAGAAGTGGCGGAGAATGAAGCGTACCTCGGTAGAGCTTGTTAAACGCGGGAGTGTCAAAGGGATCCAGCATGTTTGAGAAATCGGGCTTTGAGAGACCGCTGCAAAAAAGACAAGAAAGAGATTAGAAAGAACAAGCAAGCTAACACAAAAGATTCAGTTAAGTGGGTAGTACTCCGGTTCATTTACTGCAACTTTTGTAAGGAAAGGAAGAATATTACGCTATTTTCTGATCTATATTATTATTAAATTATTGTTTCCTCATCAAAAACATACCCGGAGTTGTGTTTCGTTTCATTCACACATGTTCAATCTAACGCACAAACCCTGCACATTTAAGCTGAGTTCTTCTCTCAAACTGAAAACACTCCGTTCCACCTTGTGATGTCATAATAATGTGATAATACAGGAAGTGCTCCACTGTATTTTTAAACTCCATACATGATTCTTTCAACCCTGTGTGGTGGATATCTCTGCCACCACTCCACAGTGTTAGTATTATTTAATTTAATTTAATTTAATTTCATGTCATTTAGACTTATATTGTAACTTGGATGCACACATTTTAGTATAAGTCTGAATTATTACTTACACTTGTTCTTTTTGTTTTATTTGAGTGGCCGGACGGAGGACCCTTGGCAGAAACCATTGACACTGAACAAAGGGGGGAAGCACTATTTAGTTTGTTTTATTAAGTTCGTTTGTCTAGTTTGATTAAGGTCACTTTATTATCACTTGTTATTTTCTGTATTATACTTATTTGCCTTCTTTTTATTTAGATTATGTTTGATTAAGAATTATTTAATGTAATTCTCCCCTCTTGTGTTCAGTTTTAGTTGTTCCTCATGTAATTATTAAACACCCCTGTTCTTTGTCTGGTCGGGTTAGTTTTGTTCTGTTCAGTTTGATTTAAGTTACCCCAGTTGGGCCCAGCTTTTTACCTCCGCCAAGGAGATTATGATTTGCCGGCGTTTGTCTGTTTGTTTGTTTGTTTGTTTGTCTGTTAGCAACATAACTCAAAAAGTTATGGACCGATTTTGATAAAATTTTCAGGATTTGTTGGAAATGTGAAAAGGAAGAACTGGGGGGTGATCCGGAAGAAATCCTGGATTCTTTGAAATTTTAGTTAACATTGTGGTAAATGGGGCCAAAAATTTTGTTTCTCAATATCTCGGTTAATTATTGACCAAACCCCATGAAATTTGACTCAGGGATGGACAATGGGATCATCTTTCATATTCCAAAGGCTGATCCGGATCTGATCCAGAAGACTGATTTTATCGCAATTTATATAAAAAATGGGGGTAGTCCTTGGCGGAGGTCTGCGCTCTCTGAGTGCTTTTCTAGTTGTAAATGATTTACCTAATTTAAGCCTTTTTTTTTTTTTTTTACGTTTATTAAATTTAAACTTATTTTTATACCTTTTATACCCTCTTTGCCTTTCTGTTTGACCCACTACATCTGGAATTTCCAATATCGACTCGAAAACTACCACTACATGACATCACAAGGTGGAACAGAGCATTTCGAGCTTTGGAGCTGTAGATAAACTGATGAATGAAACAAAACACAACTCTGGGTATGTTTTTGATGAGGAAACAACATTATAACATGACCAAAAGCTCATAATATGCATAATATAAGACCTTTAAAGAAACTGAAATATGTGTTGATGTCACTTTACCATGAGATTTTTTTGACTAGTCAAAAAAGTAGTAACAGTAATCTCACTTAAATAAAAGTTTAAAGATGGGGTATTAACTCTGTACTGTACTTATACTGCATCTCTACTATTCATATATATCTTTGCTCCTTTATATATCATCATCATCATCTTTATTCCGAACTCATGGTCCATTTTTTAAAAACAGACAAGGACAGCGACATTACAAGACAACAAACATTTATGTTTTTTAAAAGACAACCATACCAGTGTCTCCACATATTGGACTGACATCTTATTGCACTGAATCTCATTGTTTGTGAGTGACATTGTTATTCATTGTGCGATTTGCTCAGCCCGCAAATAAAACTGTACATTAAAATTCTTAGTGCAGCTTGCAAAGTGTTCACTCGAGCAGTAACAAACATTTCAGTCGCATTCGTCCATCGTGGCCTCCTCAAAAGCACCGCAAAGTGTCATTGTAGGCCCCCTGCAGTCTTTGTAAAGTGTTTTCCTTGTAATTAATCCAGAGGTGGGCTGTGTACAATGGTCTACAACTTTACATCCTTTGTACAAGAACCAAACTTACTTATGTTCACTACAACCTACACAGTACATACTGTATACTGTCTACATTGAATATACTGCACATTCTGTATATATCGCACTTACGGCTCCTTGCACTTCTGATTAGACGCTAAACCACATTTCGTTACCTTGTATTTATACAAGTGTAATGACAATAAAGCTGAATCTAATCTAATCTAATAACACATTTCAACATAATAGGCATTTATTCACTATATTCACCCAAATCGTATCAACATGTAAACTTTTGAGGAGGGAACAAAGTAGTAACATGGCTGAAAGCTCACAAGAATCCATTATGTGTTAAACCGGACCTTTAATAATTTCTTGCCCCACTACTTTTTACTTCAACTTGCACGGTTTTATTTTGAAGTAACAGCACTCTTGGTTGATTAAAATTTTTGGCTGCTCTACCCAGCTAATTTAGTTGCATTAGACTAGCTCAAATTAGCAGCAGTTTGCACCTAATATGGCACTGAATAGCAGATAATTCCATTCACTGGGGCTTTGTCTAACATCTGCAAGGATTAAAAAACATTAGGAAAAGGAAGATTACTGGTGAATGTTTAATTACGACTTTAAAAGCACGCTGTCAGATCCACTAAATGTTTACTTTATTGCACCGCGGCTTGATGCAAATTAATTTAGTTAATCCAAAAGTGCTGAAGGCTTCTGGGAGATTTGAACGCTCAGACAAACAGCGTGGAGCTATAAGGAGGTATTAGACCTTTGAATGCAAGTGGAAGTGTTTAACACTGCAGGTTATGTTATTCATCAACACGCATGTCCGCCCGGTCAAGAGCAAGAACTTAAAGAAAAGTCAAACTAATCCTGACAAAACATGCACAAGTATACGGCTGAACAATAGATATAAACCTTGTATGTCACCACTAGATGGCATCTATGTTACTGCTGTCTGATAGTGTGCTAGTGTGTTAGGTCTTTGACCTAACAAAATAAGACCGAAGAGCACAGATGAGGGGCCAGATTACGGATCTATTAAAATAACTGGATAGGGTTTTGCTGCTTGTAGTTGCCTCCAGCTGACGTAGAGACACTCACTGGAACTACAGCGAAAAAATCCCCTGGGCTGAGAGAGGATTTTTCTCATACAGCGCAAAGTAATCACAAACTGCTCGTGTTCGGCTGACAGGGCCCTACAACTTTCAAAAATGTCGGATTTTGGGGTGATTTTTACCTATTTTTCGATCATAAAGTTTTTCTCAGCTCAAAATCCTTCAAGTGTCTTAAAAAACGCTTTATAATCGTTCGCTCCAGCTCCGCTCTAGGTCCTCTCGCTCTGACTGGTCAAAGCGATCACGTGATACACAAAACCGCACTCAGTGTGTGCGCTTGCGTTCATTTGTGTGTGCTCGTGGGAGAAAAGACACTACTGCACATGCTCAATCAACCCGGAGCCACCGGCTTGGGCCACTAAAAATAATAATAATAGTGTGGAAATTAAAATACAAAAGTTCTTTTTATCCCTCTTTTTTTTCATCATCAGAAAGACTTATTGGACATGTTTTTTATCAGTTAGACCAGACCTGGGCATTGTCCATTTTATCATTTTACCTCATGCATGGACTAAAGCTGCATTGCCTTTATTTTAGAGGTGTTTTTAACAACATTTTTTGTAAGGCAACCTCACTTTTTCATTGCTTAGTCATAACATAAACTAAAGTTTCACCAACTCGTCAAAACAATGATATTTACTGATTTTTATAAAGAAACGGAATTAATATAAAGCAGAATTTTGTCCTCAATATTTTCTATTTCTCATGTGGCCCCATGGAGAAACGCAAACTCCACACCGAAAGGCCACATGCCCCTGGGAACTGAACCTGGGACCTCCTTGCTGTGAGGTGAAAGAACTGACCATGGAGCCCTCTTATATCTTAATTTGTGATACAGTTTGACTAGTATATTGTTTTGTCTTGTTTTTTTTACATACTGTACGCTGAAATATAGGAAGATTAGCCGTGTCCCAATAACACATCTTGAAGTACAATTATAATATTGGAAAAACTTCATGAAACTTGATATGACCCTAAAGCTGGATAATCACGTCTTGATTTCTAGGTCAAATTTTTGATCGACTAAAGACATGTCCGTTGATCGATTAATTGACTAAAAAGGGGGGATGGCAAAACTTCTCAAAACTATTATGTATCTCTTTGCATCTGAACAAAACCCCTCAATAAATGTGCTCCCTTCTCCTAAAGATCCAAATACAATGATTAGTTGAAGCTCTATATGCACGGGAGTCGTTTTATCCGTTTTCTTTACTTGGACCAATTCGCCATGTCGGTAATTTGTGAAGTAAAAATTCTGCCACGAATTATCTGCTATATTTTGCCAAACACAGACGCCCGGTGATAACACTAGTCCTGTGTGAATCTGCATCTCTGTTTTTTGTTGTAATTGAACCTTTTCTATCTCTTTAGTTTCTTTCCACGTTCTTTTCTCTTTCAATCTCAATCAATGTCAGTAAAATAGAGTAATTTACGGACTTTGCTTATCCGTGCGAATGTGCTGGAAGTAACACAGAGGTGGGGCGGTAATTTGTGAATTACCAGACGTCCCCAGGTTGTACTTATCCCGCGCGAATAGGGCTAAAGACTCCATCGAGCTTAATCAGCTAAACAACGAAGGATCTACAGCCCTATAGATTACAAAAACAGTTTCCAGATGTCTACCTTTGAAACCTTTTCTATCATTTCTAGATGAATCATATAGTAAATAAAACATGAGTTGTATTAAATAGCAGAATGAAGCAGTTAACTGATACTTCACAACGTTCTCTGGGGCTGTGAAGTTAACTAAAAGCACTGCTCTGTTAGAAGCTCTGTTACTCAAATTAGTCTTAATGTGAGCTTTGTTTAACACAGTCTGACCAGAAAGAGCTGACTTGGTTGGAACTACCGCAGTTAAGATCATTTGTGCTGTTAAACAAGTCTGTCAGACATACCACAAGTTAAATACCTTGGCCTCATTCTGGATGAAAAAGTCAAATTTATCAGTCAAAACAAAATACGTAGCGATTAAAGCTAGTCTCAGGTGCTTTTGTTTCATACGTAAAAATATTAAGCTCCAGACTTCAAAACTATTCGTGAATGCAATGATTTTCTCGCATCGATCTTATTGTATCACCTCATGGTCAAGCCCAGACACCGACACCACTGTGAAATTTTAAAGAAACATAACCTATTCAACTTTGAAAATTTCATTAATTTTAATCATCTTAAATTATTTTGTAAGTGTCTTAAAGGTTGTATGGAGGATTTTTTTTTCAGTTTCAAATTGTCAATGAAAGTTTAAAATACCATTACAGAGATGCAGCAGCTTTGTAATTATGATGACCAAAAAAAAAAGAATGAAAATCTATGAACTGTGGACTTAGTGAGGCCAGACAAACATCAGCCAATAGAAAACAAGGTTGCCTCATTTTCTATTGGCTGTTAGGTTGTCAATCAAACTCTCTACATTTCTAGGGTAACTATGCAGCAGTTCTTAGAGGCTTTTTCTACTTGTAGCTTCCTCGCAGTTCGCACAAAGTTTGTTGCGATGCCGGACGAGAATCCACGACCAGTTCTCCACAAAAGAAAGTCCGTTTTTGAGGTCGCTGAAAGAAGAAAAGGAGGAGAAAAGGAGCAAAGACAAACTGAGGTGATTCTTGGAGATTCCTTTCAGCGATTGCGCGACTGAAGCAGACAAAGGGTCTAAAAACTGAGGTGTCGGTCTCCAAATGATTTCTAGAGGAACATTTGAAAAAGGCCTGTCGCTGTATTTCTCTTTCCTTAAAAAATCCTCTATACAACCTTTAACTCTCATGTACCGGTGAATTCAGAACTTGCCATAAAATGTACACACAGAGCGAACACAAGAGGTGCTACTAGTTGTAATTGTGTTGTCCCATGGTACAGGACAACTCTTGGTCAGACTGTTTCTTCTTGGAAATGCTACCAGCTGATTTAAAATTGGAAACCAATATCAGCAAATTTAAACGTAAATTAAAATTATTGTATGTTTCCAGCTAAAAATGTACTCACTGAAAATGTACTGCACATACACTACCAGTCGAAAGTTTTAGAACACCAGAATTTTTTCAATTTTTTTACCGTTTACTGTTGACCAAAACATATTCTAAACTTTTGATTCATGAAAGTGTCCACCTTTGACAGATAGAACATCTGAACACACAGGTGGCTCGTTCTTTTTACAATAGAAATCAAATATTCTTCAGAAAGTTGTTCCCAAGTCTGTTGCAGAAGTTTCCATAAATGTGTGGAACTTGTAGATTTCTTGGCTTCACTCTTGTGTCCAGTTCATCCCAAACCAGCTCGATGGGGTTTAAGTCTGGAGACTGTACTGGACACTCCATGTTTCCAAGCTTAACATTTTATTTATTTTTATTTTTTTGGTAGTTTTGGACTTGTGTTTTGTTATAGTTTATCTTTTTTTAACCTTTGGCTGTCCAGTACGTACCTTTGTACCATTTTAAGCTCTTCATTGGACTTGCAAAACTTGAAATGCAATGAATAACTGGAAAAATGTAGGGTGTTCTAAAACTTTTGACTTTTATGTAACTTATGTGTCTTGTCTGTTTTTATGCATGTATTTTACATTTTTAATATGGACATGTGTTGAAAACTAACACACTCACCTAAAACACTCAAAGCAATGCATCTGGCTTGTCTAATGTGATTGTGAGTTCCTTCACAAACATAAATAAAAAAATAAAATAAAATTACAGTTACAAGCTAGATGGGATTACTTTGTATTGATCAATTTTTTAACTAGAGTTTCCAGACAACCTTAAAACTTTTTTGTCTGTGTTTGCTCAATGTGTGCATTGTGTTACCATGGTAACAGCTGAACATTCTGTAAGTAGAGAAGCATGTAGAACACCCGTAACATGAGTATCAATTAGTTACTATCTTAAGTGTCATAGATATTAATTAGGCTACGTTCAGACTGCAGGGTTTAACGCTCAATTCCGATTTTGTTGTGAAATCCGATGTTTTTGCGAGGTCGTTCACATTTCCAATTAAATGTGACTTGTATGTGACTCCAGTGTGAACATAAAACGGCCCAAAAGTGTCCCGCATGTGCACTGGAGGACACGATGACGTCAACCGCAGCGAGCGTGATCTGTGTTTACGGAAGTTGTCCAAACATGGACGCGAACATTGAGCACCTGGAGATTTTAAAGTTCCTCTCGTACCGGAGCCAGAACATGAACAACTTACTTGTTTTAAGGAGGAGATTGAGAAGGAGAAGGACGAGGTTTTTGGTCGTGGCGTTTTGTGGGAAAGCGGCAGCGACGTCCGTTGAAAGAACGTGTGGATGTGGAGACGTAGCCAAGAGTGGTGAGTGGTGATGTGCTTCGCTTCAGTGACACAGAGTTCGTTAACAATTTTCGCCGACTTCAGCGCAGAATAGTGACGTTTGTGGCTTGTTGATAACGTGTCGGTCGGATGAATGCGCTTTGGCCGTTCAGACTGAAGTCACATGTCAAAAGATCAGATATGTATCGGTTTCAGGAGCACATATCCAAGTGTCCTGGGTCGCATTTGAATAAATCGGATCTGTGTCGTTCAGACTGTCATTAAAAGATCAGATACAGGTCACATAGGGGCCAAAAAATCAGATTTGGGTCACTTCAGGCTGCAGTCTGAACGCAGTCATAGTCAACCCTCTACACCTCAAAAAATTGACTTAAACAAAACAAAAAATCAAAAAAGCTCCCCTCTAGAGCAAACATAAGTTACATAGGGTAAAACATTATTACAGTGACGCCTAAATATCATTATGACAATATTAAATTTATCAGATATATCCTTCTCCCTCATAATGTGCGGCTCTCCTCTCAACAGAAGCAGACGGCGAGCAGAGGAGATGGGAGACAGACTTGACATTTACATTTTAGAAAATCATTTCCGGAGCTAATATAAACCCACCCGCCCCCCCCCTCCCCCGTCCCTCCATCCCTCCGCCACGAGCAGCCTGTCCTCTCTCGCGGCGCTCTCCCTTTCGGACACTCACTTGTTGGGCACCTTGCAGAAGATCTCTCTCACCCACTCCTCCAGCGTGTCCAGTTTCTCTAAAGAGCAGAGAGAGAGAGAGAGAGAGAGGGGACAAATTAGCTCCTGAGTGGGTCCTTCAACAACCGCCCAAAATGTCTTCCTCTAAATTGGCCGGTCGCTAAGTTTCTGACAGGCCAAAAAAAACGATCCCAGTTCCCGTCCCAAATCTCCAAACCCCGCAGTAACATGGCATGGTGGTGGTGAGTTTAGTCTGAGCTGAATTCTGTCGCCACCGGAATTTTAACACATTCAATTAAACTTCTTTTAGATTAAAATTAGTAGCTGAAAATTAAGTGCTAACGTTGTAGAATATCGGTATTAGAAACGTGATGAAAGCTGAAAGGTGGAGGAGAAGGAGGAGGAGAAGGAGGGAGTTCACTGTCGGGATTAACTAAAGATTTGGGGCTAACCAGGGTGTAGGCAGAAGCGATATCTTTAAAACCGCTCACAGCTTTGGTTAGATTGTGATTGATCAAAGCAATTCTTCCTCTGTTAGGTTATCTTAAGGACTTTAGGGTGGATGTTTTAACAACAAGGTGCAATTTATGTCCTCTGCATTTAACCTGTGGGGGAGATCTCAGGACCCATTTCCAGATCTTGAACTCACAACTGAGTACCTAAGTTCATTAGAGTGTGCAAACAGTGATCAAAACAACTGCTTTTCATCATTTCCACAGACTGTATAAAGAAGTGGACTAACGGAAGTGTGACTAGGGTGGCCAGACGTCCCTATTTGCCCGGGACAGTCCCAGTTTTGAGTCCCCTGTCCCACCAGATTTATCCAAAACCATTTATTTGTCCCAGTTTTATACAAGAAATGTCCCAGGTGTCTCTATTTTTAACCAATTTTACACCTGCCACCAATAAAAAGAGGCATAAATTGTCATTTGTTTTGGTAAAATCTAGAAAAGCTGCTTAAAAATGCCCAAAACACAAAGAAAATATGACTATACTGAGTCACATTAGTGCCGAGTGCAGAACAATTTTCCTCAATTACGCACTCGTTTCACAGTTTTATTATTACCAACCAACCCAAACCAGGGATGTCCTAGTTTTTTATTTTGAAAATCTGGTCACCCTAAATGCGACGTCACCCATAGCATTCAAGTCAAATGCGCATCGAGGCCAGCAGTTATGGGGCAAATTTGGAGCCCAGTTACATATTTGGAACTCAAAGTATCACAGAGGCCAAAGAGCCAATCTGGCGCGCCCTTTCCTGTGCACTCTGGTGGTTTAGCAAGGAGCATGCACTTAACAACACTGTCAATCAAACCTGCTACTAATTAATGTTCTTATCTTAATTTATGGACAAAATAGCAAAGTAAAAGCCCCAGGATCAGTGGCGGAGTTAACAATTTGGGGGCCCTAGGCGAACTTGAGTTTGGAGTCCTCACTATAATGCACCGTTTTTTCGGTTTCGTTTTTTAAATATATTTATTGTCTGTTTTTCCACATTATTCTTGAGACATGTACATCTCTATTTATTTGAATTATGAAGGATTGGAAACTTGTCTTATTAGTTCGGTCGCCTACTAGAAAACCAGACCTGAACGTAGTGTTATTTTTTTTCTAGTACCGTATTTGCGCTCTGGATTATAAGGCGCACTGTCATTGAATGGTCTACTTTCAAACTTTTTTCCAAATAAACCGCACCGGACTGTAAACGAAACACAACAGTTCGATGGGTCAGTGGGACTTTGTTTGGCGCGTTCACGGTGACTCTGGGCTTTGTTCAGTTGTGGCGTGTAGGGAGGGTGCTGTCTGGGACCAACGGATTGTCGGCGTGTTTGCAGTGACTCAGTTGTTCAGTCGTGTCTAGAAATGGCACATTGCACTCGCTTTTTCGGTTCGTTCCTCCGTTCCGTTCCTCGTCGGCGTGGAGTGATGAGTGTGTGTGTGGGTGTATTTCGCTGTGCGGTCGCTGTCTGCTCCGTGTGTGTTTGTGTGCACTGCGGGTGGTGCGGCTTTGTAGTTTACTGAAGTCGCGCTGGGACACCTGAGTGGATTCATGTACAGAGCGCTCTGGCTTGCAGGGCGTGCGGCCGTTTTTTGATGGGGTTAGAGGCTTAAGAGCGCGTCTAATAGCCCGGAAAATACGGTACAATTATATTTTTGTTGACATCCATTACATATGGTTTTTATTATTTTTCTTATGATTTAAAAGTAAACTACAGTCCTTTAATGTTATACTGAGAGAAAATCAAATTGCTCTGAGGACTCGGCCATTAGTGGTACTGAGGACAATTGGTTGGGGGCCCCTCCAGGTTTGGGGGCTCTAGGTAGTCGCCTACTTTTGCCTAATGGTAGCGCCGCCTCTGCCCAGGATCATGTAGAGCAGGTTAATACAAACATTTAAGACTAAAGTGAGGAGCCTGACAACAGCAGCTACAGAGAGAGCGGCAACGTTTTTTCAGTAGAAAGTGAATTGGAGCCGAAAGCGTGCCCATGCTCACTTCCTATTTGGAACACGGCGACCAGAGAATCATCTATGTCTATGGTTATTTCACATATGTTTGTTTAATAATACATTCCATTTGTCGCAGTTTTGTTGCCTTTTTTTCTTTCAATGAAAAAGTCTACCCAAACTTTTGACTGGTAGTGCCTATAGCCTATATATTGTACATCCTATTTTGTTTTAGGTTGATAGGGAGATACTAGAGCGCCCAAGGGAAACCCCGAGACAGAGGAAACATAAGCCATAACACCTTCTGACTGTGGAAAAAAAAAAAGCTACAAGTATATCTGTTTCAAAAATATCTGAATCTCTGCCTTGTATTTGCCGTGTATCAACAAGCACAACTACGCACATCCACTAATCACTGATAGACGCCCTTATTATGACTGTAACTAATTATCATTTAGGAGTGATTATGCCTAAAGACGTTTCCCATTAGAATCCGTTGGTGTTGATTACAGTGATTGGCCGGTGTGTAAACGCGTTCTGACGTGTGATTAGCCCTGCACACGTCTGACCTTTGGACTGCACGGCCAGGGTCATGTAGTGAGCCGAGTAGTGCTGCTCCCAGAACTCTCGCAGACGCTTGTACACGTTTATCTTCTGCTTCTTCGGCTCGTGCTTCAGAGTCTGGGCGTTACCTGGAGAAACACAGGTAATAAATAATAATAAATAAAGGTGCATTGTGTAAATTTTCTGATGGAGGGTTCGTCAAATTCTTTCCTTCGTGGAGATGTTACGGCTTTGTCTGGAATGTTTCACAGTATGAGTGTGGTATTAAAGCTTTCTATCTTCACTGAGACCAAACCAGATCAAGTTACAGGTCAGATCTGTGGAGAGGCGACCCCTTTCTTGGTATTTTTGAGCTATAAAACCACCTGTAGTTGAATAAATGTAAGGTAGGGCTGATTAAAAGTCATACTGTGGAACATTTCAGGCAAAAGCAATGACGTATCCATACAAATAAGCAGGTGATGGACCCCCAGATCAAAAAGTTACGTAGTGGAACTTTAAAGGGCCCATATTACGCTATTTTCTGATCTGTTATAATGTTGTTTCCTCATCACAAACAGACCTGGAGTTGTGTTTTTTTGTTTCATTCACACATGTTTAACACACAAACCCTGCATATTTAGGCTGAGCTCTTCTTCTCTCAAACTGAAAACGCTCTGTTCCACCTTGTGATGTCATGTGGTAATACAGGAAGTGCTTCACTGTGTTTTTAAACTCCCACACCTTCACGAGAATCATTTGGATCATTTCAGCCCTGGAATTGCCCCATCTCTACTGAACTAAATTAAAGGCAGCGGACGGACTGCGACCAAAATAACAGCCCTGGACTTTCCCCACAAATAGGCCTACCATTTGATATTTAAATAATTAATAGTGAATAATTTCAATAAATCAGTAATGAAATAATTGAAAACACACAAAGATTAACTATTTCTGATTATTTATTAACAAAAACACCAAACACTTATTTCGAAGTGACTTAGCTTTTTTGTTTTTAACGTTTTCCCATCCACCTCTCTCCTTTGTTTGCTGTTCGACCTCTTTGACAAGCGCTTTGTGTTGCATTTTTTTGTATGAAAAGAGCTCTATAAATAAAGTTTGACTGATTGATTGACGTGTGTTGAAACCAGCGAGTAACCCACTCTTCTATGCACTCTTTTCTCATTCTCTCTCATTAATGTCTCTTTTTATGATGATTATTTATGTTTTGATTTGTTTGTATTGTGATTTTAAAGCATTTTTTTAATCTGTAAAGTACGGAAGCTGAGGGGTCACAACAAACGCAAACGCCCCAACAAATACAAATGCGACAACACAACAAAAAGCCACAACAAACCAAAAAAAGCCACAATGGAAATGACCGCGGGATTCTACTTTAATGCAAACGCCGCAACAAATACAAATGCCACAACACATTTAAAAGCCACAACACATTAAAAAGCCACAATGGAAGTGACTGCGGGACTCTGTTTTCCGACGGACCAATCAAGCAGCTAGTGAAGAAGAACTACAATGTGAAAAGTAAAGGAACGGAGAAGTTGGAAATGTAAGTAAAAGTAATTTATTGTTTTATCATTATCCGTTTCACGTTGTAGTTCTTCTTCTTCACTTGCCGCTTGATCGGTCCGTCGGAAAATAGAGTCCCGCGCTCACTTCCGTGGTGGCTTTTTAATGTGTTGTGGCTTTTTAATTTGTTGTGGCTTTTTAATGTGTTGCGGCATTTGCGTTTGTCTTGTGACGTTTGTATTTGTTGCGGCGTTTGCATTAAAATAGAGTCCCGCGGTCATTTCCGTTGTGGCTTTTTTTGGTGTGTTGTGGCTTTTTGTTGTGTTGTCGCATTTGTATTTGTTGCGGCGTTTGCGTTTGTTGTGACCCCTCTCAGCTTCCGTAATAAAACACTTTGAATTACTTTAAATTAGAATTGCACTAAACAAATAAACTTGCCTTGCCTCGCCTTTTAATCCTGTGCAATTTATGCTGCACAAATGGGCAAATTATTGAATTAGTGCCCTCTGCTGTAGACTGCATGGTTGTTCTCGACTTTTCCAGAACGTACAGATTGCAAGTCCGCCCCTGACTAAAGGTAAAAGGAGCTGTTAACTTGAAAACTACTGGTTGATGACATCACAAGGTGGAACAGAGCATTTTGAGCCTTGGAGATGTAGACAGACTAATAATAAAGGGTTACTCAAAGTGTGAATGAAACAAAACTCAACTCCAGGTCTGTTTTTGATGAGATAACAACATTATAACATAACTTAAAGCTCACAAGAGTCAATTTTGCATAATACAGGACCTTTAAAACATTACTCTGGGGTTTATTAAACATGTTTCAGTCACACTTGGTTGTAATTTGTGGACAGGGTCTTGCCCAAGGACAGAACAACAGTATGTGATATAAATCTGCAGGTGGTACAGTGAGGAGGATTTAGGTTTGTTACCATCGCAAAATCTGAAAACAAAAATTGGATATTTTTTGAATGGCGCCTATAGCAGAAAATATAACAAAAAGCTGAAACCCATGAATAGTTCAATCTCAGGAGGGGAGAAATTTCACAAAAACAGACAAAAACAGACATAAATTACAATAGTTTCTTTTCTTTTGTTTTTGTGTGTTTTCATTTTGCAAATAATAAATCAGAATAACATTAAATACTAGAATAATAATACTAGAACACCAAAATGAACCTTTTTGAAGTAAATCAGAAGTTACATTGAAACTTATTTTCCCCAAATTCTTTTTACTCATAATGTTTTGGACCACTACTTCAAACTTCCACTTGACTAATATGAATTTCAAGTAATAAAGTTCAATAATTTTTGGCTACTGCTGCCTCTGCCTTATATATAAAACATAAAAAATAATAAAAAAGAGTAATAAACCTCATGTATCTGTCCACACTGCTTAAATCCACTCACCCCAGCAGAACTTGCCCATGGGGTGGTCCACTTTGGCCAGGCTCCCGAACAGCATCTCCTTTCTGTGCGAGTCGGAGGGTTTGGCCAGCTGGTACTCTGGCAGAAGAAGAAGAAGAGGAGGAGGTGGATGAGGAGGAGGAGGAAGAGAAGGAAGAGGAGGAAGAAGAGGCACTTCAGTTAATAGTCAGGTGCAGGGACGCAACACAAACGTACAACCCCGTCAGATGTAAATGCTAATGCGTTTAAGTCTTTATAACAAAAAATAAGAAACTGTTTTGAATGTAGAGAATAGAAATGTCAAGTAGTTTGCTTTAATATTACAAAAGATGGACATTTTTTAAATGTTCTAGCTTCAAAATTGTTTAAGCTCAAAAACACCAGCACAAAAAGGTTCAAAGGCGGATACATCATGTTGGAGATTATGTGGGAATAAAAAGGTTGGGCATTATCATGTTTTTTGGAGCTGCCCCAAATTGAATGAATAGTGGGAGAAAATTAAACAAAACATTGAGGAAAGATTTAGAGTAAAGATCCCTTTACATTTTGAAACTATGTTTTTGGGCAAATGGACAGATGGCATCAAAGCAACAAACAAATATCTGTGGAACATTCTGCTGGTCGCAAGCAAGAAATCAATAACCAAAACTAGAAAAGCACTCAGAGAGCGCAGACCTCTGCCATGGACTACCCCCATTTTTTATATAACTACCCCCATTTTTTATATAAATTGCGATAAAATCATTCTTCTGGATCAGATCCGGATCAGCCTTTGGAATGTGAAAGAGGATCCCATTGTCCATCCCTGAGTCAAATTTCATGGGGTTTGGTCAATAATTAACCGAGATATTGAGAAACAAAATTTTTGGCCCCATTTACCACAATGTTAACTAAAATTTCAAAGTGATCCAGAATCCAGGATTTCTTCTGGATCACCCCCAAAATGAAATCACTTCTTCCTTTTCACATTTCCAACAAATCCTGAAAATTTCATCAAAATCGGTCCATAACTTTTTGAGTTATGTTGCTAACAGACAAACAAACAAACAAACAAACAAACAGACAAACGCCGGCAAAAACATAACCTCCTTGGCGGAGGTAAAAATGGATGAGTGACAAACTACCGAATTTGGAGGACTGGATTAACACTGCCAAAGATTAGAATATGAAAGCTGGAAACCATGGAAAGACTTTATTAACAACCAAACATAAAAAAATAAATAAAAATCTGTGAAAATCCTTGTCCACTGCTACTCAAATGTTCAAATATTTGTTTTTTCTTGTTTTATTTTATTTATTATTATTTTACTTTGCATTCTTAACAAAATAAGGAAACAAAAACAAAGAAATTTTCCATACTATAATAGAGAAATATGTGAAGTGAAAGAAGGACACAGGGGGAGAAAAAAACTGTACATTTGTGATTTGAAACTGTCATCTCTATTGGACTGTCAATAAAAATCTGAATTTGATAAAACTGTTTAAGCTAGACAAAAAAGTATAATTTGTGATCAAGTGCATATCAAATTTCTGCAAGTATTTGTCACGATACTAAATTTTCAAACGTGATTTCAAACGTAAGGAAAAGGCACGATACTTGATACCAATTCTGATAGCACAATGATGAAAAGAACAACAACAACAACAACAACAAAAAAAAACTTCTTACACGATATAATGTAATTTCCAGCACAAAATAATAATGCTTTCTTTAAGTTACCATGTGGTGCTATACTGGTGTTGATTAGTCTTGTTAATAAGTATTTTTCACTATAAAAATGTTCAAGAAAGGTCAGATTTTGTCATGGATACATGGTTTTGCTATTTGTATGTGATTTTTGATACTTTTGACAACTTTAGTCGAGTAGAAACAAAAAAGGATTTAACTTTCATCAAAAATTCTAAGTGTAAAATGTAAAAATGTACAACATAAAGCTGAAATAATTGAAAATCATCGAAATCATTACACGAGTAGCTGAGTGGTTTTCATTTGCCAAAAACGGAAAAATTATGTTTCATGATTTGTGATTTTGAAGTTAATCAGAAATCACATCATGTTCCACTTCAGTTTTGCCTCCAGCTGACTCCATTTCAGAACTTAGATGGGTTTTGTTTACAAACTTCTAAAAAGGGTCTCCACTGTGGATACGAGGCTGAAGGACTGACATTTGGCATTTGGACTGCTCCCACAGAGACTCACTCACCACTGTCCACGGCCTCCACCTCACGGTCAATGGCGTCCCGGATCATTAGAGGACAGATGAAGAACTGGGCCCACCTGAGGAGAGGAGAGTTTACAGGTTTACAGCAGAAGTGCACAGTCACATCCTGAGTCACTATATAAACTATACTGTGTGTTTATGGTTGTACTGTCTGAAAGTCTGAAAAAGGTAAGTATTTTTTGGACTATTAGTTGTACTTTTTTCATGGTTTGGGTGTTTTCTGTGACTTATACTTCGGTGCGACTTATGTATTAAAATTTTCACACTGACAGCGCAAGTGGCTCTAGTCTTGTGTGTCAGTATCTGCTGCTCCTGTTCCTCCTGTACCACTGTCACTTGGCTCTACTGCGCATGTCTCCTGCAGAAAGAGCCTCTGTCCTGTCTGTGTCATGTCAGTCGATCGTACCATTACTTCTATACCAGTGAAAAATGTAAATGTAAAAACAAACTTATGAAGACAACTGAGAAAACTGAACACAAATGCCCCCAAAAAGAAAATCATATTTTGCAGATTACAAGCAGCAATGAGCATCTGCAGCCGAAAACGGTAATCGAGCAGCAGGAAGAATGTTTGGAGTGAGCGATAAATTTGTGACACTGGGAGGATGCAACATGAAACATTTCTGAAGTCAATGGATGGATCGACAAAGCCTGGACTTCAGTGACGCCGAAACCATCCTGTCGGGATTCAGAAAGACCAGAATAATTCTAATTGGAACTGATGCTGAGTCTGAAGACAACTACATAGAAGAGGAAGTGATGCTCTGTTTACCTCTGGAGGTCACGGAGTTGCTCAGAAGTGACACCGAGGATGAAGAATTGAATGGATTTAGTGATTTGGAGTGAGATGGAGAGTTTGTTAAACTTGTTCTGTTCTGTTGTTTATGTTATATTTATCTGAAGAACTGTTCATATGTGACGTTAAAAGTCTGTTGTTCTCTGTTCTATTGTTATTACTAGAACTTGTCTTTCAAGATGAAATGTCAGTTCCTGGTCTCTGATATTTATAAAATCAATTTCCCCCAAAGAGTGCCACTTATAATCCAGTGCGACTTATTTCTTCTTCATTCCACATTTTTTGGCTGGTGAGACTTATAGTCCGAGAAATAAAGTAAACATAGTGGTCTTGTAGAGCAAATCAATGGAAAATCTCAATCACTTTATTCATTAGCCAAAATGAAATGGGATGTGGGATCATTACAGTACAGTGCTAAAAGCTGCAACATTAAGAAGTTGATGACTAAGTGTAAAACCAGACTTTAACCACAAATTAAATTAAAATAATTATTACTCAAAAAAAAAAAAAAAAAAAAAAAGGGTACGTTTACATTTTTCCTGGTCAGGTCCTGGTTTGAGTAGTGGTAGTCCTGCTGTAGACTTGGTTTGGTCCTGTTCTAGTCCTGCTTTAGATCCAGGTCCTATATGTTGTGTGTACGTGTGAATATTGTTTCTTTTTATGTTGCCTTAATAATTATGTGATCATGTTTATTTTACCAAACTGTGTGACCCATTTTGCCTCATGTTTTCCAATATTTGCAAAATGTGTCTTGCCCCAGTACAGACTAACTGTTTAAGAAGCTCGAGGTCTAAATAAGTCCGCTGTGTACGATCTACATTTAATTACAATGCATTTACTGTCCAATAATGAGGAGGTGCACTGTTAGCATACTAGCTATTGTTAGTAAAACTCTGCTATTGTCTCTGAAAGTGTAAAAAAAACCTCTAAAAATCAGGTAAAGCACTTTTATCCATGGTTTATTCTCATTTTAGACCTGCTTTACCCCTAAACTTAGACCTGAAGTAGTCCAGGTTCAGATCTGGTTGTACTCTGAAAGCCAAATATTATCCTCTGTGGTACTTTGTGTGGAAAGTTTGCGAGTTACTGCATTATTAAATAGTTGCATCTTGTGAAAGGCAGAATACCTGAGCGTGTCTCCTGTAATGACACTGTGTTGTGTGAAAAACAGATTCTGAGCACCTGCTGTGGAGGAACTAGAGAGGAGAAAACGACTGAGGCACTAACTTTAGGCTGGTTGTCAGGGAGAGAATTAAGCAGTTTCCAAGTGAATACACCTCTTCAGGAAAAAAGACCATCTTCATTGTTGACTACGGACATAACAGTATCAGAAAAATGTTTTTTTCAGCTTTGAACAATTTGAAAAGAAAAAAAATCATCTTACATCAAATAGAGCAATGTATTTGTTATGTGCTGTTAATTGTATTTACAGAGTTATAAGCTGTACCTGTAAATGTTTGTAGGTAATTTAAGTGTAACTAAACACTAAATCAAAAACAGTTTTGCTACTAAACTGTGTATGGTTTTAATTGCATTGTCTCCTGTTCCTAGTCCTTTTTGACAATTGTAGGGCAATGCAAAACTCAGCTTTTTGGTCAAAAACAGACAAAAACTGAGTGTGTTCTGAATCCTGTGACCACTGCAGTTTAAGGTACTATGTGACATCACTCTAGACCAGGCGTGTCCAAACTTTTTTCATCAAGGGCCACATATCTAAACACAGATGAAGCAGAGGGCCAATTGAGGGCTGTAGACTGGAGCGCAACACAGTGAATAACTGAAATATGTTCATGTTTAAACACGTTAAAATGAGGCATCAGTCTTTATTCATGCTAAGATCCTTAAAACCACACCCTAAATATTAAAAATATTGGCTTTATCAAGGTAGATTTTCAAAAAACTTGCTGTAAAAAGTTAATTTTTAATTGATGCAAGGCAATTTGGGCCAATTCACCTGGAAGCCTGAGGGCCAAGAAAAATTTGTCTGAGGGCCGCATTTGGCCCCCGGGCCATAGTTTGGACATGCCTGCTCTAGACTGTCCCGATTACAGGGGGTGGATGAGTTAGACCAATCACACCGTTTTTCATATATCCAGACCCTGCCCCTTTTCCCCCTCACTCTCTTCTTTAGTGCTGTCAGTACTACCCAAGTTAGCAAACCAGGCTGGCGCCACCTACTGCCTCCGCTCAATTTCATTTCTCTCCAGCGACTAGGTCAGGAACCGAGATCGAGGATTTAAAGCCGGAACAAAGAGAATGTTTGGTGAATTTTATCAAGGGGAAAGACGTTATTGCCCTTCTTCCTACAGGATTTGGCTCATTACATACATCACATCCAAATAGCAGCGATTGGTTAAATAAAAAAAGTACCCGCCTACCATCGAGCGAACAAACCCTAATGCTGCGAGGTCATACGGTTTCCACAAGGTGAAACTGGCTGATGAATCAGGCTACAAGTAAGCAGCAGTATTTGAAATGTGGTTATGGGAGTGTAGATTTTGAAGATGAGAACGGCTTGAATGATGGTACGGCAGCACAGAGAAGCCATACTGTTATCAACAACATCTAATCCTCCAGCTGGGTACTCCTGACCTCACCCTTAAATGAGGACAATAAAGACTCTCTTCACACTTTCACACACACACCACAAATATTGGACTAAGATAGGACTAAAACTGGAACCAAACCTGGGCTAGAACCACATTGATCACTCTACATCAGGACTAAAACAAGACTGAATGCAGCAAGAGTCTGTCTAAACCATAATACCGTCTTGAATACTGATGGACTCCTGTTTGTTAAAAATAATTATAAAATGTATTATTTGGGTCCTGGGGTATTAAATATTTTTTATAATGATTGTGCAAAGCTATAGCCTTCTTGAGTTAATTTGCTTTGCTATTTGTCTGTCCGTGAAAGCATTTGGTTTGGGGCAGTTCAGACTTTGAAGAACTGTAACTATTTTTATGTTTATGAAGTATATTTTGAAAGCCATTTTTATTTCATTCTTTGAAAAGCAAAACACATAATCAATATTAATATCCAAAAGATGAATACACAAATGTTGAACCTGATCATTTCTATTAGTAACCAGAATAAGAACAATAATTAATATAGAATAATTAATACAATACATATTTTTGGCCAATTAGAATGTTGTAATGTTGTAATCCAAAAAACTCCAGCCAGATGGATTTTTTGGGGGGATTTCTACCAGCCCCTCTGTATGTAGCTCCTCTGCTTTGTACTTAACCTTCAGATTTTACTTCTTACTCTCCCTTCCCCTTTGAAAGTCCCGTCCCAGCGTGTGTGCAGCGGACATCCCCTGACCCCTCACCTGTCCAGAGCCTCTTTGAAGCTCCTCCTCTGGACGTCGAACTGGAAGACGGTGCGCTCGCAGTCGGTGGAGGCGTTGTCACTTCCTCCGTGCTTCTTGAGGAACGCATCAAAGCCGTTTTCAGACGGGTACTTCTCGCTCCCCATGAAGACCACTGGGACACAGGCAAGAGGTTCAATGTCAAGTCAGAACAGTGGAAAAAATATGCTGTTTGTTGTGGAGCTGAAGGAAAGAAAAAATAACGTTAGAATCTATATCTGGACATACGTGAACATTCACACAGACAGAGGCTTCCTCTTTTCTGCATCACTCGAGGAAAAACTAAAACTAAATCACAACACTACCCACGCAAGTCCATCTTTCCCACAATCAGGAAATAATTTAACTCCATAAAATGCTTCTTAATGAAAGAAACATCGATATTTATATAATTGTTCACTAGGGGTATGCAAAAATATCTAAATATCGATATGTCATATCTAGGATTGGGTATCATTAATAAGTTGCTGATACGATACATACCTCGATACAGTGAGCTTTCTACTCGATACGATTCAATACGATATTTTTCAAACTGATTTGATACAGTTCAATATAAAAAATAAAGCTTAACTCATGGCTGTGATACTAAAAGTCTTTGTTAAATCCACTTCTTGTGCAAAGTTCATATGAAACACAAACATTTTAATCATCAAAACTAGGGATGGGCATGATTAATCGATTATTATCGATAATTGATCATGAAGAATTTCATCGATTACGTTAATTTAAATCGACAAACCGAATGTAGGTTGCTGTGGGTAGCGTGACCAAACAGGGGTCTGTACATGTGGCTCTCTGCACTCAGAAGGAGCGAGACACGAACATTCGGTCAGTCTGCAGCGTACCGAAGCACAAATGCGTATTTAACGATGAGTTGTACAAGAAAGTCCACGCTTTCTGTTGCGTTCGGGACAAGTGTGAGTCCATGTGCACAGTGTACAAAGCAGGAACATATGTTTCTGTGTCCAGTGGGAAAAAGTTTTACCAGGTGAGAGTCGCGCAATGTCGATGACGAGTCTCCACCTCCCGCCCCCCGTACGGTTTCCTGGTTTTGACAAACGCAAATATGGTCACACTAACCTGCATTCACCTGAATCATGTCTTTTAATCCGACAGAAATTGACCGCATCAGCGACACAAGAGCTGTTGTTTTATCTTCGCTGAGTTTATGCAAATTAGCGATGCGGTTTTAAGTTTCATTTCTGTGAGAGTTGCACAGAACTGAATTAAACACATTATAATCTAAAACAGATTGATGTGGCTCTAGAGTCATTACGGTTTATATGTCGTAAAGTTGAATTTATTTATGCAGATTAGTAGTGCAGATAGTAATAATAATGATGATCATTTTAATATAAAAACGTTAATGATTAATCGATAATCGATCGTTAATTCTTCCGACGATCGATTAAGAAAATTTCATCGAATGCCCATCCCTAATCAAAACAGTGAAAATGTCAAATGTGTTGCATAAAAAAGTTTCCTTCCTCCAAACTAGCAACAAAACTGTAGCTCTGTAACAAAATAATTTAGTAAAATATACCAAAAAAATACTGGTGATAAATCGATATAGCAGTCCATGATATCGATACTGTATCATCACATTAAACGATACTATATATTTATATTTCGATATTTTTGCACACCTCTAATCATATTGTTTAATGCAGGAGTCTCCAACTTGTAGCTCTCCACCCTCTTACAAGCAGCTTGTCAAAGGATTTCTGAATTATATGTATTGTAGCTAAATAACACAAATTTTGATTAATTACCTCTGTAAATGTGTTATTTTGAACTATTGTGCACTAATAAATGGGTAATGGTTTAATGTTTTATAGGCATCTAACTGTAAAACATGTAAGGCTTGCCCTCTTATATCGACTCCAAAATGAGTAGCGCTCCGGAATTTTCACTTTGGAAAGGTAGCTCAGTGGACACAAAAGGTAGGAGATCCCTGGTTTAATGTGATGATACAATATCGATATCATGGGCTGCTGTATCGATATATTGCCAAGAGTATGTTTTGCTTTGTTTTACTAAATTATTTTGTTACAGAACTACAGTTTTGTTGCTTGTTTAGAGGAAGGAAACTCATTTATGCAACACATTTGACATTTTCACAGTTTTGATGAGTAAAATGTTTGTGTTTCATATAAACTTTGCACAAGAAGTGATTTAACAAAGACTTTTAGTATCACAGCCATGATTTTGAATTTATTTTTTATTGAACCGTATCGAATTGATTTGAAATGTATCATATCAAATCAAAAGTGCACTGTATCGAGATATGTATTGTATCGGCAACTTCTTAATGACATCCAGTCCTCCTTTACACTGTATTTTGTTACTTTTTTACTCTTTGTTATTATATTATATGACATTATATCTTAAAAATTGTGATGTGTGAGCTACTGTGTCCAAATAATTTCCCTTGTGGATCAATAAAGTTTGTCTAAGTCTAAGTCGATCTGTACAGCATAAGACGGGGCACCTCCAGATTTAGACTCTGGCTGTAGCACCCATCTTCTGCAATTACCCTCACCTCCCGCCACCCAGAGCACTCACAGAGGGTGCTAATGCGTCTTATTTCATCCCTTTTTTCTAGCCCAGTTATAACACTTTTTTCTTTTTTTTTTTTGCTTTTTTCCATTTTTGGGTTGCACCATTATGTCCACTTTTCTTTCTCTCTGCATGTTTCGTCTTTCATCCAGCCACAAAACACAACCGGAGTTAGACGAGAACCGCATCGACGCGGCAAATTAAAGTGGGCGGGGCTTTGCGGTTCATTCTGAAGCATCGCTCACTGTTCGAAACCGCGCACTTGCTCCTTTAACATCTCAGACGAACGTTACTGAACTTCAGACGCGCATTAGTTAAAAAAAAAACAAGTAAACGCAATCGTATTTTATTGTTATGCAGAATTGACAGAAAAGGTATTAGATCTTCTGGCGTTTTTGAAATATAGCCGTAAACAAATCTACTATTATGGCGATAAAGCAGGATGGAGAGACAGGTACGGGACAATTTGTGGAAATGACTGAGGCTCCACCGCGGACTGGCCATCAAACAATAGTGTTGAGCAGTCACATCATTACAAGAGATGGATATTACAATCTCTCCACTGACAGCTACAGCAATAGAACAAAACGCAATTCAGAAGTGAGATTGGATTTTTATGAGTTGTATTCCGAGAGCACGTAGGAAATCTTGTAAAATAGGCTAAGCAAGTAATATGCACTCCAAGGCCACTTTAGGAGCTGCGCGGGCTTAAGCGCGCCGTGTAGCTAATGTGGGTTTTTCATGCATACTAATGGACGGAATAGTCAGTGTCAGCTTCCTTGTGAGTTTCACGCGGCGGGACATGTTTGAGCTGGTTACACAGTCAATTTGAGCATCAGCTTCATGAACTCGCTTAAAATGTAGACTTCGGTAATGTAATCTACGTGTTAGAGAGCGGAAGAGGCGCTGCGGAATTTTTAAATGTTTCCCTAAAGTAGAAGTGAAAATGAGAATAAACTGCAAGAAAACTTAGGTTTGTTCAGACTGCGGCCTGAAGTGACCCACATCTGATTTTTTCGTCCCTACGCGACCTGTATCTGATCTTTTAATGACAGTCTGAATGACACAGATCCGATTTTTTCAAATGCAACCCAGGCCACCCAGGCTATGTTCAGACTGCAGGGCTTAATGCTCAATTCAGATTTTTTTGTGAAATCCGATGTTTTTGCGAGGTCGTTCACATTTCCAATTAAATGTCATTTGTATGTGAACTTTGCATGTGCATTGGAGGACACGACGACATCACTCACAGTGAACGTGCTCAGTGTTTACGGAAGTCGCTTAAACACTGAGCTAGTCTCTCAAAATATGGCCCAGTTCTTCGTAAAATGGACAGGTTACACGTCTATGGCTGCTTTGTTTGTTGGAAACTTTAGCCTCCTTGTATTTGGCTCACAGGCTCTTTATTTTTCATTGATATTGGAGCCAGGACCGACTGTAGCCGCGCTCGGACATTTCTTAGGCAATCATTTCAAAAACCGCCTGGTTCCGTTAAGACCGTTCCACTTTGACCTGAATACAGCGATCCCCCAAATATTAATGAACTCGCTAACCTCGCTTTCCCTCCATTGACTAAACTCCGAGCCTGACATGGAAGTGGGATGAACGCGACCTGGCCGTTCAGACTGAAGTCGCATGTCAAAAGATCAGATATGTATCGGTTTTAGGAGCACATATCCAAGTGGCCTGGGGCGCATTTGAAAAAATCTAATCTGTGTCGTTCAGACTGTCATTAAAAGATCAGATACAGGTCGCGTAGGGACGAAAAAATCAGATGTGGGTCACTTCAGTCTGAACATAGCCTTGGATATGTGCTCCTAAAACCGATACATATCTGATCTTTTGACATGTGACTTCAGTCTGAACAGCCAGGTCATATTTATCCAACCTACATGTCAAGCTCGGAGTCTCGTCAATGGAGGGAAAAGCGAGGTTAGTGAGTTTATTAATATTTTGGGGGATTGCTGTATTCAGGCTAAATTGGAGGGGTCTTGTCAGTAGAAGTTTTTTGAAATGATTGCCAAAGAAATGGCCCAGTGCGGCTACAGGCTCCTGGCTCCAATATCAACGAAAAATACAGAGCCTCTGAGCCAAATACGAGGAGGATAAAGACTCAAACAAACGAAGCGCCCGTGGACATGTAACCTGTCCATTTTACAAAGAACTGGACCGTATTTTGGGAGAGAAATAAATGCCAGTGTTTAGGCAACTTCTGTAAACACTGAGCACGTTCTCTGTGTATGACGTCGCCATGTCCTCCAATTCACATGCGGGACAATTTTGGGGCGTTTAAAGTTCACATTCACATTTAATTGGAAATGTGAACGACCTTGCAAAAAAAAAAACTGATTTCACAAAAAAATTGAGCATTAAGCCTGCAGTCTAAGCGTAGCCTTAGTCAGTCGCATATGAAAAAGACTGAAAATGAAGTACTGACAAAAAAGGTGCACCATGTAACTTTTCTGGCAGGTGTCTATTATCTCCATTGGGAAGTCACAGTAGGGATGGATATCTGAAGAAGTTGCCGATACAATAGATACCTCGATACACAGGCCACGATACGACACGTTTTTGATACAGTGCACTTTCGATTCAAAATGATTCAATACGGTTTTGTGAAAAACAAAGGTTCAATTATGGCTGTGATACTAAAAGTCTACTACAGGGTTCCCACTCTTAGTCACTGACAAAATTCCATAACTTTTCCGTGACTTTCTGATGACCTAAAGCACAGGTGTCAAACATACGGCCCGGGGGCCAGATCCGGCCCTCCAAGACCTTTAATCTGGCCCTCGGCTGATTTTCTACTAAAATATTTTAATTATATTTTCTATTAAAATCTTGTTAATTTTCTGTGGTGTTTATCACAGCAGCGTCTCCAGTGTCTCTGTACGTGGCCCCTCCCACCAGAGCAGCACAAATGAAGACTTGTCTCTTTCCAAACGCTCTTAAAGGACGATCGTTTTGACTGTTGACCGTGACACCCTCATCAACAAAATGTCAAAAATGAGAAAAGTGGAGCCGAGTGCAGGAACAAAAATGGACTTATTCCTGTTTACTTACAAGTTCATGTTAAAACTTTGTGCTGAAATTGTATTTTTCTTAAAGCTTCAGGTTGTCCATAATATTATAATATTTTGTGAAAGAAAGAGTTCATCAATTAAAAAAGATTTCTGTAATAGATTTGTGTTTTTCTGCACAAATATTTGAACTTATTGTTATTTTGGGGGTTTATATGCCATGAGTTTTCTGATCCGGCCCCTTTGGGATCAAAATAGGTTGGATACGGCCCCTGGACCAAAATGAGTTTGACACCTCTGACCTAAAGTGAATTATCCATGACTTTACGGCACCTTCATGTGTAGAATTGATCATACTTTTAGGACTAAATATGAAAAGTTAACCCTTTCCACTCACCTTATGGTTTGGTATTATAGTTTTTTAACATTCAAAATACTGTCAGTGCATTTATTGTCGGCTCTTTTAAACAAAATACGTTCAGAAATAATCATAATAGCCTAATGACAACTTAACAGAAAGATGTAGTTGCATGAAAGAAATACTCAATACTAGATTCACAAGTCTTGACGTCACCAACTTGCCTCTTCTGATAGACATGTTTAACGCCACACTATCGAACATTTCAGACAAGGCAACGCTATCCATGCAGGTGGCAGATCCCCCGCCAGAAAAGTTATATTTAAAAATGTTGAATGTTATTTGAGACAGGCTATAAAAAGATGATGATATAAATTAGCAATTTAACTCATGTGGAGATAACAGTTTGCGCTGATCTGCTCAGTAGCAACATCTAAAATCCAGCATGCTGCTTTTGAACATTTTTATCCAGCCAGCGTTGCCATGGTATCACTCCACGACACACGTAACGCATGTGAGAATGTGCCGGGCGATTGTGGATGCAAATCTGACACCGACACAGCGGATCTGAGCTGCACAATCACTGCTGTTGACACTTTGCCCTCAGAACAACACACACTGGACGTTATCTGGCAACCAAACCACACCACAACTCACCACGCTCGCGTCGTAATTGCCAGTCTAGCGCACAGTTTGAATAGGTCTGTGCCAAAAAACGCCCTTTACAAGAGCCTTCTCATTGTTACACTGGTCTTGCGTGGTTGAATAACTGCGGTGTATTGTTACGCATCACTTTCTACGGGGCTCTGTTGGCATCCTGACAGCTACGGTGTTAAATTGACCGTGGCGCGTCTGTAGTCACTTCTCAGGTTCAGTTACACTTTAAGTACGAAAACACGGAGCTCATGTAGAATATTATGACTGAAGGGTAATACGGGGTAATCTCGTCACCATCAACTTCTCATTCTTCCCCGAGTGAATGTGGAAAATTGAGTTGGGAAAAAATTGTGATAGGTAAGATATTTCAAGGTGATTTTCTTTTGTTGCAGTATTTCAACACAGCCTAATTTACTGGTCAAAATAACTACAGAGTCTCCCATTAATAGAAAAGATTATGGTGCCCTTCATAGTGTAAAATTCTCCCCCACAGTCTAAATAAAAAACATGGGACTAGACTAGAGCCTGATACATTGGTTGGCCAATTGGAGACATATCAGGTATCGGTCTAAATCTTGCTGATATGGGCCGATAGTTCACACGGTCATGTTATACCTCGTTATAAAGCTCAGACTCTCTATATTATGTCCATTTAATCCAATTTACAGACTGATAAATGTCCTAATATGTAGCGCTGCATCAATATTTATCTGCGGAGTAATTTGTCTGTGCGCATGACACCGTACTTCCCTCCAGAATCACATCATCCACATGTGCTTATTTACAAAATCCATGCATGCAACAATGAGGTGCTGCTTTAAACGCTCTTATGTCTGATCCACGATACTGACTGACTATAAATAAAAGTGAACTTCAGCGCAGTTTAGGCCAGCAACAAAACTACTGCTTGTTTTTAATCAAACTTATTAATGCAGACTTGTGATCCAAGAGGTGCCTGTGTGAGCAGTGAGTCGGTTTTAAAGCTGCTTTTGGGTCTTTCTCATTGTTTAGAGCTTAGCTGCTGTAGCTCGCACACATAAACAACCTCTTTTTGTTTTGTTTTTTTACATTGGCCCACTGTAAAGAGACTATAGTGGCTGTACATTTTACTTGAGCTGCATTGATATATAAATGAGCTGTGAATAAAGGTGTGAATGATCAGCATTTACGCATATAATTGATTACAGCTGCATGCACGCATTTACCACAAAAGGCTAATAGCAGTAGTTTACTTATTTCTTACTAGAATATCATGCAAAAATGCCATTAGACCGACCTACTGTCTTTAAATATAACTGCAAAGAGGCAGAATAACAATGAATGTAGCCTAAACAAACCCAATTTAAAATCCAGTAGAGCCAAACCTAATATAACCAATTGAAGATTTACTGTGAATTTTTACATCACTAAATATATTGGCTTTTATATCAGCTAACCTCCAACTCATTTTAACTTCATTTAACAATATTAAAATATAATATAAATTATATTTATTAAATTTATTTATTTTTATATTTATAAATTATATTTATATCATATCAGCTGCAAAAAAAAAAACATATCGGTCAGGCCCTAGACTAGACATTGTCATAACAAAATTTCTAATCTCTCTTTGTTGCTTCTTGTATTATCAGTAACATGAAAAAGTAACTACATTAAATATTAAATACAGACAACACGTGATAAAAATTTGTGCCGCTATTGTCTGAACAAAACCTAAGGGAAACACTGAAATAAATGTTTTTATCCCCGAAAAGCCGAAGCATAAATTACAATTTTAATATTATAATAATTCACATTGCCATTTTACAGACTGCTGCCCATTCTTACACTTGGACAGACTTTATTGATCCACAAGGGAAATTACTTGGACACAGTAGCTCACACATCACATTATATTACAACAAAAAAAAGTAAAACAATATATAAAAATGGTAATAAACTTCTAAATAAGTAGCAATAAAATAAAAAAGGGTAAAAAATAAATAAACATGGCAATAAACTTCTTAAAATGTAGCAATAAAAAAATATTAACACAAAGAGAAAAAAAATAAATAAATAAGTAGTAAAAAATCAATAAATAAATAAAAAACATAAATAATAAAACAGTAAAAATATATTTTAAAAATGTAGCAATAAAAAATAAAATAAAAAAATGTAATAAACTTTTAAATAAGTAGCAATAAAAAATAAAATAAAAAATGTAAAAAAATGTAATATTAAAGTAGCACTACAAAAAAAATTCTAAATAGCAATAAAAAATGCGTTAAAAAGATCATAAATAATAAAAAAAAGTGAAATTATAATAACAGTCTAAACCTTTTATCAATCTGAACCCATGAACAGGAAGAATGAGTGAAGAGAAGTAGATGTGTGAAAAGCCCTGAATCACCACGTAACCATCTCTCCAGACTTCCTGATCGATACAGGGTACTTTTATATGGTCATATTTCTCTATAATTGCTACATGAAGTTAACACGTGTCTAATAACAGACTGTGCTTTTCCCGAGTTGAAATAAAGCTGGCAGATCATAGCATGGACTTCAATGGAGATGTATTAAATGTTATGAAATACTCACTGTGTTCCAGAAAGTGGGCGAGGCCAGGGAGGTCAGGAGGATCGGAGAAGCTGCCCACACCGACACAGAGCGCTGCTGCAGACTGATACAGACACGCATATGTTAGGAATATTCTCTTTTAAAAGGTCTGATATTACACAGAATGGATTCTTATGAGCTTAAGCCATGTTATTATGTTGTTACCTCATCAAAAACAGACCTGGAGTTGTTTTGTTTCATTCACACATGTTTAAGTTAAGCTTAACATCTCCAAAGCTCAAAATGCTCTGTTCCACCTTTTGATGTCAAGCAATGGTAGTTTTCAAATTAACATCTTTTACCTTCAGTTCAGTAGAAATGGGCAATTCCAAGTCTGAAATCACCCATGATTCTAGTGAAGGTGTATGTATCTTAAAAAACACACAGCATAATGGAGCACTTTCTGGAGTTTAAGATGGTAAATACTGAAGCCTTAGCGTTCATTCAAATGTTTTCTGACACTTCTGACATCACTAGAATGTATGTATTGTAGAATGTATTTCCCAGCAGTTTAGGATCGTACAGAATTGCACAGGTAACCACAAGAAGTGGCAGTAGCTCAGTCGATGGAGCATTTGTAAACTGATCCGAAGGTTGGAGGCATCATTGGTTGAGCGGTCAGATTCACTGACCCACAGTTTGGCTGGTGTGATTCCAGCTCCCACAGATAAATGCTGTTGTTCTTGAGCAAGAAACTTAAGTCACCTCACCCCCAGTGACTGTGTACACTGGTGCATGAATGTGTGCGAGTGGGTGAGTTGTTCCTTGATGTAAAGCACTCTGAGGGCCTTGAAGGTAGAAAAGCCCTATATAGAAATGTGACCGTTTGACCAAGGAGGATTCAAACAGGGCCTGGGAGAGATCACTAAATTACTGAAACATGGATGCATAAAAATTCTCACATTTTAACATAGCGCTTTTCTATCTCCAAGGCACTCAAAGCACTTTATATCAAGGAACCACTTACTGTATTTTTCGGACTATAAGTCGCAGGTTTTGTCATGGTTTGGGTGTTTCTTGCGACTTTTACTCCTGTGCGACTTGTATATTAAAATTTTCACACTGAAGCCGCGAGAAGCTCTAGTCTTGTGTGCCAGTATCTGCTACTCCTATTACTCCTACTCCTATAGGCGAGTTTCATTGTTGACAAAAGCGCGCGTTGCATGCTGGGAATTATTTTGGTTGGCGCAAGAAACACTAATTCAACATGACGGACGGAGCGAGAAAGCACAATTTGACCAGAAATTGGTCATAAGCATCGACGGACGCCAAATCACCCTTTTCAACCCCGACAAAAGGTGGACGAAACCACATTTCTGGTCGGAATCGCCAACTACCTGGACAAATATTCACTTCGGCGATATCCACAATGACTTGGTGAAAACTCCTGGGCCATTCACAGCAGAAAAGATGAAAACCTCCAAGAGTTTCGATGTGTTGTTGAACTTGTTGGAGTCCACGGTTTGCTAGGATCTTCTACGTTTGATCTGCAAATGTTTGAAAGCCGTTTAATTCACCGTTAGCGGCTTTTTCCTTCTTCCGTGCTTCTATTTGTGTATCCGATAATGCAGCAGGAATTTACCATTATCGGGGATAAATACGCGAGGTTACGCACTGTGTTTGACCGCTATCATGTTTCTTGCCTCCGACCAAAATATTTCCCAGCATGCAACGCGGGCTTTTAATAACAATGACGTCAGCTGAAACTCGCCTATACCACTGTCACTTGAAAAGTTTTATATATAAGTCGCCCCAGAGTATAAGTTGCAGGGACACCCAAACCATAAAAAAAAGTGCGACTTATAGTCCGAAAAGTACGGTATTACATTTTAAAATTATTGTTCCATCTGTCATGTATCGAACAATAAGTCGATATCGTATTTATATATAGAGAGAGGGATTTGAACTGCCAACCTTCAGATCAGTAAACAAACGCTGATGACACAACACCCTCTCTTTAACTGTGTTTTTGAGAAATCCAACCTGTCACGGACACTTTTAAACTCCTTACAAAAACTTTTAACTCCAGTACCTGTTTTTCTGCATTTCCCTTTTTCCTCTTCCCCTCTTCTTCCTCGTCCTCTTCATCACTCCCATCCTCATCCTCGTCGTCATCCTCTTCATCTTCTTCGTCGTCCTCTTCGTCCTCCTCTTCCTCCTCTTCCTCCTCCTCTCCTTCCTCCTCCTCCTCCTCCTGCTCTGTCGCGGGGCCGCTGTAGTCGGAGATAAGCAGCGCTCGGAGGCCGTTCTCCAGCACGATGTATCTGGGAGAGGGATGGGACGGGAGAGACGCATTTAAGACACGGGGACATTAACCGTGAGGAGGCCGCTGGGCGTGATTTAAGACGGAGTGCAGAAGAGTAATGGAAAACGAGGGGATCCATCAAGACTTGTTAATATGACAGAGTATTTAGTATTAAAGGCCCAGTCCCAGGTTTTTTCAAGTATTTGAGCAGCTCTTGAGGTCAAAATAAGAGTGCGTTCATACTTATAGACCATATAAACCATATCAAAACTGGAACTAAACTGGAACTAGATTCGAAACTAATCCTGGATTACGCTGGGACTAAACCAGGACTAAAACAAGACCAAACCAAGTCAACCATCAAGACCAGAACTGGGCACTGTACAGCCTTTTGGTTGACTCTGACCGGCTCCTTTAAGTTGATTTGGAATTATAAAATAAATATATTTACCTCATGCACGGACTAAAACTGCATTGCTTTTATTTTAAATAAATTTTTTTGTAAGGCAACCTCACTTTATTTCTTAGTCCTAACATAAACTCTTACCAGTCTGACCAGCTCATCAAAACAATGATATTTACTGCTTTTTATAAAAAAATACAATTAATATTATGCAGAACTGAGTTAAGAATTTTGGCCAAACCCTCCACAATATTTTCTGTTTCTTACGTGGCCCCGTGGAAAAAATAATTGCCCACCGCGATTTAGAAGCAGCTCCTGAGTTCAAAATAAGGGTGGGTTCACACTTGCACAGACCATATCAAAACTGGGACTAAACTGGGACTACATTTGTAACTAATCCTGGACTAGACCGAGACTAAACCAGGACTAGAGCAAGACCAAACCAAGTCAACCATCAAGACTAAACCAGGACTCAAAAAGGCATAAACTGTATATATAAATGCCGTTCCAAATATGAAGTTTGCGTGCGGCTCTTCTGATTCCTTCTGGCTCCCATTGACTTATATTGAAATAATGTGGCTCCTCTCTCTGTAACTGCTGCAGTGAGCCTCGTCATTTTGGTCTTAAAATGTTCATATTAACCCACTCTACATGTTTGTTTGTTTTTCTCGCTTTTTGTCCATCAGAAAAAAACCCTATTCATAAAAATTTGCCTGTGTAACACTAGGATCACGAGCTTCATTTGAGTGGAGCTAAACGTTATGGGTCACGTCACACTCGCTTAGTCCACTTTTCACAGTTTATGGTTTTAACTGTTGAGGAAAGCCTAAGATATTGAATCCTACATGTATGACCGGGGATCTGAAGTACAGAGCAACGGGTGGATAGGGGGTAGGGGAGAACAGAAATTTTCCGAGCACTCAAGACTCAAATGCGGGACAAAACAGGATTAGTCAAACAAGCATGAGTTTAAATACAACTTTGAGTAACTTAATGATGATGAAACACTTTTATAAAATGATTCAATTATTAAACCAAAAAGTTGATTTGACATAAGTGTATAGACCTTTTTCACAATGACCTGAAGTGCCGCGATGTAGTTAAACATCACTTCCGGTTAATGCTTTTCTATGGCAAAATATTTGTGGAAATGAATTTTCATAAATCTGCCCCATTACCAAATCTTCAACAAAGAAGGTCGACAAAGGACATATTCTGTTCATGAAGAATTTATCCACAACTATCAAGGTAAAAAAGATGAAAACGCACAAAGACGCATTATTGAACTACTGAGCAAAACTAAAGGTATGGTCATGAATAAAACATAAGTAACTTGTTCACTCAGACTGATTATACAATTAAAATAAAAAATCTATTTCATGATGTCGATATTTTAGAATACACAGAGAGATTTGTGCAGTTCAAATGCTGGATATGTAATCTGTGCACAAATCTCTCTATGCTGATATCTACATCATGAAATCGATTTTTAATTTTCATTCTAGAATCAGTCTGAGTTCACAAGTTACTTACTGTATTTTTAGGACTATAAGTCTCACTTTTTTTCATTGTTTGGGTGGTCCTGCGACTTGTATATTAAAATGTTCAGACTGATAGCTGTGAGAAGGCTCTAGGCTTGTGTGTCAGTTTTCTGCGCATGTCTCCTGCAGAAAAAGCCACTGTGCTGCTGCAAGTACTGAAATATGCAACAGAAAACCGTAATCGAGCAGCAGAAAGAAAGTTTGGAGTAAGTGAGAAACTTGTGAGGGACTGGCAGAAACTGGGAATGTAGAACATGGCTTCACGGCAACCGGATGGGTGCTCCATGCAACTTTGCTGGAAGTCACTGGATGACAAAGCATGGACATCAGTGTCAACCGAAGTTGCGCGGTTACTCAGAAGTGACACCGAGGATGAAGATTGAAGAATTCAATGGATTTAGTGATTTGGAGTGAGATGGAGAGTTTGGTAAACTTGTTCTGTTCTGTTGTTTATGTTATATTTATCTGAAGAACTGTTCATATGTGACGTTAACAGTCTGTTGTTCTCTCTTCTATTGTTATTACTGTCAGTCGCCTTTCAAGATGAAATGTCAGTTCCTGGTGTTTGATTTTATAAAATAACTTTCCCCTGAAAAGTGCGACTTATGTTTTTTTTCTTCTTCATTATGCATTTTTTGGCTTGTGCGACTTATATTCCATTATACTCCATTAATTAATTACTTATCACTTATGTTTTATTCATGACCATAATGTTAGTTTTGCTAGTCCTTTTTTCGCCTTTAAGTTTCCATCTTTCTTACCTTGATAGTTGTGGGTAAATTCTACATGTTTAGCCTTTTTTCGACCTTGCTGGTTGAAGATTTGGTGATGGGGCAGATTTATGAAGCTAGTGGAAAATAGACGAGACATTTCCACAGATATTTTGACATAGAAAACCACTAACCGGACGTGACGCTTACCCTACATCGCTGCACTTCCGGCCGTTGTGTAAAGGGTCTATTGCACTATAAAAATGTTCTCATAACGGCTCATAAAGTGGTATTTATTGTGATATTGTGAGTATATTGTATTGTCAATCCTCTATAAACATTTGTAGGTGTATGGTTCAATGGAGAATATATGTAACATGTAGTAACTAAATACTGTGCGCCTACGCCAAGAACATCATGTACACTTTGTTTTAAGTGTTCTATATTTTCCCATGTCCCCATTTACAAAGTACGTAGTTCGGTCTCTGTGGCGACTGCTAACCGCAAGCTGGATATATGCTGACAACTATTTACTACAGGGAATAAATGAGCTACATTACCCAAATACTGACCTGATCTCTTTTTATCTTGGGTACAAATTACCTTTAAAAGTTGTTTTTGGAAACTTCCTGACAACATCCAACAGCCAGCAATGCTACCTTTTTAAGATAGAAGTAAAATAATTGGCAAACACTAAATGTTTTTTTCGTGACAGGTGTGTGATTTATGTTTAACTAAAAAGATTCTGCTCAAAGTGTCCAGAAGAAGTGACAAAAAGACTGAAATAGAAACAGACAAACTAATGCAAGAATAATGTTTGTACAGAAAGTAGAGGGTTAGCAGGCTTTACGCAGAATAAGACTGGAGATTTTGTTGTTTGTGGAGGAAATTATGGTACTTCAAAACCTGCAACATTTGCAATTTGCCAGTTTTGATTCAGCTGTGATGATTTTACAGCCCTATTTACTATGTGCAGTTATTGTTATTACAAAAAAAAGTTAATTCAGGGTTTTGGAGGTATGCAACTTTGTCAAAAAAATCTGTCATTTTTCTATTGTGTTGCCTTTTACACAACTGTTTTTTATTTTCAAAGCAGATTCCTTGGTTGTATCATAATCGTCTTCATTGACAATCCTTTTCTATAATTCTTTTGTAGTGGGACAATAAAAGTGCCTATGACAAAGATTAAAGATTTTAGAAAACATTTTACGCTTTCGTTTCCAGTTTGGCAATTTCTTTAGTTGGCAACCATGTAGTAGACTAGGCCAAAACTCCTCTAATATACACAATGATGATTTGACAAATAAAATGATAATAAAACACCTTTATTTTGTTGAAATAATTTTTAAAGTGTTCATAAATCTGCACAATCACCTAATTTTTTTTACCAACAAGGTCGACAAAGGATAAACATTCTACCATGAAGAATTTATCCACAACTATCAAGGTCAGAAAGATGAAAATTTAAAGATGAACAATGACGACGCATTAGTGAACTACTGAGTAAAAGTAACATTATGGCCATGAATAAAACTTAAGTAACTTGTGAACTCAGACTGATTCTACAATTAAAATTAAAAATCAATATCATGATGTTGATATTTTAGCATAGACAGAGAGATTTGTGCAGTTTAAATGTTAGATATCTCTAGGATACCAGAACGTTACTTTTGCTCAGGAGTAGTTCACTGATGCGTCGTCGTTGTTCACCTTTAAGTTTTCGTCTTTCTTCCCTTGATCGTTGTGGATAAATTGTTCATGGAAGAATGTTTATCCTTTGTGGACCTTGTTGGTTGAAGATTTGGTGATGGGGCAGATTTATGAAGCTGGTGGAAAATACGCTAATCATTTCCACAGACATTATGCCACAGAAAACCATTAACTTAAAGTTCTGCAAATTTACAGCGAGGCACTTCTGGCTGTTGTGAAAAAGGTCTATAGCAGACATGTCAAACTCAGGTCCAGGGGCCAAATTTGGCGATCAATATAATTATATTTGGCCCACGAGATCATATCAAATGTGTATTAGGGCTGTCCGCCAGCTACAGATAGGCTATAGGGACATTATTTATTAAAAATGTTGTTATTATTTTATACTTTGCTTGTTCTGGATTCAGTGTTTAAGCAAAACTTTTTATTATTTTATAAACATTTATTTTAATAAGAAAAGGTTTAACATTACATATCTCGAAAGAAGAGAAAACATGCAGATGTTGTTGAATTTTTTCAATAAATATTTAATTTGGCCCACAACGTAGTCCCTGTTTTTAATTTTGGTCCTCTGTGAATTTGAGTTTGACACCCCTTGTCTATAGGAATTCTAAAATGTTTTTGTCACAGTAACGCAAACTGTTACCAAAAGTGATCCTTCCTTTCCTTTCAGTGCAGTGGCCAGATCTCCTTTAGTCTTTTGAAATGTGAAAATAAAGACAATTTCTCCATTTCTCAGTACTCTGCCCCTTACCTGTACTGTTTGGGGTCACTGGGGGACTTGACGATCTCGCTGTCCCCTACATTCTGGTCTTCCTCTTCCTCCGGCGTGACTTCCTCGTCCCTTGGTTCAGGCACCGCTTCGGTCTGGACCTGGATGGAGGAGTCCGCGGCGGGGGTATTTCTGGACTTGTTCCGGCGGGGCATCCTGTACAGTAGAGGGGCAGGGGGGGTTATGGGTCTGGGGGGTGAGACGAGGAGGAGAGGATGGAGCGCTGGGGTGATGAAGGTCCTGATCAGGGCAGAGCAGCGGGTCAGTCTGAACAGAGCTATGGTGAAGAAGACCCCTCCCTAGAACAGACATGAAAACAGTCAGTGACGCAAAGAAGACATGTTTGTTTATTATAAGTGTTTCACATTAAACATCCTAAATTATGCAAAATTGACTCTTGTGAGCTTTTGGCCATGTTAGAATGTTGTTACCTCCTCAAAAACAGACCTGGGGTTGTGTTTTGTTTCACACAAGTTAGTAATCAGTTTATTATTTGTTTGTGTTCAAAATTAACTTTGTAAGACTTAGCCTGGCCCCGCTCTGAGCCCGCTCTAGGTGTGTAAGAAAATATCGATTCAGTGATATATCCCGATACTTCTTTGAGCTATTCTTGTATCGATTCAAGATGTGTCTGAATCAATTTTTGAAAGTCATGTTTTTCATGAAAAAAATCGTAAGTTCAATTTACTGTTCTCATGATTTAAAAATTAAATAAACTGTAGGCTGACCGAGTGTTTGTGTCTGCTCGCTCCTTCTGAATGCAGAGAGCTACGAGAGACGCTCAGTTTAATGTTCCAATGAAAAGAAATTAAAACCTGAACATTTGCATCACTTTATAAAAAAACAAAAAAACGGATGGCCAGAACAGGACGGGGAAAAACGGACAGCAACCTACATTTGGTTTGTCGATTAAAAATGAATGTAATCGACAAAATCATGCCCATCCCCAACTACGATGCTGAAAATCACACTCTACGGTCTAAAGAAAGAGTGTTTTTATTATTATTGTGGTATCAGAATCAGTATTGTGTATCAAGCCTGTTCCTCAGTATCAAAATTGAGTTTGAAATGATCAGTAACATCGTGACAACACTAAAACATAAAGACTAAGCTAAAAACCTTCTTCACAATCTTTACAAATCCTCACTCAAACAACTCATCAGTGTTTATTTGGTTACTTTACTTCATTTAGATTTGATTTCCTTCATAAAAACACAAGCGCAGAAACAACACGGACTCAGAGACATATTACTAATGTCAGATTTCTCACTGGAGGGCTCAGATGAACTTAGTTATGACGAATTCATTATCTCTGACTATAATTACGCTATGATTAGGAAAGAGTACGTATTAATAATGATGACAATGTTGATTGACCTTGGCTGACTTAAATGCAATTATGCAATCATCAGAAAATATTAAACCGTCCAGCAGACAGCTCGCTTTCATTTCTATTAGTTTGTGAATGAAGGGAGGACTTTGTTGATTATTTACTTATATTATAATTTCAATAGGGGCAAACCAGGACTAAACCAGGATTAGAACAGTACTCGAAAAGGATTAAGGCAGCAGTAGAACAGAACTAAACCAGGACTAAACCAGGACTAGGACAGGACCAAACCTGGACTAGAACAGGACTAAACCAGCACTAGAACCGGACTAGAACAAGACTAAACCAGCACTAGAGCAGGACTAAACCAGGAGTAGAAAAGAACTAAACCTGAACTAAAACAGGACTAACAAAGCACTTGAACAGGACTAAACTAGGACTAAACCAGGACTAAGACAGGACTAAACCAGGACTAGAACAGGACCAAACCAGCACTAGAACAGGACTAAAGCTCGACTAGAATAGGACTAAAACAGAACTAAACCAGGACTAAAATAGGACTAAACCAGGACTAAAATAGGACTAGAACAAGACCAAACCATCACAAGAACAGGACTAAATCTGGACCAGAATAGGACTAAACCAGGACTAGGAGGGGACTAAACCAGGAGTAGAACAAGAATAAACCAGGGATAAGACTAAACCAGGATTAGAACAGGACTAGAACAGGACCAAAACCAGGACTAGAACAGAATCAAACCAGCACTAGAAAAGGACTAGAACAAGACTAGACCAGGGCTGGAACAGGACAAAACAAGGACTAGGACAGGACAAGAACAGGACTACAATAGGACTAAACCAGGACTAGAACAGGACTAGAATAGGACTAAACCAGAACTAGACCAGGAATAAACCTCGACTAGAATAGGACTAGACCAGGAGAAAACCAGAACCAGAACAGGACTAACAAATACATAAGACAACAAATGTCACCAGTGATATAAAATGTTTAGATTCATTTGTGGATGTTAATTAGAGATGCACTGATATAGATAAATAAAATAAAATATATAGAAATTATTTGGATCAGGTATCAGCTTCATGATATCTGTTAAGCAGAAACCCTGGTTGGACCTTTAATTGGATGTAACAAAATGTCTCATTAGGTTTGAACTTTTACACATACAAAGTTCTTTACTAGTTATTTGAGGGATACATAACAAGTTGCATAACAGAAGTGGATCTGTAATAAGTAAGGAAATAAATAACATTTTCCTTCTCTACACTGTCAAAAATATTGAAAATGAAAACCAGGCATAAATCAATATTAAAAGAAAAGAAAGTACTACAATTTAATGCTGAAAATCACATTCTACTGTCTAAAGAAAGAGTGTTTTGTTATTATTTTGATCAAGTTTAGAGTATCAAGTTTATTCGTTAGTACTGAAATTGAGTTTGAAATTTTAGTATCATGGCAACACTACTGCACTGGTCTCAGTATATTTTTTAACAAATATGCACTAAAATGACAAATAAGGCTAGGGATTGGTATACACTTCTATTATAGACCCATTTACACAGTTAATCAGTAAAAACAGAAAGTGTTTTTGGTGTTTAGTGGCTGTTTAATATTAGGTATAGGCAGAACTATAAAAGCTGTTTCGGTGCATTGCTCATTTAATTTTTTTTATTTTATTTTTTTATTTAAAGAAATGCTCACTGTCTTTTGAATCCTAACTACAACAACAACAACAACTCACCTTTATGTAACAGATAATACTCCCTACAACTTTACAACTCACCTTTATATAATGGATAACCCTATGTCCTGTCAACCAGCATATCATTGTTGCACTATGACTTCCTATGACCTCTTATATAAAGCTGAGATTTTATATTTTATTACTTATTTTTCTATTTTATTTTGACTTGTACATTTACATTTACATAATTATGTCTTATTGAACACCAGTCTCTTGCTCTTTTTTGCTGCTTATTTAGAATTTATTATTACCATTTATATTTTTACGCTTTGTTATTATGTTATATTGTGACGTGTGAGCCGCTGTGTCCAAATAATTTCATTGTGAATCAATAAAGTTTGTCTAAGTCTAAGTCTAATACTACTACACTGATTTTGTTCAATATTGAGTATAGGCAGATATTTAAAGTAAAGAAGTGAAAAAGCTGTTTCGATGCATCCCCATATTCATTTTTATTTTATTTTTTTTAAGACATGCTCACTGTCTTTTGAATCCTCCCTACAACCTGAAAATGAAAACCACATGAACAGTTATAATCAATCTTTCATAGCTGTTCTTTTTTTTTTTTTTTTTAAACATGATAAGAACACAAAAAAGTCCACTTCATCTTTATCTTTATCTTTTTAAGCAGCTTTTCTGTATTTTACCTCAACAAATGTCAATGTATGCCTCCCTTTACTGTCCGCAGGGATCAGATCGGTCAAAAATAGTGACACCCGGGACATTTCTTGTATAAAACTGGGACAAATCACTAGTTTGGGATAAATCTGCAGGGACAGGGGACACACACGCAGGGCTCCAAACTGGGACTGTCCCGGGTAAACAGGGACTAGGTCTGGTCACCCTGTCCTCCCATCGTGTGTGCATAGCTGTGCAGTAAGGGTAGCTGAATACATGGGGGGGCAAAGGGCCGTGGGTTTATCACAGGTTCAGAGCCGGGTCCACGCGTCCTGCCAGCGCCCACTGTCCCCTCACAAAGCACCTATTGACATCTGCTAAGCATCTACTTTACACCAGCCCTGCCCCACTAGCACAATGACAGCTCCAAACCACACCACATCTTTAACACAAGCACCGATTAAAGCTAAAATCAAAGCTGGATTTCTTTAAGATACAGCCTGATCACAGTATTTTACAGATCTGATGATATTATAACAACATTACTACACATACATGTAAATAGGGGAAGAAATAAAACAAGATCTCCTGCAGCTTAGCGCCAAATCAAACGCCGAATAATAACACGGATGAAGTTCTGCACGTGTTTAAAATATTTTCCGCTATTCTACGCTAAACCAACTTTGACATAAAACCTAAAAAGAGTTTAAAAATAGCAATACCTTCCTCCCTGTTGACAGATGGGCCTCCGTTAGGGTGAATACCGGGTACGCAGCAACGTCCGCCGCGCTGATTGGACGAGAGGGTATAGAGTTTTAGTAACACAGTAGCTGATTGGTGCTACGCTGCAGAGAGGCGGGGTTTAACTGAGCACGTGTTCTGTTCACTAGGTTAGAATTATTCGGCTCTTTTTTTTATTATTATTATTATTTATTTATTTTTATGGAGAGCCGAATCTTTCATTTCAAAGTGATCTTAGCGATCTTAATTTCATTTATGGATGATTTATTTATGTATAGAAGATGACTTAAATAGATCGATAGATAGATTACGTAATTGCAAATAAATACAAGACGAAATGTTGCAACGTATTCAATTATTAAATGGTGAATAAAAATAAATAAATTAATGCATTAACACATTAATACATCACATTCCAGGGATTAAAACGCTAAATGATGCTTGTTTTTTACATTTCTATATTATTTGTGCACATTTATTTATTTACATATGGATTTTTTTTATTAATGCATTTATTAATAATATATATATATTTCTCATTCCTCTTTTTTTTTTTTTTTTTTTTTAACATGTATTTATATCCACTTTTATTTATTCCTACATTTTGCTACGTTAGTTACAGCTACTTAACGTGAAGGAGACACTTTTTTTTTTCAACTTTTATTTATTTATGACGTTATATCCTTTTTACATTGCATATAAATAATAAGAATAAAAATAAATACTTTAATTAATAAAAAAAATAAAAAAAAAAAAAAAAAAAAAAAAAAGCTTTCACGTTCAAATCCGTGGTTCAAATCTTAAAAACTGTTCCGAAGAATCAATCAATTAATTAATCAGTCAAAAACTTTATTAATCCCAAAGTGCAATTCAGTTTGGACATCTCTGGTCGTGCACAGTCCATAAATAAATAAAATAAAATAAAATAATCGTAAACATGTAGTTAACACTCGCCGTACTTTCAAACCTCGGTGCATCACGTGACACAAGAGCAAATTTACTTTACATTTAAAATCTTTACGGCAGAAGGAATATAAGATTCATTCACACGTGTCCTCGCTGTGGTGAAAAGTTATTAGAGGGGACGTGTACAGATGCGGGGGACGCTGGGACACGCCACCTGGACGCGCACGGACACAGCTGCTGCCCATCTGCTCGTCGTTACGGCCGCGGGATCGTGCAGGAGTCCGGGCGGCGCTGTCACGGACGCTAAATGCCGTAATGGGTAATTTTGTCGGTCTCCACTTGAGCCAACCGGACACATCCAGGCTACAGCCCCCGTCGCAGCTGACACGAGCGGGCTGTGCGGGGGTCTGCCGGGCTCAATCACGCGGGGATGAGGCTCCAGCTCCGTGATCGTGGTCTGTGTGGGGACACGCCGCTAGATGGCGCAGTGAGGTCATAGGGGACGTGAGGTAAATTGCAGTGCAAATCAGGCGAGCCGTGTTGCTGGGTTTCAGAAGACATCACAGTATTCTACAGGCCAATATTATTTAATACAGGCAAGAAAAGGCAAGGCAAGTTTATTTTTGTAGCGCAATTCGTACACAAAGTAATTCAAAGTGCATTACAGAATAAGAAATACAGTAAAATCACAATAAAAACATAAATAACCATCATAAAATTAAAAAGAGAGCGAGAGACATTAATTACATAAATTAGGGAGAAGAGTGCAGAATGAAAACCTGTGCAGCTAAACTGAACTGATCTCAGCCTGGATTTAAACAGTCAAAGTAGAGGCTTGTCTCACATGTTCAGAAAACTGCAACACATTCAAAACTCTGCCGCTCACCTCCTCACCCACACCCGCTCCAGATACCACGTCACTCCTGTTCTTAAGCAACTCCACTGGCTCCACATACAATACCGCATCCAATACAAGGTTCTCCTCATTACCTACAAGTCCCTCCATAACCTGACCCCTCCCTATCTCACCGAGCTCCTTTGTCTTCACTGTCCCACCCGCCGCCTCAGATCAGCCGACACCAGCCTCCTCACTCCCCTCATCAGGACAAAGCGGGCGACTGAGCCTTTGCTGCCGCTGCCCCCTTCGTCTGGAACTCACTCCCACAATCCATCAGGAACTCGGACTCACTAAAAACTCACCTGTTCAAACTGGTATTCCCTCCATGATTCCCCCGTTTTCTACAGTGTTACTTTTATTTGTCTGTAAAGCGTCTGAGTGTCCAAAAAAGTGCTATATAAGTCCGATGTATTATTATTATTATTATTGTTAAGACTGTTCAGGTTTTAGCTGCGTGAACCTGAAATGCTGACTCCCCGTGTTTAGTCCTGACTCTGAACACCAGCAGGAGGTCGGTCCATGAGCTCTTCAAAGTGAGAGATGGTTCACTAACATGTCATAGATGTGAAACACAACGGACTCCAGGCACTCCAAAGAAGTAAAAATCGCACGTCACAGATGTACTTTGGTGCTCGGCCATGGAGAGACTTGTACACAAGAAGAGCCGCGTTAAAGTCTCTGAGCTGCAGGAGCCAGTGCAGAGACCTGAGCACTGGACTTGTGTGCTCGGACTTCCAGGTTCGAGTCAGGACCTGAGCTGCAGCGTTCTGGATGTTCTGCAGCATCTCACAGCTCGTTTGAAGAGGCCAGTGAGCAGAACATTACAGTATCTAACCTACTAGAGACAAACACATGAATAAGTCTCTCCAAGTCTTCTTTAAATGGTAAAAGGCTGCAGATGTTATTGATTTGATGTGGCTCTTAAAGTTCAAGTACAGATGTTCAACTCCAGATTTTTGTTGTAATATAGCTTGGTCTTGGGTCTTGTAAGAAATAGAAAAGATAAGAATCAATATTTGGAAAATTAATTAATAGGAAAAACTGGATGTTGACCCCCTTCATCACATACTAGAATTTGAAACCTACCAATTGCTGGATGATTTTAGATGGCGTCACAAAATAGTACAGTAGGGTTACTAGATTTTCAAAATGCAAAACTTGGACACACCCGGGTTAGGATGGTTTTGTATAAATAAAATTGCGAAAAGAGCGCGTAACATTGTGCATCGTGTAATCTGAGGGACACTTTTTTGCTTTATGGTTATTTGCAAACACGATTTTATGTATTTTGTCTAAACAAATGAGAATTTATGCTCCTCTTTACTGTTGGCGGGGATCAGATTAGTCAAAAATTGTGATAGCCCTGTTTTAGTCCTGGTTTAGACCTGATGTAGTCCTGGTATTGTTATGTTCGGCTAATCCACAATTACAACTATACCTCAGTTTTTATCATTTCCTCACTGACACATAACTCCGAGCGCACTGGGCACATGCGATTAGGAGAGATGATTCCAAACAGCACATACATATGCAGTCTTCATTTTGCAGCTGATCACATTTACTTCTGTTTTTTCTCCTCCCCTGTCCTCATGTTATGCTGCACTGTTTTCTTAACCCTCTCAGGCTCAAATTACATTTTAGTAACAGGAAAAAATCTGATATTTGGGAAAATAATCATATGGGGTAGTAATATACAATCCTGACTTTTTTTTTTTTGAGAGAGACCTTCACATCCAATGCGTTCTGGGATGTTGCAGATTTGCAGCATTGGTCCAGTGTGGTAAATTAACACTGAAGACTGAAAATGATATGAACACTAACTTTATGTGTAGACCACTTTTCATAACAAGGAAAACATAAAGCACAGTGTAACAGTGCTTTACAGTGGCAGAACAACATCACTTTTTCATGTGGTACTCCAAGAAACAATTTTTATCCTTTGTAAACAACAAATGTACTTTGCACTTCTGGCAGGCCGTTTGCGTGTAGTCCATTCTTGCACAGTCTGCATTGTCCACGTTTATCAGCATGGATGGGGAAAAAAGGCTCCTGATTAAAAAAAAAGCTCATAAAATATGGATTTGGAGTAAGTAGGTAATTGGCATTTAGCTGTTACAAATCTGCAACGCCTGCCTGGAGAGGGTTAAAAAGGAAAAATTAGCAATTCTACAACTTTTATATAAATATTCATATATAAATATATCATGACTTTTAAAGTACAATTTAGTTTAAAATTCATATAAATGACAAAAATCTAACCTATATTTGGTACTTTTGTTTAAAGACTTGAAATTACTTGAAGGAGACGACTTGGACTTGACCTGGACTTATGGGCCAGTGACTCGAGACTCGACTTGGACTTTCCTGGGACTTGACTCGGACTTGAGGTCAAAGACTTGAGACTTACTTGAGACTTGCAAAACAACGACTTGGTCCCACTTCTGCTGCGTGCTACCCACCTCTGGACACTACTGTACTCACTGACTGTTATCATGATATTGACATTAAAAGTGCACTGTGTAACTTTTTGTTTAAGGGTCCGTTGCCTGCTTGTTTCCATGGAGATGTCATTGCTCTGTCTGAAATGTTCCACAGTGTGACATTAAACCGCGGTGCCTTACATTTATTCAATTATAGGTGGTTTTAGAGCTCAAAAATACCTCAAAAAACAAACATTCTGACTTTGAGCAGAGTCGCCTCTCCACAGATCTGACCTGCAACTTTGTCTGGTTTGACCTCCATGAAATTAAATAGGTTCAATACCATTCTGTGAAACATTCCAGACAAAGCAATAACATCTGCACGGAGTAAAATTACGCAATGCAGAATAATACGATGTAGTTAAGCAGGTCTCGAGCTCTTTATAGTGTCGCTTCAGAAATGGCTAAGTGCGGAATATTTTCTAAATTTGACGTTTGACGAAGTTATTCATTATACAGGCAGAGGAATTTCTTTCAATTTTCCCAACAGCCGTGAATTGTTATGCTACAATACTGCGCACAAATTAGCATAGCATTATATCAGGCTCAGGTTCTTCTTATCATTTCATTAGCATTTCAATCCTATCTCTTACTTTTAACATGCAGGTACGTGTCTATAGCAGATGGTTTGAGAACATTATCGTTTTTTTGTTCGTTATTCAAGGCGCTGTACCTGATTTTTCACTGTAAAGTTCACGGCTAGCATGCAAACAGCACACTGCCTGATTATCGGACAATAAAAC